TATAAATAATTTATTATTATTATTATTATTATTATTATTATTATTATTATTATTATTATTGTCACATGGAAGGTGGAGCAGGCTTGTTTTCTCCTGTTCTGGAGGGTAGGACTCGAACTAATGGCTTCAAGTTGCAATAAAGGAGATTCTAACTAAACATCAGGAAAAACTTTCTGAGAGTAAGAGCTGTTTGACAGTGGAATGGACGCCCTTGGGAGGTTGTAGACTCCCCTTCACTGGAGGTTGTTAAACAGGTTGGGTGGCCATCTGTCAAGGATTCTTTAGCTGCCAATCTTGCGCTGGATTAGGCGAGCCATGTGGTCTCTTGCAACCCTACAATTCTCATCAGTGTCAAACATGCAATTGATGCAGTTCTTGGTGTACAACAGTACACAAATAATTAGGAAAATGTAGGTTAAGTGTACTTACTTTCTACCCTGTCCCCAGGAACTTGGGCTCACAGTATCAGCTTCTTGAGAATCTTCAAATCTAATATCCTTTTCTACAAGTGCATACTTAAAACGGCTTTTGCTATCTCTGTACTTCTTTCTTTTTAATTGGTTTTCACATATTACATTACAATACAAATATACCAAAACCAACACCATTTCCTCCCCATCCCCCCATATATTTACATTTATATTTCGTCAATCCATCATATTATTCTTTGCTCCTTCCTCCCACTTCCCTCTGCCCCACATATACGATTTCACAATCTCTGCATTCTACAATCTTCACAATAATCTTTGCATATATTCTTATCTTTCCTTACTAAATTTTTCCATCCAGTACTTCACATTTTAATCTAGGCATACTAGCATATCTTTTTTTGAGCAATATTTTGCCATATATTCATCAAAACATTTCCACTCCTTTTTAAATTTTTGATTTGACTGATTTCTTATTATATCTCTGTACTTTTAATTCAAACACAAAACCTTTACCATCCAGGTGTTTGAAGTGATGCTCATGCCTACGTCACATTTAATTTGTTTTTAATGCACAAATTCCATATTTTCAGCTAAGAGGCAATCTTAGAAACTACAACTAATCCAGAAAGAGGCAGCTAGACTGGTGACTGGGAGCGGCCGCTGAGACCATATAATACCAGTCTTGAAAGACCTACACTGGCTCCCAGTATGTTTCCGAGCACAATTCAAAGTGTTGGTGTTGACTTTTAAAGCCCTAAACAGCCTCGGTCCAGTATACCTGAAGGATCGTCTCCACCCCCATCATTCTGCCTGGACACTGAGGTCCAGCTCTGAGGGCCTTATGGCGGTTCCCTCGCTACGAGAAGCCAAGTTACAGGGAACCAGGCAGAGGGCCTTCTCAGTAGTGGCACCCACCCTGTGGAACGCCCTCCCATCAGATGTCAAAGAGAAAAATAACTACCAAACGTTTAGAAGACATCTGAAGGCAGCCCTGTTTAGGGAAGCTTTTAATGTTTAATAGGTTATTGTATTTTAGTGTTTTGTTGGAAGCCGCCCAGAGTGGCTGGGGAAACCCTGCCAGATGGGAGGGGTATAAATTATAAATTATTATTATTATTATTAGCACTGGGGAATTCAAACCAAGCTCTCGCCACCAGCCAAACACAAGTTGCCCATCCACCAGTCCAGCTTTTGAATAGGGAAAGGCAAAGCCTGCATTCTTATTTTTCTAAAATCAAGAGACACCTGTAAGCAAAGAAATGAGGGAAGCGTCACTTACCAAAGAGGTTAGCAGATGCTGTATTAACAAAGCAAAGCAGAGTGATGAGAAGTAACAGCCCCATTGTGGGGGACAGTAAGACTGAGCCCCTCTGAGCAGGTAGAGGGATCTCGCTCAGCCCACTCTTTCGGACCAAGATTTTATAGCTGATGCTACCCAGATACCTTCAGCTACGAAGTGGAAGACTGGGCACCAAAGTAGGCTAATGACGCAAATTTTGTTTCACAAGGGCCATTGAGTTGGCCCACTCCCACCTGAGATTTCTTCCTTGGTTTCCCTCCAAGCAACATGAGTGTTTTTCCCCCAGCCACTTAGGAAAAAAGGACAGATCTGGAGAAGCGGCACATGGGAAAAGCGCAGGGGTCACAGGACTCAAATGAATCAGCAAAAAATGAGAACGGGTAACAGCACAATGCATACAACTGCCATATGGGTTAAACCACAGAGCCTAGGACTTGCCGATCAGAAGGTCGGCGGTTCGAATTCCCACGACGGGGTGAGCTCCCGTTGCTCGGTCCCAGCTCCTGCCCACTTAGCAGTTCGAAAGCACGTCGAAGTGCAAGTAGATTAATAGGTACAGCTCCGGCGGGAAGGTAAACAGCGTTTCTGTGCGCTGCTCTGGTTCGCCAGAAGCAGCTTAGTCATGCTGGCCACATGACCCGGAAGCTGTACGCCGGCTCCCTCGGCCAATAAAGCGAGATGAGCGCCGCAACCCCAGAGTCAGTCACAACTGGACCTAACGGTCAGAGGTCCTTTTACCTTTACCTTTGGATCCAGGAGCACAATCCCAATAATTCCGAACGAAAGACCACGTTCCAATTGCATCTTTGTGGCTTCCATTACTGAATAGTTAGTACAATAGAGATTCAGGGCCCACTGAACTTGCAATCCTTGCAAGATGGCCATGGGTCCTTGTGTGTGGAATGTGCACTGATCCTGCTCCCACTATTAGCTTAACACAGAGCTTTCCAAACTGTGTGCTGTGACACTAGTGTGTAAGTTTGTTGCCCGATCTTCTCCCGGAGCTGGAAAGGGGGCTAGCTTAACCTCTGGTTTGCTAGTAAAACTGAATTACTGTGTCGCGAAATGATGCACATCTAAAAAGTGTGCCATTTGGGAAAGCTCTGGTTTAATATTTCCCAGACCAAGACACACATCAGGTTTCATATTCACATGACAAGGGGAAAACCCAGCTGTAGGAAAACTCCGAGTGATGACATGGTTCTGGTGGAAACTGCCCTAGTATTTTCCTGCAACTACAGATAATGCATTTCACTGGCTTTAAGCTGCTGCTTTATATATTGAGTCAGACCACTGGTCCATCTAGTTCAGTGTTACTTAATGCAAGCTGGTAGTGGCTCTCTAGTGTTTCAGACAGGAAGCTTGCTCCAACTCTACCTGGAGATGATGATGACTGTATCTGGAGCCTTTTTAATCCAGAATGCGGCAGCTAGACTGGTGACTGGGAGTGGCCACCTGTCCTGAAAGACCTATATTGGCTCCCAATACGTTTCTGAGCACAATTCAAAGTGTTGGTGCTGACCTTTAAAGCCCTAAACGGCCTCGGCCCAGTATACCTGAAGGAGCGTCTCCACCTCACCCCACCCGGACACTGTCCTCTGAGGGTCTTCTGGTGATTCCCTCACTGCGAGAAGTGAAGTTACAGGGAACCAGGCACAGGGCCTTCTCGGTAGTGGTGCCCACCTATGGAACCCCCTCCCATCAGATGTCAAGGAAATAAACAACTACCTGACTTTTAAAAGACATCTGAAGGCAGCCCTATTTAGGGAAGTTTTAAAGGCTTGATGTTTTATTACAAGGATGTCCAAGAGGTTGATTGCGATCTACTGGTAGATCCCTGCGAGGTTTTGGTAGATCGCGGTCGATCCCTGGCTCCCTCTCCTTTGCTAAAACTGACTCATGCCCTGCCCCCCCCCCTCCAGCATTGTATGATCTCTGGAAGGGAAGACGGAGCTTTTTCTGTGGTGCTGTTTTTATCCATAGTGATCTTTTTGTGAGTGACTTTACCTCTTCATTCCTTGCCTTTACAGGTAAAGGGGCCCCTGACCATTAGGTCCAGTCGTGAACGACTCTGGGGTTGCGGCGCTCATCTCGCTTTACTGGCCGAGGGAGCTGGCGTACAGCTTCCGGGTCATGTGGCCAGCATGACTAAGCCGCATCTGGCGAACCAGAGCAGCGCACAGAAACGCCATTTACCTTCCCGCTGGAGCAGTACCTATTTATCTACTTGCACTTTGACATGCTTTCGAACTGCTAGGTTGGCAGGAGTAGGGACTGAGCAACGAGAGCTCACCCCGTCGCGGGGATTCAAACCGCCGACCTTCTGATCGGCAAGTCCTAGGCTCAAAAGCAGGGGTAGACCACTGCCTGTTTTTAATTCTGGAAGTAGATCGCAGTCTCTCAAGAGTTGGCCACCCCTGTTTTATTGTGTTTTTAATATTCTGTTGGGAGCTGCCGGGGTGTGAATGAATACATAAATGAATAAATAAAGCTAACTATTTGCTCTACCACTTCATTAAGACCTTCCCACTTTGACTAGTCCCTAGCCTAGAAAGCCTTGCAGAGCATTTTAAGCATTGCTTCATGAACACATTTAAAGCTTATCCAAAATGTGAGATACACTTAAGACATAGCAGAAGCAAGAGTGGGCATCCAGACTCAGCCAAAAGTCTCTTGGTACAGTGGTGCCTCGGGTTAAAAACTTAATTCGTGCTGGAGGTCCGTTCTGGAGGTCCGAAACTGTTCTTAACCTAAAGCGACACTTTAGCTAATGGGGCCTCCCACTGCTGCCGCGCGATTTCTGTTCTCATCCTGAAGCAAAGTTCTTAACCCGAGGTACTATTTCTGGGTTAGCGGAGTCTGTAACCTGAAGCGTCTGTAACCCAAGGTACCACTGTATATGGATTTTAAAATCCAAGGGAGGAACTTCTGTAAACCTCAGCAAGGAGGTCACTCCATGGCTCCAAGGCAACTGAGAAGTACACTGGTGGAGCCAATCTGACAGGTTTGTACCACAATGACCTCGTCCCACCCCTTCCTAGTAAGCGGAAACATGGCTCATGGTCACCTGAGTGGTATCAGCCTACTACACCATCTGCCATCGGGCAGGTCAAATGACTGGGCTAGACAGATCAATAACCTGACTCATCATAAGGCAATTCCATATCGCAAATTGCAATTGTCACACAAACTGCACATTTCTCAACTTCCCGAAAGGCTTTGGCAAATCTGATGATCTGTGAATTGAAAATAAAATGTTAAGCAGGCCGTGAAGAGTGAAAGGATGCAGAGTATGCAGAATAGTTTAATAAACAGCTTTACATACAGTACCTTACATATAGAACAGTGTATCTGCAAATTTAAATACATTTTTTTAAAAAAAAATGTACAGTGGCTTGTACTCTTATCCCAGGGGAACTTCAAGTTTATGGCCTGTCATACAGTTCTCGTATGCTTTTATACATATCACCAGCACTGAAATTGCAAGGGAGGCGTAAAGAGTTCAAGTATCGTGCTGCCGTTAGTTACACAACCTCTTCTGAACAGTCAGTATTTTAAAATTTTGCATTTCATTTTCTTTTCTTTATTTTTTACAAATTTCAAAACCTGTACATACATTATTTTCATCTTCTTCATCTCTTTCTCTCTTTTAGGAACTGCGTGTTAAAAGGCAACATTTTAAATATTTTGTCACCAGGTCTTAGTCTATTGCAATAAAACTAGACTTGTCAATATAAATATGTCTCTAGATTGTATTATGTATATGAGCACCTGTATGTGTGTATCACACCAACACAGAGAGAGACATATACACATAATAAAAGGTGTATTGTAGCAGTTGGTGCAGCAAAATTGCAAATGAACAGAAGTGAAGGCTCTGGACTCGGTGCAGAAACAATAAAAACAAAAACCGCACAGCAACTAGGTTGACTTTGGTTTCACAATGCTTTGCAAACTCATAATTAAGCGTCCCTAACAGATAGCGAAGAGCTATTCTCCATCAGAGGCGCTCAGTACGAGTAATGGGTTTTTCACCATATCCGCTCTACAAGGGCAGCTACCAACACTCAGATTTTGATTCATAGGGAGTGATCCTGCAGGTCACTCCAGGGCAGGGGTTGGCTAAGTTTTTGTGGCATGGGCTGGTTCACTGTCCCGCAGATGCCGCAGTGGGCTGGAGTGCGCATGCACACACAAACGCTATTTCCGGCGCTCCTTCCGGCGCACAGGAGGCGTGCACAGCTTCCCATTGGCTGCAGGAGCTTCCTGCAGCCAATGGGAAGCCAGACAACATTGAGGAAGGCGGTCCCTGCTCTACTCTGGTTTAGCGCGGTGCATGGTAGCCAACCGAGCGGGCAGCGGGGGTCCATGGGCCAGTTAAACGACCCCTGTGGGCCGCTTGTGGCCCACGGGCCTTAGGTTGCTGACCCCTGCTCCAGGGTTACAAATAAGGGTTGGAAAGATTTGGAAAAAATGACAACAGGAACAGGCTGACCCAACCCAAGCTCCTTGGCATGCAACACAAGTGAATCCCATCAGGAGACACCTGTACAGATGTTGCAATTTCATTCTCTGCTGTTCCCTACCTCTCAAAGGGTTGTCTGCAAAAACAGCACCAAGTCATGTTCCCATCGGCATGAGGATTTCTGCAGGCCACCCCCCCTTGTCACCACACCCCTCTAAATCTGTTCTAGGGGTTCCCAACCCTTCAGAGCAGATTTGGGGACGATGCAGGGGAGAGGAGACAGGTGCAAGTCTTGTTGCAACAAATGGAAATTCTTGCACTGGCGGGACGCATTGCTCGGATGCTGCCCAAAATCTAAAAAAATGTTAACATGGGAAATGGCCCGATTTCACAGCCCATCCGCTGGCATTCTGAATGTTCTGGTCATTCCTCAATCCAGCTGAGGAGCAACAGTAGTTCAGAGAGCTAATGCTAAGCAGTCGTCCAGGACAAAAAAAGTTCTTTAAAAAATGCACTGTAGCCCTGAATACTGTGCAGCTAAACACAAATATGATTTAAGTACAATATTGGATGGTTTGCTGGCTGGCAATATGGAGGACTCTGCTAGGGGAGCAGGGGAAGAGGAAGAGGGAGCAACACGCGGCAGACGACTCTCATCCTCCCATTTCAGTGGTTTTCGAAAACTTTATTTGGCACTTCTGACAATTACCCTCCCCATACCTGTTTCTAACAAGGAGCGCAAGATCCCCGCAAGGAAGGTTTAGTTTTAAAAAATAATATTCGTGAAGAGGCCACCACAGAAAACAGTCTCTCTTTTTTTCTTTTTAAAAAAGGGAAGCTAGTATTTTTTCATTTTCCTGGGTAATATTTGTTGCACCAGGAAAAACAGGCATTGGCTCCATTTTACCTATCCTTCAAGATACCAGGGGGTGCAAATCTTTCTCTGCTATCACACTGAAAGACAACATTGCGCTTTCATTCCTTCTCCAACACAGCTTCTTACTTTTTTCCCCCCTTAAGGAAACACCAGTCTGAAGATTTCCCCGACATGGCCTGTGGGAACATCCTGGCAGACCATATCGTGTGCCCCTTCCTTGATGCTTTCCTCCTCTTTCCCCTTTTCTCAAGACCTTCGGGATAACGGGACATCCAGCACAGAACAAAGGAATAGTGTTCAAGCGTCTTTTTATTTTCGTATTTCACCCCTTCGTCAGTCTCGCGAAGAAGCGCAAGAAATCCATTGTTAAGAGCCTATCTGCGTATTCCTTTCCGCTTCCGCTTTGTCATACGGAACAGAAGGTTGCTATTTGCTGGACTTTCCCCATGTCAGATATGAGCTGCTTGATCCGGCGCTTGAGCTGAGGCAGCCGTGCAAGGGGGTCCGGCGGCTCCAATTCCCCGGTGAAGTCAAGCCAGCTTTCTAAAACTGCACAGACAAAAGGGATACGAGCACAGTTAGGGATAGAAAGATGTGGCAATATTTAGTCCTGGTTCTGGAGTCGCACTAAACCGGGGAGCCCCCAAGCTTCTCAGCATTCTGAGAATAAGCCTGATCCCGTTTCCGCCCTGGGACAGCTGTGGGGAGATAGGAAGCACCCACTTCTGGTTTCAACTAACTGTATTGTGTCATTTAATCTGAACAGATCGCAAAAGGACAAACACAGGGCATTCAGCTAGTCTTGGTTGGTTAGAGCATGGCGCTGATAGTGCCAAGGTTGCAGGTACTATCCCTGTATGGGACAGCCGCATATTCCTGCATTGCAGGGGGTTGGACTAGATGATCCTCAGGGTCCCTTCCAACTCTACAGTTCTAGAATTCCATGATTCCTAGAGCTGTCAACCAAACTGAATACATCCCATCGCTCAGCCCGGACACTGAGGTCCAGCTCCAAGGGCCTTCTGGCAGTTCCCTCACTGCAAGAAGTGAAGCTACAGGGAACAGGGAATCAGGCACAGGGCTTTTTCGGTAGTGGCACCCGCCCTGTGGAACACCCTCCCATCAGATGTCAAGGAAATAAACAACTATTTGACTTTTAGAAGACATCTGAAGGCAGCCCTGTTTAGGGAAGCTTTTAATGTTTGATGTTTTGTTACTTTATAATTATTATTATTATTATTACTCTGTTGGGAGCTGCCCAGAGTGGCTGGGGAAGCCCAGTCTGCTGGGAGGGGTATAAATTTTATTTTTATTATTATTATTATTATTATTATTATTATTATTATTATACCTTGGGTTACATACAGACTCCGCTAACCCAAAAATAGTACCCTGGGTTAAGAACTTTGCTTCAGGATGAGAACAGAAATCGTGCTCCGGCGGCACGGCAGGAGCGGGACGCCCCATTAGCTAAAGTGGTGCTTCAGATTAAGAACAGTTTCAGGTTAAGAACAGATCTCCGGAACTAATTAAGTACTTAACCCAAGGTGCCACTGTATTATTATTATTAATATTATGAGACTTGCTCAAAAAGTGATGATTGTGCACCTTGCATTGCACATAACGCACCAGTTTCTAAACATGTTACCATTCCAGAAACTTATTGCTTTAAGATAGTTACCATCCACTTCCTTTTCGATAAGGTCCATTCTGCTAGCAACTTCGTTCTGTACGTTCTCTATGTGGGTGAGGAGGTTTAGCTGCCACTGAAGATGGGAGTCCACATGTTCTTCGGCTCCTCTTTTTTCATTAAATACAAACACAGTGTTCCCTTCAGCCAAATGCCTCTGTTTGATATCCACAAAACAAAGATTGGGTGGTGGGGAGAGAGAGAGAGAGAGAGAGAGAGAGAGAGAGAGAGAGAGGAATTAGCAAACTGCGTAGTCACAATTTAAGGCTGTCTCTACACCACACCTGCCCACAGATACAGCCTGATTGAAGATGCTTCCCTGTAGCTGAAGAGTGAGATTAAACAAAACCGCTGCTCCTAAATGACACAGCATAACAAGAGAGCATTGGAGGTGATTTGTTGAGGACTATACAACTACCGCATAAGTTAATACAACTTATAATAATGGCTGTAAAGAAGCACTGCGCATTGTAAATCATATCCTCGTTAATATGCACTTGAAGTTCTCCAGCAAAATATGGTGGTAGTAAAAATGTAAGACACAATCCAGCAAATGGATTATGGGCACCTCTGATTTCAAAATTTTGGTGAGAGTTAAGCACATGCTTGAATTTTCACAGTGAAATCAACAGGACCTTAAAGAGTTAGCTCTGGCTAGCTTATTATTTTTATTTTTATAATTAAAGTGGCATACTTCTAGATCTCATATTTGTAAGGAACGGCCCAGCTATCTATGATAAAAATTTCCCAAGGCAATGGGGAGTCTGCACAGACTTCCAGTGTTTGTTTGTCAGAGATTGATATTTTGGTGAGAGAAGAAAGAAAGAAAGAAAGAAAGGGAAGGAGGTTAGCAAATAATTTTTGAGTTTTGCACATTTCAAAGGGAGTTTGTGTGGTACTATAAATTCAAAATGTTGGTGCGGACCTTTAAAGCCCTAAACGGCCCAGTATACCTGAAGGAGCATCTCCACCCCTACCATTCAGCCCGGACACTGAGGTCCAGCGCCAAGGGCCTTCTGGTGGTTCCCTCACTGTGAGAAGTGAAGTTACAGCGAACCAGGCAGAGGGCCTTCTCAGCAGTGGCGCCCTCCCTGTGGAATGCCCTCTAGTCAGATGTCAAGGAGTTGAACAGCTATACAACTTTTAGAAGACATCTGAAGGCAGCGCTGTTTAGGGAAGTTTTCAATACTTGATGTTTTGTTGTGTTCTTGTATCTCTTGGAAGCTGCCCAGAAGGGCTAGGACAACCCATTCAGATGGGTGGGGTACAAATATAATAATTATTATTATTTCCTGTACAGTCCATGTGCTGCTTTGTGCATCTGGAACATAAGTGTGATATGTGTAGATAGATAATTTATTACGGTCAAAGACCAGCTCGCATAACACAATAAAAACAGCGTTCATAAGGATAAAATATAAAATCAGAGCAGATTACAGCAATAGCTCATGAATTAAAATTGAGATATATACATACACCCATACAACTGAGATTTGGGCTACCATAAAAATTGACTCTGAGGCACCCCAAAGGGCAACTTCAGCATTTCCCTAGTAAGCTGTTTTATTCTAGAGGATGATCTGTGCTGTGTAATATGTGTAGAAAAATCTTTGTGCTCAACACACCATGCACTGTTGATCAGTTACAGAAAAAGATAAACAAGTTTCAGGTTTTGTTGATTCAAGGCACCAGGTGAAGTACAACGAAAATTAAAAGTGCTACGTAGAACGTCAAGGTTCAGCTGTTGTTCGCTCTCAACCTACCAAGCACACACAGAACAGGACTCTATAGCAGATGACCACAAATGCAAAGGTCGCTAGTAAAGGCATAGACTTTTAACCCCAACGGTGCGTTATAGATTAAGTACATATTACACCATCGTTAGTACTCCTTCAACTGGGCAGACGGGCAGGAAACTGGAGCCTGGGAGGCAGTCCTTGCACACATGGACTATGGGGAGAGCATCAGCTGAAAAACAGCTATGGATTTGCAAAAAAGCTGAAACGGAAGACCGAGCAACTGTGGAACTGCCTGTGAACCGGGCAAGTTTTAGCAGGAAGAGAAATAAAATGCAGGAAAGGAAGTGGAAACTACATCTTTCAGGAAAAGAGAAAATCATGATATTATGACTGCTGCTGCCTACAAACAACAAAACATTGAGCATGAGTTCATAAAATGCCAAGCTGGAAATGTAACTGTCGAGTAACAGAAGAGAAATTTTGAAATGAGTTTCACTCCTCTTACTCGAGTGGATGGGGGGTGGGGAGGCATATTGTGAATAGGAAACAAGTCTGGATAATGTAGTTTTATGTGTTAAGTCATGGAGGCAACCTGCAGTGGGGGAGGGACACAAAGGGAGCAAGTGGTAGGGAGCTGTGGCTGTTCTGGGCAGGACAGCCAGTGGGTAGGCAGCAGAGTTGGGCCCGCAATCTTGCTCTGGGGTGTTGCCTGCTTCAGAAACTACGAGATGTGAAACCACAAAGGTCTGCAAAAGACACCAGGGTTAACACCTGAGTGCCACAGTCTTGTATTTTAAACTTGTCTTGTAGCCCACCTCTCTTCTTCCATTACTGATGTACAGTGAGGGGAAAAAGTATCCCCTGCTAAATTTGCCCGTTTGCCCTCTGACGAAGAAATGACCAGTCCATAATTTTAATGGTGCAAACCTCGTGGCCACCTACAAGAAACGTCTGACGTCTGTAATTGCCAACAAGGGTTTTGCCACCAAGTACTAAGTCATCTTTTGCAAAGGGATCAAAAACTTATTTCACTCATTATAATGCATATCAATCTCTCTCTGACTTTTGTCTTCTTGGCGTTTTCCTGTTGTTATTCTGTCTCTCACAGCTACAATAAACCGACCATTAAAATTATGGTCATTTCTTTGTCAGGGGGCAAACGAGCAAATTGAGCAGGGGATCAAATACTTTTCCCCCTCACTGTAGCTGAAGGAGAGAACCAGCTGATGGTCTCCTTCAATCTGCTACTGTGTGGCTGCAGCATCTTGTTCCTCTGTTGCTTACAAGCAGTCTCTGGAGTGAGGGAGCAGCAGCACAGCATGAGAGTTAGACAGGAAGGCGGACGTGCAAGCCTGAAGATGCCATAGCCCAGTACATGAATCGCCAGTTCCTCTTGGCCCCAAGTGTGAAACAACCACTACCTTCTCCTCCCTTGGCCCTGACGAAAGTTCTTACACTGCCTGGCCTACTTGTGGCACTCATGCAACTCCAGAACGCTCCCTGAAAGCAGCCCAAGACTCTCCAGCCTCAGATTGACTCCGTTGCTTGAACTGCTTCTACAGTCAAGGAAATGCTTTCTGATGTGTCCAACCAAAATTTATCTCTGTAGCGTTATTTATTGTTTTCACTGCTAGAGTGATCGTTAATTCAACTTCTTACCCGCCCCTCACCAAAAGGTCTCAGGGATGGGCTACAGCAATCTTAAAAAACAAAATTAAAATCAGTTCAAAAGCAAATGCAATTGAAATAACAGGATGGGTCCTAAAACTATGCATTTCAGGTGTCAAAGGCCAAGGCAGGTAAAGAAAGGCGTCTTCAGCATGTGATGCACAAGCATAAAACTTCCCAATTCAAATTCTGTCCTTCTGTCCAATGCTGGAATGATGGACAGCACTGACCCATCATTCCAGCTGCTCTTTCCAAGAAACTTTTTAAATATTGTAAAACTGTCAGCATGCTCCCTTGCCCACATCCTCTTTTCTCTAGGCTGAAGATACTAGACTTTTCTCCTCTGATATCTGAAGCTAATTTTGCCTTCATAAAAATTGCCAGAAGGGCAGCCAGGATAGCCTGTCACAGCAAAAACAAGTTAGGAGTTACATAGCGCTTAGGAAGTAACCAAAATAAACACAGCACAAGTTTTTGTGGACTAGGACACTTGTCTTCAAACTGGTGGGCCAGGATACACTAATGCAGGTTGGGTCTCTGTCTGTTTTTGGACTACAATTCCCATCATCCCTGACCACTGGTCCTCCTAGCTAGGGATGATGGGAGTTGCAGTCCAACAACAGCTGGAGAAACCCTGCACTAGAGGGGCAGGGCCTGACCCAAGGTAGGTTGCAACAAGAGGACTACCGGCATGCAAATATATAGGAAAAGGTTAAGAAATGGGTCCCCAAATGCATGCTTGGGTTAAAAGGATGCCCTGTATCTGAAAAGGTTGAAGATACCTGGACCAGAGTCTACTTCAGGCATAGGCAAACTCGGCCCTCCAGATGTTTTGGGACTACAATTCCCATCATCCCTGACCACTGGTCCTGCTAGCTAGGGATGATGGGAGTTGTAGTCCCAAAACATCTGGAGGGCTGAGTTTGCCTATGCCTGGTCTACTTCCATCAGAGGCAACAATAACTTTTTTAGTCTTTAGGTGCTATGGGATTCTTTGTTGCTTCTGCCTTCACGCCTAACCCCACTTACCTGGGAGTAAGCCCCCATTCCCATTGAGTTACTTCTGAATAGTCATGGTTAAGATTGCACTGTAATTCTTGGAAGGTTGCACAAACAAATGGGTAGTTTTACCTGATGGCTGAAACCATCTTCTTTAGATGAATATTGTAAACAGTTTTTATCCTCTAAGGGAAGCTCCTGATCGTCTTCAAAACTGCTGGTGTCGTCGTCTGAGCTTATAGGATCGGCCATCATTTTGCAGTCCTGACTGTAACTCTGGGGTTTCTGGTAACTGTGCTCGCTCGTAATGTACGTTTCCTCCATCTTCTGGGGTAAACTAGGGGGCTCTCTATGGTTTTGACCATGATACGTCCTTTCAGGGGGGTTAATGGTATCTGGCACAGCCAATACCCTTCTTTCCACTCCAAGAGTTATTTGGTCTGGATCCTTCCGCACACCTGTGCAAGCCCACAAATGAAGGTCAGGATGATGCTTGTTCCTGGGGAGAAAAAAAAAGAAAGATAAAGGGGTCAAAGTGGTAGAGAAACGAAGTCGATTTAAGCAGCCTGAAGAGGGTATCCGTGTTGACATTTTTTACAAAAGAGATTCGGGTGAGCAGTTCCATGACATGTGAAGTCTGCAGTGTTCACAAGTCCATCAAGTGGAACCAAGTTTGTCTCATGATACACATAAGTCGGTTGACGTGGGGGCGGGGGAGGCAGGGGAACTGGCTCAAATCTCTGTACGTCAACACTTCTGTCTCCACTTATGGAGGCAGCGAACCAGAAAATGTCCAGTTCGACGCCTGAATGCAAAGCAGGGCCTTTTGTCTTTCTGGAACTCAATCTGATGTGGCAAAGGGGCTTGTCAAAACAAATTACCGAAGTCCTGCAATGACCAGGCATGCTCACCTGAGCACCCAGAGACGGTACGGCTGAACAATGTGACACTGAAATTGGAACATATTGTTAATGCCTCGTGGCAGGACCATGTCACCTCTGAGCATTGCACAGAGCTCGGCACTTTGTTCTTCTTAAACAAATATCGAACGGCGATAACAGCTGGTCGAAACCATCAGGGGAAACTATGGTAGGAGAACTGAACTCCTCCACATCAAAACTGGCCCCAGTAAAAAACCGGAGGCATTCCTTTTAGGTATAATCACAAACAATATTCCTGACAATCAAAGGAAAGTATTCCTTTACTCAACGTCAGCTGCCAGGATGCTTACAGCAAAAAATTGGAAAGGGAGAAAAATTCCATCAATGAAAGAATGGCAACTTAAATTTTGTGAATATATAAATCTGGCAAGACTCACAGCATTTTTAAGGGAATAATCGGACCAGAAATTATTAAAAGAATGGGGATGTGCTAAAGAGTATATGAAAAAACATTGTTCTGTAGTAAGCATATCGGTATGTAATGAATGATGCTTTACAGGGTTAAAGAAAAATGGTGTAAAAAGTATAAAGATAGAAGTAATCTACATTAGACACAACAATTTAGAAAGAGTAAAATTTTTGAGGTCTTAGAACAAAGGAAGGAAGTCAATATATGTATATGTATGTAATGACTAGATTAGAATGAAGATATGGTTTTATTTGTAGATGTGTGCTTTTCCTTTTGTTTTCCTTTTTGTGTTCTGTTTTTCTTTCTTGTTTGCATAGTTTTATTCTGGATTCAATGTTTGTGATTTTTGTTGTAATTTTGCATTGAAAATAAAATTTATAAAAAATAAAAAACTGGCCCCTGCTCCCCTGAAACCATTCTATCCCTGCCACGCAACTACCCCCATTTTTAAGTGTCTGATTGTTCTACCAAGGTAAAGAGAGAATATCCCTAAAAAGCAATATGCAGTACCAGAAGGCATGCTTACTTTAGTATCCCAATCTTCAGCTGCAGCCCGCGCAGTATTTCCGTAACACCATACACGTCAGCCAGGAGGTGGTGCGTCGACACAATCTTTTTGGCATTCAAATGAGAGTAGTTCTCTTTTAAAAACGACAGACCACACATGTGGCCGTTATTCAACCAATCTTTATCGTAGAGATATTTGGCACTCCATCTCTGACCTAGAGACAACGAGGGATTCAGATCTTATTCTCTCGCCATCGCTTTTTGTCTTCTATCGGAGACTGAATAATGCAAAAGGGTGGGTGCACAGGTGTGTATCTGCACAAGCGCCACCACAGCTGCAGTTACAGGCAGTGAGAAACCATGCCCTCCGTTTAATAAACAGATGAACTAAACACATTCATAAGCCTATATAGGTTTATAACTCATAAATGGGAGAAGTAATGTGTGAAGGGGCCCTCAAATGGATGTCAGCATTGGTGCCGGGAAGGCTTATGGGCTCTTACTATAACTTGGGTAGGTTCCTATCACAGAAGAGATTTGCCTGCCTGCCCAATCACCTGGTTTTGCAACTTTGGGATGTTTCTGGGTCTGCACCATGAAGCCCCATTTGTGGTTGTTTTGTGGTGTGGTGATTTGCTAAATTTGGATCCTGAGCATCTTCAGGATTTGGAACACCAGGGGAAGACTTAAAATGGCAGACAGACTGAATTTTTTTATTTAATTGTATCTGTTTAATTCTCTTTCATTGGGACATACTTTTAAAAAAATTAATCTGCCTGCAACCTTTGGGCAAACAGTGGATTATAAATCATAAATAGAGCAAGAGAGAGGAAGCATTGCCCTGGAGGAAGGGTAGACAGCCTCCGACCCAAAGGCCTAATTTGGTCTGTCAGACCTGTTCATTTGGCCCACCAGGCCATTTGGCCAAGCCACACCCACCTGCCACATCATGCCATTATTATTATTAGTAGTAGTAGTAGTAGTAGTAGTATTCTGCCCTATACCTGGAGGTCTCAGGGCAGTTCACAGAATAAAATCAAAATATAAAACCACAAAATACATAATCAAATTAAAAACAACAACCAAATAACCCCCCCTCCAAATACCCACATTTTAAAAGGGAATAGGATCCTCACGCCTTTTAAAGCAAGACAATCAACAAACCTGGACAGGAGCCATATGATCCAACTCCCCACCCCTCCCCTGCCTTAGATGCATATAAGGGTAGAATATAGCATTAGGCCTCCACAAGGATGGGACAGGAGGACAAGGAAAGGCCACATGTTAGTGGCCACAGAACTCTGCAGACAAACCCAGGAAAACAACTGCAGAAAGTGTCACACTTCCTTGAATTTACCGACAACAAAAATCTCCTCTTTAAAAAACAAGCTGAAACATCTCTCTATAGATGGAAAACTAGCATGTTGGAGAACTGAGCTAGAACATTTCATCCTGAGGTGCTGCCTTTCCCCAGTTAGTTTTTGGGGGGGCATGTAGCGCGCAGCCTGAAGTCTGAGCAACAACTGCACCATGGATTTCTGCTGACTGCCTAGGCCAGATCCTAGACTATATCCTCACAAATGCTGGCTATAGAAACACACCCTTAGATGTGTGGGAAATGGGAGCAGTGGCGGTCGTGTGAGCTACTACAGGGGCTTGGAAACGCTGGGGCTTAGCTTGAAAATTTGCTCCTACCAGGTGGGTCCCTGCAAACGTAGCAGATGTATTGCTCCGGAATGCTGTCTTCCAACAGTCCCATGCACACGCTGTGCTGCCAACACAGGCACTCTTCACACTGTGGCGGGGATTAAAAGAGAAAGGAAATAATGCATCATAACGTGAGAGGGAAATTCAGGTCCAACCCTTGCTTGGTTAATGCAACAACAACAACATGCAGTCATGGATGGTGGAAGCTTTGGTTCAAAGTATCTAGGGAGGCAGCAGGCTCTGGATGCCTTGTCTAGAAAGACGGCTTATAAATACTGAAACAAATAACGGTTAGCGATAAAGAGAACCAAGGACCGTCTCTCGCTCATGTTTAACTGCCTGGAGTTAGAAGGGCCAATGGCAACTCCAGTATAAGGTAGCTCCAACTATTCCCCATAAATTGCATGAGACAGAACTCGAATGGTCTCTGGTGGAGGAAAAAGTATTAACTGTGCCATTGTAAGAATTAAAAATATGCATTATTCCCCCCCACACACCTCCACTGGAGAGCTCCACAGAGACTGAATGGAGGCACAGTGCTAATTCAAACCAGCCTGAATCATACCATTCTATAAGGTTTTTTAAAAATAATAATAATATCCCAAAGGAAAAAAAGTTCTGAATTACTGGATAAAAAATTCCATAGTAAACTGTACTGCGAGCAGACTCCTTACCTGAATCATGAACCCATTTTCCTCATCCATTTCACAGATACACCTGACAATTTCATTGAGAGTATCCTCTTCATCCTGAGATTCTTCGAAATTGGTTGAATCAAAGTCCTGATTGTACTCATCGCCACTCAGCAGCAAGCTCTCGGTAGAAGAGTCGTCTAGAAACTCCATATCAGAGAGGTCTGAAATTTGAAAACAATACAATTTGGCAAGTGGGTAGCATTGGATTAGACTGTGTGCATTTGGAACAGCAGACCTTCAAACTTCCTCTTTGGATGGACATTGGTATGATGCTGTGCTCACAAAAACTGCCTACTTCAAAAACAGAATATCAATCTTATTATTTTACAGGTTAAAAAGATTTAATACCCCCCATGCTTTCGTTCAGAGATCTTCCAACTCAGTTTACTATAAAGCAGGAACTGAAATGTAAAACATCATTACACAGTAAAACACCAATAAAAAAACCCACAAGCAGTAGTGCAATCAAAATGGAAAGGACTGGGGGTTTTTTGTTTTTTTTTTTAATGAAGTCTTTACCCAGTGCCCAGAAGTTGTAATATTCAACACCAGGTAAGCCTCCCTGCGGAGAGCATTCCAGATATGGAGGCAACAAAACTGAAAAAGCCTTCTCCCTATTTGCCCCCGACAGAAGAAAAACAGAGGTATGCATTGCTGTTGGGAAGCAGTTCTTTAACAATAGTAGCCAAAAGCACGAGCAAACTTTGCTGATGAGTTCACTGGATGAGCTCAGGCAAGCTACTACCAAAAGATGTGGCGAAGACATCTAGATAAGGGTTGGTTTCTCCCCCCCCCCCCCCACATAAGCAAAGCAAAACAATTAGGTTTATAGAATATATAAGGGCACACTAGCTATGCTGAGCATTTGTGTTCAGAGGCAGAATCTCTGAAATTATGAGATGCTGGAGCAGAAAAAACAGGAGATGACAATCTGCAACATGTCCTGTTTTCAAGATTCCAGAGGCACCTGGCTGGCTTAGGGAAACAAATGGGGACAGGCTACTTTTAGAGGGCTGTTATTAGGTTTAGGGGGAAAGATGTCCTTTATAAAGAAATAAAAATTACTCTTCAGAAATGCAAAAACAAAAAATTGATAGCTAAATCAGCACATATTTGGTTAATTCCTCAATTTCTCTAGATGAAAAATGAAATTAAGATTTAAGCAGATCAACATACAAGACAGAAAACCTACTTTCACCACTAAGGTCGACAGACAGAATAGCCCTTGGGTACTGATAGGATGTGTTCTTCTCCACGGTTGTGCTCCGTAGTGTCAGCGAGCTCCCAGAAGACCTAGTGAATGGAGAGGAGCACCTGTCCAAGTACTCAAGAGAACTATCGTCAAAATCCGAATAATCTGCAAAGTAATCACAAAACACACCACGTTATCACTGTCTACCTACATCAAGATGGTTTTTGCTAACACACACACACACCAAATATAAAAGGTAAAAACAAAAACCACCCTTGCTTAAAAAGTCACTCCTTTTAGCACTGTGTCCACATAGTCAACAAAAGAGGTTTAAAGACTGTGTCAAGGCAAATCTAAAAAAATGTAGTATAAACACTGACAACTGGGAAACACTGGCCTGCGAGCGCTGGAGAACAGCCTTTACCAAAGGTATCATGGGCTTTGAAGACACTTGAATTCAGGACGCAAGGGAGAAACGTGCTAAGAGGAAGGCACGCTTGGCAAATCCACACCGTGATCAACTCCCGCCCGGAAACCAATGTCCCCACTGTGGAGGGACGTGTGGATCCAGAACTGGCCTCCACAGTCACTTACAGACTCGTTAAAACCGTGTTTATGGAAGACAATCTTACTCGGCTACAAGTGATCACCAAAGAAGAAGAAGAAGAAGCACATAGCTTCTAAAACTAACAAACAGGAAATAGCTACCTTAAGCAGATTCACATGGTTTTAGAACACTGCTAGCCTCCAACAGGCAATTTTGGATATGTTTGCACATTCAGGTAAGAAGTGATGAATTACAGCAGCATGAGTCACTTGCTCTTCCCTTTCCTGTGCTGTAACACGCAAAAATGAAACTTGCATGTTTCCATTACAAGATGTATGAATTCTTGTATGGATTTCATACATCTTCCCGTAGGGCAGGTGTGGAAGTGCTCCCTTCACATGCTACCCAGATGCACAAGTGATTCCTGCAATAATTTCTCACTCCTGTGAATGTGCAACGCAGGTCTGTCGCAGGGTTTTCAGTAAGCGCCCACTCCAGTCCCTGATCACCAAATCTCAAGATCTCAAGATGATTGACAGAGATGTTTATGAGCAGCACATTCAAAGAGCATATGCCCAAGAATAAGAAATTGATCAACATCTCATGTGTCAAATACAGAGGACGCAACATGTTACCCTTGCACGTAACGCTAAGCCAAAGTATGGCTTATCATGAATGTGCACATTTAGAAAACTCTGAGTGTATAGCTGAGCCACAGTTTGGCTCAGTGTTACATCAGAACCTTGACCCCTGGTTTGTCATGCTCCAAACAAACCATGATACCACTTCCCATAATGTCAAATTCAACATCGTGACATAATATAATAAAAATGTAACTTTTCAGTTGACCAATAAGTCCAGTATGTACAAAATACAAGTCCTATATAGTCAGTGCCGTAGTACATTCTTTTCCAATTTCTTCATCTCTCTTGTATTTTGTATTTTTCTGGTATCTAATTTTTTAGAAGTAGTTCTAGTAAATAACTTTGTGATTGTTACTATACGGCCTATTACGTTTACGTGTGTTTTCAATTGGATCTGCTTAATATAGGCATTCTGGTGATTCATGGTTTTGTAACTTGCCAAACAAACCATGAACAAAAACCAAGGTTTGTTATTGGCTTACCATTTGCTGGTTTGTTTCTAGAATAACAAAGCATGAGCCCAAGCTTGCATGCAATACTAAGCCAAACCATGGCTAACGTCTTGGTACAAACAGAAGCAGCTGGACCTGGCAGAGGAGCAAAATGGCTACAATTATTTAAACAGGCACCAGCCTGCCTGTCCTTCATGCTAGGCCATAGATTGGCTTAGTGTTATAGGTGAATGAGGACACTGGCGCATGATGTCAAAAGAGCAATTTGGTCAACGGGCAGTATCTCAACAGAGCTAATAAACACATCCTGAAGCAACACTGGAGCAATTTATGCTTAAAGCTCATAACGCATGGAGATCAATCTAGCAAGCAAAGTCTGAAACAACAGGCAAAGTCTTTAGCTAGATTTACTATATTCTAAACTGTACCATGCTGCTTTGATTTCTTCTTTTTCTTTTTCTTCTTTTTCTGTTTCGACTTGTGATCTTTCTCCTTCTTCTCCTTCCTTTCTTTATCCTTCTCCTTCTTTTTACCTACATTGCAAATGGATCTTTATTAAACAAAGGGCATCAGTGTAAAACAAACGCAGCCTGTTCCAAGATTAGGTCATGTGCTTCCAGCCACCTGAGAGTGGAACTGTTCGCTTACAACAGTACTTATGTCTATTTACTCAGAGGCAAGCTCTACGGAGACATACTGGGCTTACTAGTAAGTGTATTTAGGATTGCAGGTGAAGTGGCCCAACGTTTTCAATTTTCAAAGGAGAGGGAGTTTTAGAGATGAACCAAGAACTGAGCCTTGCAAAAAAAAAAAATCTACAGAGGCAATGAAATTTAATGACAAGTCGTAACTCAGAATTACAGTCATAGTTCAAGGTTAGTTGTGTTTGAACGAGAGCAACTAGACAAGGAGGACCTGACTGCAACAGCACTCTCCTCTCCTGCAATTCCTAACAGCTGGTATTGAGAGGCATGCTGTCTCCAACAATGGAGCTACGCTACATATATCTACACCACTTCTACGAATTTATTTAACCCCCTTTTAAAGCCATCTAAGCTGGCAGCCTTATGGGAGCAAATTCCATAGTTTAACTATGTTCTGTGTGAAGAAGTACATTCTTTTGTCCTGTGACCCCTTAAAAAGCGTTAACAGGTGAAAATATAATAATAATAATAATAATAATAATAATAATAATAATAATAACAACAACAGACAGGCTACATTCCTGCTCTCTCAAGCTACAGTTTTGTTTTGTTTTTGCTGAAAATTTTTGTCCATACCAAGAAGCGACGAGCATCTGTCTTCCAATTTCGTTTTTCTCTCCGTTTTCAGCATTCCTGTGGATGTAAGAAAGGAAACAGAAGCTTAGCAGAACACTGCTGGCAACAGTGTGTTAAGTCTCTTGGGGGCAAGCACTAGGGACCATGCTTTAGTTCATTTATACTGCTAGATCTGAAAAGATTAAACAACGGAGGATGAGAAACAAGGAAACGAATCGAAGAGAACTCACATTCACTGTTCTCTAAAAAAGAAATGTAAGTGGGAGATATTTATATCTGTTGTAAAAAACAAACAAACGAGCATTTGCCATGCTAACGAAAAGGGGCACTGAATTATGTTACTCTGAAATTTCCATTTCTAAATTAGCTGCAGCCTCCGTGTATGACTATGATCCATTTCATGTGTGATCCTCCAGGCTAAAGAAGCTGCTAGAGATTATTATCTGAATACGTTTTGCACAGAAGGTAGAGTAAAGGTGTTGAGAGCAGGATGAGAGGTCCTAACATTAAAGAAGAAATGAATTCTGCAAGCCAGCCCAGTAACCAACTTATCTCCTTGCACCTTTTCCTAATTCTTTGCATCCCAAGAATTCTGTGAGGCCTGAATAGCACTGAGAAGACAGATTTGCTTTTAGATAAAGGGTCAGCAATCTTTTTAAGCCAGATTTTTTGGAATGTGGCCATGAACATCTCCCCTTCCACTTTTCTCCCCCCTCCTCCAGAATTATTTGTTTCCTGAAGTAAACTTCAGCTTTCATGTACTGCTTTGCTTCAGGAAAAGATCGGCACAGTTTATTTGCAGTCTCCTTATGTTGTCTACATTAGCTAATCATCATGCTTCCATTTCAGAAAACTGGGTGTGACTGGGTTGCCACCAACCAAGCAGAGCAGTATCAGAGATTTAAGCTGTTCCCAAAATTGTTGCTTCCGAAGATAGCTGAATGAAGGTGTAAGCAGAACCATGGCTAACTACAGTGGGTGGAATCCATCTAAATCACTACCCGAGTGGAATGACTTCTGCAAGCACAACTGAACTTCCCCTCCCTCTCTACCCGCCAGAACAGATTTGGGGCAGGGGGTGTGAAGAAGAAGGAGGGGAAGTTCGGTGCGCACAATGACTTAGTTGGATACACCTCTTTGTGACAAGGAGTGGTCCAAATACGGCCATAACCAAAACAGCAAATAGCAGGGCCCTTTTCATACACAATATGGCATGAAAAGTGGACCCATGCACTGAAACAAGAGAATTCAACTAACCTCTCCTTAGAAATAAGTCTGCCCGAATGATACACAAACACACGCTCGTCGCATTCACACAAGTATTTCCTAGGTATACAAGTTAACATACTCTAAACATACGCAACGACGTTGCTAGCCCAGAGATGGAAAGAAGACAAAGTCCCTATCCAGAGAAGAATGGCAAATTAAACTGTTGGACTATGCTGAAATGGCAAAACTGACTGGGAAGCTCAGAAACCAAGAAGACCAAAACTTTAATAAGGAATGGGAAAGATTTATAATTTATCTTGGAGACCGCTGTAAGCAGATGAAAACGTTAGCAGGACTGCAATAACACTTGTTGTGTAGCAAACACAGTGGAGTGATATAAAATATGGTCTACTGAATAATATGCAGTTGAAAGGGTTGACAATGGGACCCATGGAAGGGAGAGGGTAGGAAGTCCAGGGATTCAGAGGAATCTTTAAATAGGGATGTGTATGATGGCATTGTCATATTCTTGTACTTGAAAAATCAAATAAAAACTATTTCAATAAACCCCCAAACCATACTCTAATATACATCTAGACAGCAGAGACATCACCTTGCCAACAAAGGTCCATATAAAGCTACGGTTTTCCCAGTAGTGATGTATGGAAGTGAGAGCTGGACCATAAAGAAGGCTGATCACCAAAGAATTGATGCTTTTGAATTATGGTGCTGGAGGAGACTCTTGAGAGTCCCATGGACTGCAAGAAGATCAAACCTATCCATTCTGAAGGAAATCAGCCCTGAGTGCTCACTGGAAGGACAGACCCTGAAGCTGAGGCTCCAGTACTTTGGCCACCTCATGAGAAGAGAAGACTCCTGGAAAAGACCCTGATGTTGGGAAAGATGGAGGGCACAAGGAGAAGGGGACGACAGAGGACGAGATGGTTGGACAGTGTTCTCGAAGCTACCAGCATGAGTTTGACCAAACTGCGGGAGGCAGTGGAAGACAGGAGTGCCTGGCGTGCTCTGGTCCATGGGGTCACGAAGAGTCGGACTCAACTAAACAACAACAACAATATACATCCAGAAATGTTCTAAACGCAGTGGCCTATAGCATTCTGAATGACCTAATACACTCTTGAAAGCCGCTGACAAACGTTTTACCTGATGCCACTGGGGCTACTCTGCCATCAGTCGTCGCTTTAGAAGAATGGCACAACACCATCTGATTATCTTCCTTCTCTTTAATGGGGTAGTCACTGCGGAAAGCAGCCTCCGCAGTTAACAGCGCCGACACATCCAAGTTGCGGCTTAAGTCAAGAGGGAGGCAGAGTCCGCGCTTCTCAAGGGAGACATGAGCAACATTGGGAACTACATAAAAGAAAGAACGGAATATTAAACGACAGAAAAGCACTGCATTCCTTGAGGTCACTGAGTTACACACCTAATGTGGCACAGTTCTCGTCTATTAGTCAGCTCTTGTCAGGCAGGGCATGTCTTGCAAAGGTCTTATGTTTAACACTTGGATTCTCTCTGGTTCTTTACTTTAGACTGAAATACATTACCCTCCAGTAATGCTGGCAGCTGATTTGGGGCATTGATGGAGAACAGTTTTCTATCAGTGACTGGAGAGGGAGAAGGAACTTTTTCTAGTGAACCATGAGGCAACGAACCAGTCGCTAAGCGCTGTGATCTTCTTCTCCGCTGGCTATTTTTGAAGGATCTAAGGGCACTCATCACTGGCTGTGATGGACCTAAAAAGAGACCTTGCAATGTTCATGAAGCAGACACAGGTCATCGCCTTACTCTAATATTTCTAAGGAGGTCATAAGGCGCTTGCCTTAAGTGGTTCCCCATCTATCACGGCATCGCTCTTTACAAATAGAAAAATGGGGGATACCAGGAGACTAGAGGAATGGTTTTTAGCTTCAGTTAGTAGAAGCAGGCTTTTAATGAAAAGGCTTGCAATGGGGAGGGGGTCCCTTGTGATGGAACAAATCTGGCACAAAAGGTCATAGGCAGCACTAATATACCTAAGCTCCCTGATACATTTGATTTCTGACTCTCTCACTTCCTTCTTAACTGCTAGGAGAAAATTATAAACCAGGGATGCTGAACCTGTGGTTCTCTGTGTGTTGTTGGGGCTTCAAACCCCCATCAGCGCAAGCTGATGACCAGAGATGATGGGAGCTGGAATCCAACAACAACTAGAGGACCATAGGTTCCCTGTTCCCACAAAAGGATGTTATAAATAAATGCAGAGTATACCATTTCTTAACATTCCTGAAGCAAGCAAAAAATGATAAACTTTCTGATACAAAACTGTTCCATTGTTTTTGCAACAATGCAATATCTGCTGAATGCCCTCTGTGGGATTGCAGGGCCTGGTAACTTTTCGGCAACTAATATTAACTTATTTGTTGCGCTAGCCTTTCGGTTAGGTTTTGGAAAAGCACTCACAATGTGCCTATTGTTCTTTTACTTCGGTCTGAATGTACTAGATCGGTTAAAATCCTGTTTCCTTCACTGTTGCTTTTTATAGTTATTTATAATTTCAATAGCACGTAAGCCACCTTGGAATGAAGGTGTGTGCACACGCATGTGTTCCAGCTTATAAAATCCTTGAAAAATTAAGTTTGGTAGGTTTGATAATATACTAAGCAATCGTGAGTTAAAGCCAGGGGGTAGTCAACATGCTTGCCAGGTGTTGTGGACTAGAACTTCCATTAAAACACAGGAGCCTGGCGAAGGGTGAATGACAAGAAGATCTGGAGTGCATCGTATTAGCCATGCCATTGTAAGCCATTATTATATCACTGATTCAGTGAATCCCAATACTGGGCCTTTGCATTCAGAGTTTTAGAATTTTGCTCCTCATCTCCTTCCTCCAACACTACCACTAATACAGCAAGCTGTATTTGCTATGCATATTGAAATGATCTCATAATCATGCGTATGTAAGTGAATTATGCTGGATTTGATTTATACACAAGAGTTATGCATAGGGAAGTTCTCAAGAGGAATGAAGGGTCCTTTGTTTTCCTTTGGTCAAATTCCAGGATTTTTAATTTATTTTTGGGAGGGGCGGAGGTTTACAATGGGTTCAAATTCAACCAAAGCAAAGCACTTTGCAATCTCACTGATTTCAGTGGAAGAAATTCAAGTCCGTGGTTAACTCTTCTGCTGAAAGCAACGGGACTGCAATGGTTTGGAGGAAGTGAACTCAGCAAAGTTAATTTCCACATATCTACATTCAAGCGATCACTTTAAAAGCTCGCACCACGAAGTCTAATTTGAAAACCTACCTCCTTTCAATGGCTTTCAATGTGTAATATATACAGGGGATTTTATGCTATGCGTTCTTGGCTTCTGTTGTTCTGCTCTTTTACTTATTAATTTGTGGAATGGATTCTTCTTTTATTTTATATATTGTAAACAACTTTAGATCCAATGGAAGCCACTTTATGGAAAATGTTTCTCAAAAAGCAGTGTATAAACACAGCTTAAGAAGCCTCATAATTGGAAATATATATATAATACCCAGGTTTAAAAAAAATGAGGGGGGGGAACACCTGCAAAATGCTCAACTCTCTACAAAAGCTCTAACTATGTTTTTCAAGTCTACCGCAATAGCTGCAGATTAAGAGGGATTCCCTTTACAGTGCTATCTTTGCATTGTTAAAAGGCACAAATCATCCTCAGTGAAGGTTACTTACCGACATCATGTGCAATCGCAACAAGTGTGGACGGCAACATTTAATGAGGGAAGATTTAGAGTGTCATTGACTGATGAAGCGTTTCAGTGCAAAAGGGGGCAGGGGGAGAGAATTACATTTGCACAAGCTGTTTCCCTCTTCTCAATTAATTAGCAGCACAATCCAACCAGACGTTAGGTGCGTGCAAGTCCCTTTCAAATCAGCGAGACTTGTTAAGTAGCTATGGCTGGATCATAACATTCAGCGGAAGATAATTTTAACTCGGAGATGGAAGAAAGCAGCCCTAGGAAGTTTTTTGTGTATCATTCTTCATTTCCCGGAGAGATGCAAAAGATCTAGAGCAGCGCTTGACAGAATCCCCCCTTCTTTACTTTACAGCTGACAAGGGATTAAACCCTCTGGCAGGGAAATGTTAAATGGGGCGATCTGAAGGGGGGGGGGCGCAGGCAGAAGAAAGCAAGTATTATTCTCCTCCATTTCCCTACCAAAGGGATTTGGACATTTCTACAACAGCAAACATTTCGCTGATCAGTTTTCTTGCAGTTTTGTACATTCCTGTTTCCCCATCTAAACCAGCCTCCTTTGGACCCTCATCCCAGGGACTGAAACCTATTTTTTTGTTTGTCTTCTATAGCACTAAAAGAGGAATTGTCACACAGAGAGCAAGAGCCAGTAGGTCCAGCAGGCAAATCATGCCAGTAGATTTTCTCGAAGATGGGGGCGGTGGTGGGGGAACAACAACAAAAACAAAAACACCAACACCACACAAGAATGGCTCATCTTCTTTCTGAAGAATCAGGGCCTCCAAAGCAGATCAGCTGTAGCCTTTGCTGCTCCGTGTAACATGACGAGTTGGGCTCTTGCCATGAATTTCCGCCATCGTACAAGTGCCATACTGTGTGTGTTTGATATTTCAGTCTTGGAAACAAATGGGTTTACAAAAAAAAACCACAAACAAAAAAACCCACACACACATAACCCAAAACTTCCAGGCAACCATATAGGAAAACTTTTGGAAGCGGCAAAAAGAGTTGGTTTGGGTTTTGTTTCCTTCCTCCTTTCAGATGACCGATGTGCAAGGAGTTTCCAGTACTGGCTACTAAGGATTTGGGGGTGGGGGGTAACTTCAGTGGTGAACTTAATTGCATGTACTATCCCATGTCACACTTGCATTCCACTCTCCCAGCCCCCCAAACCCAGTCTGTTATAAACAAGTCACATTCAAAAGAAAAGGAAAAAAAGGAAAGAAAAAGAACCACCCCAATGATGATTATTTCCCAATATGACTGTAATAGAAGTAATTATGGTATGTTTTAAAATGTCTGTGCTCACTAGTTTTATTTATCACAGAAGAAGGAAGCTGGGAGACCAGGGTCAAATCCTCCACTTGTATTAACTCTGGGGAAATTGGTGATTTAAGGGACTTTATACACCCTGCAGAATCTCCAGATTCTTGTTTGCATTTCTTGCTGCGAGCCTTTCCTGAAGACAAAGTTGAGGGCAACAGTGCAGATTTCTGAATGTTGGCAGAACTGCTAATATCAGCTTCATTTTTTTTCTGACTTTGAGGCTTAGGTGATATCTCCTGAATAAATAATAAGAAATTGATACTTTTATTGCAGTTTCTTCATTGCAGCTCTTGTATTCTATTTCGATTTATTTTTTAAAAGCAACTTCAGTACTTAACAACAGCACATTTTCAGAACATTCCCCCCCCACAAATAAATAATAATAATAACAATAAACAAAGTTAAGAAATAAGCAAGCTGAAACTTCAAAAAAAGGACTCAGCCAAAGACCACCATCCCAATCCAGTGAACTGCTTCAAGGTGCAGGAACCAGGATATGCCCTTGTAATTTCCTTTTCTCGATTCCCCCCTCATTTCAACAGAGAAAGACTGATCCCCACATGCAGTCCAATGCATGCGTGGATGGGCTCATTCTCTATAGAAAGGGGGGGTGGAATCTACACCTGCAGCCTACTACACATGGATCTCTGGATCAGGATGTGAGGCCGTAAACATGTCTTCAGTTCTCATAAACTGAATGCAGTAGCTCTTCAATCATGCCAATACATTCGACAAAACCAAATTTTCGCCACATTTCTGCAGACACCATTACCATAGCAACTTTACTGCTAATTCTTCAAAGCACTACCCGCCCCCGCCCCCCAGAAAGCAAGTAAAAAGGTAAAGGGACCCCTGACCATTAGGTCCAGTTGTGGCCGACTCTGGGGTTGTCAGCCCCAACAGCTTACAATTAGGTGTGTGGTTGCGGTGTCCCTGATTCTCTGCAAATTCAGTTCAATTTTAAAACAAGACATGAAGAGTCTGGCAGTGTCCCTTTATTATTAATTATTATTATTATTATTATTATTAAAAAACCAACAACGATTAAGGATTTCCACCCCCGAAGTAATCTGAATGTCACCACATTTATTTGCATTAGGATATCACCCGCTTTCTCCAACAACAACAACAAAACATAACGAAAGCGTTGTAGGCTAATTAATTTGGAAAAAGTCAAAGCATACTGCATTTTCGAACATGTGATTGTCTGCATCGTATTTTTGTCCAATAAACGTAAAGGATAATTGTGTCAAGACAGACCTATCTATGGTTAACAAATACTAGCATTTTAGGTTTGTAGCTACTTTCCCACATGGAGTTAAAAATGATTTTCCATCTGGTAGGCAAGATCATTGTGCAAGTAAAACCTTTCATCAAACCATAGAAGAAATTCAGATTATGTGTCACCACTTTTGGTAAAAGCAAACAAACACAGCTGAACACCACGCAAGAAGAGTCGCCACACTCCTAATATGCAAGAGCGTTCTCCAATTTTCAAACCTTTGTATACGCAAGTAATGTAATTTTGGTATTGACTGCTTTCTCTTCCGGTGGTTCTGGACATTCAGAGTAAGAGAAGAGGAGTGGACAACTTCTAAACTGAGCCATTTTTGCTATAGTCTTCTCAAATCACGCACCCGACCTGTCCGTGCCACCAGATAAATGTGCAAACCAGCCACCCAAGTGGGTACAGGCATTTGTCAAAAGTACAGTAAGATTAATGTTGCATTTGGCATTACGGATGAAAGACAGGATAGGGTGGGTCTGCAAACGAGTATAAAGTCCTTAAGTTGTCCACCACTCGTGCTCTAGACACTAAAAAGCCACACTGGAAGTACCACATAAGGGCCTGGTGGTGTGAAATGTCCCGTCCAGCTACCAATGAACCAGCAATTCATGCACATTGAGAGTATAATTTATTCACGTCCAACAAGGATTTGAAGGATTGCAGAACATATCTAGGCTGATTGAGAAACTTATTTACCAAAAATTAATTAGAGCCGTAACTTGTAAATAAATGATTTTATTGTTTATCTTCACATGTGTGAAAGACATCACTACAGCAACCATTACTTTCAAAGTTACAAAATTATTTAAAACAAGGTTTTAAAACTTGTTCTAATAAGGTGCTTAACCTCTTAACAAGGACAAAATTAAACATTAGAAAAAACCTTAAACGAATGTTACTCGTTCATCTAAGCAGTTGTTGCTCAAAAGGAAAGAAAACATGGCCCAACCCTAATACAGTTAAATAGACTACTGTACCTGCTTCATGTAACCTGAGGGTTTAGGGTTAAAACAGTTGTAAACCAGAAAAGTGGGGGGTATCAGCAGCCTAATAAGACTGCTGGCCTGAAATTCTCCTCTGTATTACACTTGGGGAAAAACTGAGCCACAATTTAACCATAAATGTTATCGCTGTAGACAGCTTAGCCATTGCAAAGTCATTCTGGCCCAAGACGGATTAATGCTGGCTCCGCTCAAAATACAAATTGGGAACCAGACTCAGGAAAGAATGCTCTCCCTCCTCCATTCCTTTCCCTAAATTAACCATAGTTTAGAGTCATATATGCACTGATGCAGACCGTAACTAACATGTACTGGGGTTTCCTATAACCATGGTTTGAAAACCCACTTAAAACTATGGTCACTTGGGTTCTAAAGGAACCGTGGTTTGCATTTATTTTGGTGCAACTTTAAACCATGGCTAATACTAGGTGGGAAGAATTGCTCTGAGGTGCTCATATGTCTGGCTTCCAATCTGCATGCCTTTTAAATATATATATATATATATATATATATATATATATTTGCTGGGAGCCAGTGTTACATCTGCCCAAGACCTCTAAGGTTTCACTCCTCAGTCATCGTTTGTTTCAACGGAGCTAGTGGCTAACTTTAAAAAGGTGTGCAAATTCAGAATTTTCCCTACCAAAAAAGAATGAGTAGGGGAAGCAAAAAGCTCAAGTTTGGTTTCCCGTGAGAACATTTGCTAATAACTAAACAATTTATAAAAGAGAGTCCACATAACCAAAGTGTTTGCAAAGACACATTTCATAGGCTGTTAATTTGAAATGATGACAGCAACCTGTAGATACGTAATTGTAAACTTCCGACAGAAACAAAAACCAGCCATGTTTAGCTTAAAATACACAATGTATTCTATATTTTGTTGCTGCAGAACAAAGTCTGCAAAACTGAGATAGTTTCAATGGTGGCTCTGCTTGGTAAGTTAAGGTTAGTGCTGCCCTGTTTGTGGAAGAGTCATCAGGTTGTCAATCATTCCATAACTTATTTTAATTGGGGGGGGGGGGCAAGGAAACTGGCTGCAATGCCCCAAACCATTTCCTAGGGGGCAGATTCATTGGGATGCCACAAAAAAGATTGCTTTTTCATTATGTGTTGCCAGGCACATTTGGTGAGAAATAGTCTGTCTAACTGTCTTCTTCCTCCTCCCTGTTTCTTGCATACTGTGTTCTTGGACTATGTGGGTTTCTCTGCAGAATCAAATCCAGGTTTTGTAAGGGCATGGAGCATTTGGTGTGGCGTGGTGAAGAAGTGAGCAGGAGAAGAGGGCTTAAGGGGCTGGGTTTTCACATTTTGAGTGCCTTCCAGCACCTCTGCTTTTATGATGCCTACAACTACTTGATCAGCCAATTTGGGGGCTGCAGCCTTTATCCTTAAATACGCGAGAAGAAAAAGGTAAGGGTGGAACTACATGTTACAAAAAACACAACGCTGCCACTGGGAAAATACTAATTCCTATGCTGAGTCTCGCCCCACAACCGCCAACACAAACACACATAACGTCCATAATGTCTATTTCACTTACTGCATGTCCTGATGTCACTTGCAATGTGCTTTCCCCCCTGCTCTTGCAGGGAAAGTACACAACATCAGGACAAGGGCTGCAATGGCAAAGCCTTCAAATGGTGGGTCATGAGTCATGCTCTAAGTGCCACCACCATATTACTTTTTGCTTGTACAACTTTGGCTTTTTAAACAAAAAACCAAAGTGGAAAAGAGGGATGGGGTGGAAAGTAGAAAAAGCAGAGGGATAGGGAGACAGAAAGTGAAAAAAGAAAAAGAGCGAGAACTGTAAAATAAATTGGAACTGTGTCCATCTTGCAGACTGGAGCTAAACAAGAGTTCTGGATGCAAGCAGTTTGAAGGCCACTAGGCTAGATGTTATGGAGGTGACTCAATAAAAGCCTGCCACTTTTAGTGGAAGCCGTGTGTTCTTTGAAACATGCAGTACTGCCTTAAGAAGCTGCAACGCACAGCAACACATTCTCAGCTCTTAAGCAAAAGTAAAAATACATTACGGCAATGCATTGACACCGCAGTGACTCAAAAAGGGCTGTTAAGACCTAGTCACAATTGAACCCTAGTTTAGGGATCGGGAGAAGTTGTGGGATCTCTTTCTCTCTCACACACACAAACATTTCCCCTCAAACATACAGAGTTAAGGAGAGTATCAGATCTATTTTCATCTAGTTTGGGAGTCACACAGCTCCAAAGCCAGTTACAGAAGGGCAGGGGGAAATTGACTTCTGGTTCCATGGCCCAATTCCTAAATCCAGGCTCAATGGTGAAATCTGCACTGGGAGTAAGTGAAAGCTGCACATACCATAATCAATGTGCTACCAAAACCAGCACAGGTTTAATGAGGGGAAAGAGTGGGGAGGAAATATAGTTGCCTGTATAGGTTACTTCCTTTGACCCAATTATTTAACGCAATATGGAGGTATGTTTCAGAAAAGGGTTGGGGTTTGTTGTGGGCGGGGGGAGTGGTAGACGAAAAGCACTCTTCTTAAAAGGGGGGTCTTTTTAAAAAAGAAAAAAGAAACAAACTACCCACTAGACAACAAAAATCCACATTAAAAACTATATTAAGGCTCTGATCTGAATAAATTAAAAAGGTGTATAGATTTAGGGCTCTCTTTAGCTACCTTTCGGGCAGAATTAACTAACACAGAAACACTTCCTTGATTCATTCTTGCCTGAAATGTGCTGAACGTGGTAGTTTATGGGAAGGTGAACAGGAGTCCAGGGAACAACCCACATGCGCCTGTGACGTCATCCTGTGGGTGTCTCCACCCATCCACGAGGGAAGCTGCCAGCAACTGGGTGGGTGGGGTTGCAGCCTATGTGGCCAAAGTGAGCAGAACACCAATTGTCCGCCTTCACTTCCTGTTTGATGCACAGGCTTCAAAGCAGAACAGGAAGTCACAGGCTCCATCATGCAATGGGTCTGTAAGTGACTCCAGTATGGCTTTTAGTTTACGGGTTCTGGCCAAGCAAAGGCGCACGTGTATAAACCCCGGGCGGAATCACTGACCAGAGCTCTACTTGCGGGGGGTGGGGTGCTGCAGGTAAAGTGACTTTAGAGGATTGCCCTCCTCTTCCAGAATGAGCGGGCAGGCTAGGTGAGCTACATGGGCTCTGTTGACTGGGAAGCAACCAGTTCAAAGAGCTGCAAGCTGGAAAGAGCTTGGTTTTAAGCTGGAGACTGAAATTCTCCCTAGCAATATGCCTACTCGTGAGTTAGGAGGCTGGGTTGCAACCACACATGGCATGGCAGGCTACCTGCTTACGGATAGTCATTCTTCTGTTTCTGCATCCAAATTGCAGACCATGTGAATGTTCTGAAGAAATGGAATTAATAAACATGTAGGGGCTTAGAAGAATAGTTTGTCCTTCTCTGTGTGCACATGCCTATAAACTAACATATCTAGCACATTTTCAGATACAGGCTCATTCCTGGAAGTCATTCCTATGTGTCAACTAATAGCATAAAAGCAGCACCTACGACTGTGGTTATTTATCAAGACTTGTTAATTGTAGGCACAGCCATGCACAAAATGCGTGACCGGAGAAAACTCAACTGAGTGGAACAGGCTGGAGACAATGTGGCCATCCTCCACTTTAGATGTGGACTCAAACCAGACCCCTAAGATATTTTTAATGTCTTCTTTTTTCCTCGTATTTATTAAAAAATATACATCCTAGCAAAAAAAGGTATGGCTCATTGAACAGTTTCATAAAACACATACAAGTTTACAACACCAATTCTTACAATAGAAAGGAAACTTCTTACAAAAGAAGTTCTGGCAGATGTAAAAAAGAAACCCAAAAAAAACCCTGTGTCGAAAAGCACAAACTGAATTTGTGTCAAGGGTCTTCTAAGCCACTTGTGGGCACAATTCCAGCTATATTGAAACGGTACCTGGGGACAGACATCTCTGAGCTTTCGATTCTCGGGATGTTCGCTTATGAAAATAAAGGTAGCCACGATCTGGGACATCAAGCTGTCTGATCCAAAAGTCCATACCACAGAAGCCAAGCCCAGACTTAAATCTGAACCTGCTTCCATGCTATGCATCCTTAGGATTGCAGACTTACTTTCATTAACTCCATTTATGCAGAAGTGTAAACATAATTCTTTAGTCCCCTATTTACTTTCTGTCTGGCAGAGCAACGTTAACAGCATGGACCTGATATTTCCCATGGTACATTCCAGTAGGACCCTTGCAAAAGAATCAAACTCTACAATTTCATACCTGCTCCAAGACTGGAGCTGCTTGTTTGTTGCCTTCCTTTTTTTCAGCACCATCAGCGCTGACGGCTTTGGATGCCAACAACCCTGCAAAAGAAAAAGGAACACAGAGATAGGATTGTTTTGAATTCACTTCCGCAAACTTGATGACAAGTATAATCTTACGGGTGGATCTGAGTAGACTCCATCTACATGCTTTATGGAAACACAAGGTTTAAACGGCAAAGTCTGGTGCTTTATTACTGACTGGTAGATTTAAGCTGTCCTGACATTGGCTTTGACAGAACCCTTGGTGCTCAAAGCCTTCTCTATATTCAGGTAAATGCATGCAGGCTTCAAAGTGAGGAGGGAGCATTCACTCAAGCCCTGCCATCAACATCCCTGCACCTGCCAACTCTGCCTCCAAGCTTCAGAAGTTGAGAGCCAAGATATGAAAGGAGATGCCAACTACATTCAGCTGAATAAGCTTAGAAGTGGCCTGTGATTAGGAGCCTTGTTTTCCAGGACCCCTGCTGGACGTGAGAACATCTAAGAACACGGGTAGGCAAACTGAGGCTCACGGGCCAGGTCAGGCCCAACTGCCTTCTGGATCTGGCCCGCGGATGGTCCAGGAATCGCCACATGGATCGCCAGGGTGCATACTTTCCCTCTCCCTCATGTGGAAGTGGCACCTCCTCCCTCCCTCCTCCTGGCTTCTCCCTGCCCTGTCTAGAGGAGGAAGGGGGCTGGGCTTTGTTGGTGCCTGCAGCAGCAGCAGCACTCGAGCAGCTGCCATTCTAACCAGCCCCTCTTCAGAGCTCTTTTGCGCGCCGCTAATATTCCCTCCGCCGCAGCCACCAGCCCCTGCTGCTCGCAAGACACAGGAAAACAGTCACCGGGGCTCATGGTGCTCTTGCATCAATTCCCCTTCCCCTCCTTCAAAATATAGTTCAGTCCCCCACAAGGTCTGAGGAGCAGTGGACCGGCCCCCTCCTGAAAAAGTTTGCTGACCCCTGTCTAAGAGTGTAAGAATCATAGAATCATAGAGTTGGAAGAGACCACAAGGGCCATCGAGTCCAACCCCCTGCCAAGCAGGAAACACCATCAGAGCACTCCTGACATATGGTTGTCAAGCCTCTGTTTAAAGACCTCCAAAGAAGAGCCTGCTGAATCAGGCCAGTGGCACACCTAGTCCCAGGCCCTGTTCTCATAGAGGAGTAGTCATAATCATAATCATAATAATGTATTATTTATAATTCCCCAGCCACTCTGGGCGGCTTTCAACAAAATATTAAAATACAGTAATGCATCAAACATTAAAAGCTTCCCTACACAGGCCTGCCTGTACATCTTCAGTGCAACCCATGTGCACTGGGATACTGGGGTCAGGGCTTGCACACATGCCCTCGACCCAGTTCAAGCCTGCATGCATTCTGACAAACACGCGAATAAGAGTTCAAGGATTTTACTAAAATCAGACTTAGTATGTTCTCCAGCAGCAAGACCTGGGTTTGACTAAGGCTGCAGGAACCCTCCCAGGCTGGTTTCTTTCTTTTTTTAAAAAATGGTGCCCCACAGAGGAAAGTCTTCTCTTCCCTATACAGCTACTGCTACTGCACTGCAGCTGAAGTATGAGCAAGCACACATGAATTCCTGAAGGGCGCTTGCCAAAGCAAATTTGTATTTGCATGTTAGATGTCACTAGGCCCTTCTCACATCACTTGTTTTATAGCCCTTTGTACAGTGATGTAACAGGTAAGCAGCATCTAATTATAACTGTTGCAACAGTCAATCACAGGTAAAACTGTTGTTTTTATTCAGTGAGACAGAGATACAGTGGAACCTTGGGTTTTCGAACTTAATCCGTTCCGGAAGACCATTCGGCTTCCAAAACATCTGAAAACCTTAAGAATTTGTCAAAAATGTACAAGCTGCTGTTGAAATGGAACACTCAGGATGAAACGGTGAAATCAGCTATGATTAAATGGGCACAAGATGTTGGACATAATATAATGATGGCTGACTGGGAACAGTTATGGACCACAGGTATGAAATTTACGGCATGTAATGCCCTAAGAGAAAACTTAATGAAAATGATTTATAGGTGGTACATGACACCAGTCAAGCTTGCAAAAATTTACCATTTGCCCGAAAATAAATGTTGGAAATGTAATGAGACTGAAGGCACATTCTTTCACCTTTGGTGGACATGCCCAAGGATTAAGACATTCTGGGAGATGATTTATAATGAAATGAAAAAGGTATTTAAATATACCTTCCTGAAGAAACCAGAGGCCTTTCTCCTGGGCATGGTCGGCCAATTGGTGCCAAAGAAGGATAGAACTTTTTTTATGTACGCAACAACAGCAGCAAGGATACTCATCGTGAAGTATTGGAAGACACAAGATTTGCCCACCCGGGAAGAATGGCAGATGAAGTTGATGGACTACATGGAACTGGCGGAAATGACTGGTAGAATCCGAGACCAGGGAGAGGAGTCGGTGGAAGAAGATTGGAAAAAGTTTAAAGACTATCTACGGAAATATTGTAAAATTAATGAATGTTAGAAAAACGTTGAAATGAAGTTATATGGCTTTAGTAGAAATATTATAAGGAATTAAGTACAGATAGGTTAATAGAGTATTAAAGGGAAAAATACGGTTAGAATGAGTTAAGATAATTATAGGACAGAAAACAGAGGAAGATGGAAAGAAATTGCTGAAATAATTAACAGAAGTGGAATACAAAAAGGGAGGTGCGAGGAGGTCGTGGAAATAAGTGAATGAAAGATGGGATAATGAAATTGTTTGAGTTATTTTATTGTCTTTGTCTTGTTTTGTTAATTTGATGTGTTGTATTGCTTTTCTTTTTCTTTTCTTTTTTTCTTCTTTTTTTTAGTGTTTTTGGAAAAATAATAAATATTATTTTAAAAAAAACAAGAAAAAAAACCAAAACATTTGAAAACCAAGGATCAATGGGCTGGCTGCAAAGTCAATAGCAAAAAAAGGAAAAAAAAGTCTCAGGAAGCCATTCAACTTCCGAAAATTGTTCAAAAATAGAAGCGTTCACTTCTGGGTTGTCGGCATTCAGGTTTTGAATTGTTAGGCTTCCAAAGCATTCGACAACCGAGGTTCCACTGTAACCGAGATGAATAATGACGTATTTCTTTGTTGCTCATAAAATCTGTTAATCAGTAGTCAATCAGAGTTTCTGTTGAATTATAAGGTTTGTAATAATAACAATTATTATTTATTATTTGTACCCTGCCCATCTGACTGGGTTGTCCCAGCCACTCTGGGCGGCTTCCAGCATATATAAAAACATAGTGGAAGTGTAGCTTTAATGCTGACTTGCAGTTTGATGCTGTCATACTTATGCATGATACAAGTAAACTTTGACCTTGATTAAAAATATAAGGTTAATAAAAGCAGAGAGAGCAGAGCACATTTATATGCTGCCTTCCAAAATATATTTGGATGGCCATGAAGTCAGTTTCTTATTATAAAGCAACAGGGTTTGTGTGGTTTTCAACTTGAATTAGAAGACCCAGCAGGCAAGATAACATTTTGGCCTCTTTTTGATGGGGAAAAGCAAGCCAGAAGCCCAAAGCAATTAAACATGCTTTTCAGCTGAGCCTGCTTGTAAGTTTCCCTAGGTTTCTTCTAATCAACAGAAATTTCCAGTCGTGAGGAACAGCACTAATTGTTTATTTGAAATAATTTCTACCTTGTTCTTTCTCCTTAAGGAGAGCTGAGCGGTGTATATTGAAAACAGTAACCAAACATGAACAAGCAGTGAAGTGGTAAGTAACCTGATCCCAAGCCATTTAAGGATTTATAGGTCAAAATCAGAATTTCGGATTGCGCTCACAAATGAATAGAATCATAGAATCATAGAGTTGGAAGAGACCACAAGGCCCATCGAGTCCAACCCCCTGCCAAGCAGGAAACACCTGGTAGTCAGTGAAGTTGGGGTAACATGAACCCTCCTATATCCCAGCCCCATAGAAAGCCTGGATGCAACATTCTGAACCAACTCAAGTTTCTAAACGGTTTTCAAACACAGGAGCCCCTCAGAGCATGTTACAATAATCCAGGTGTGAGGCAACTTTAAGGCATGGATCACCACAGGGTCAAGAAAGGAATGTAGGTGGCAAAAACAAAACCCTATTCTTAATTATGCAAAGGTCTCCTGGTCACAGTCAAGGCCTGAAAAGTCAGGTCTAAGGCTGGGTCGAAGAGAGTCAGAGTATTTGGAGGGAGAGCAACCCCTTCTCACTGTCATTTCTTAAAACGTGGTCCCCAGAAATTTAACAGAGAGTAAGGATTAGACGAAGGAAACGGGGGCATGTCAGACGTGACTAGGGACTCCCAAGTAATGGAATCCCCTCCATGGTTCAACATATTTCTAACTATAGTACAGGATGTGGAGGGCAAACATCACTTTCATATCCTGGCTGCTACTGAGGACAGAAAGCTGGACTTGATACACTTTGCGTCTGATCCAGCAAGTCGGTTCTTATCCATCTAAAGAATAGCTAATCAACATGGCAATATGACCAATGCCACAGTCATACAAATGACCCCACTCTCTCCTAATACACACTTGAAGTGCACCTTATGTGAATGATCCAAAAACACCGAACAATGAACAATTCACTTTTCGAAGATTTAGAAAGCTCCCCGACAATGCAAAATAAGCACAGCACATGAGCATTTACACAATGCAGCACCTTAGAGTAGAAGTATGGATATTTGTAACAAACAAAGGCAAAAGCAGTCACAATGCCAAGTCTTAAAGGAGAGCTTACCAGTGATCTTGTTAAGCCGAGCCCTCTTTGCCTGAAATGAGTTGCCTAGGTTATTTTTCCTCTTGTGCGCCAATGCATTCTCTGCTTGTGCAAAGGCAATCTTTGGGACGTCCACTAGAGGGAATCCTGTGTTTATAAGAGATGAAATCACAGAGTAAGGTCATATCTCAAAAAACCTTGCCCAAACACAAAAACTTAAGAAATATATTGTGCAGCGCAGTAAGACACCAGAAGATTTATTTACTGATTTCTGAAAGAATATTCAAAAGTGTGCGACAGCTTTATCTGATTTTTTAAACATGGAAGTTCTTCTGCTTGCAGTTGCTGTTTCATAAATCTAAGTCACCTGGGGAGGTAATCGACAGATTGCTAACACCCACCCACACAGTCTACTTTTTCTGCCGCAGGGTGGGGAAGGATGTATAAAAATTTAGTTGTACCAAGTGTCTCACTGGATGTAGGCTGCTCTTCCTTCTTCTGAACTTCCTGGACAATTGCTGAGGTTGACGTTTCTTCCTTCTTTGAAGGAACTTTAAACCACTTTCTCTCCTCTTTGTCTTTATTGCTGTTCGCGCTGGTCCGAGGTTTAACTCCCGCTTTGTTTTTGGCAGCGGCCACCGCCGCAGCTTTGACCAGAGCGATCCAGTCCTTTCGCAGCAAAGGAGAAAAGAGGGAGAGAACAAGGGGGTGAACTAGGCCAAAATGAAATCCAACTGTGACTAAAAGGGTCTTGGGAGAAAGGGAACTTTTTTCATGTTAAATGCATTTTTACAGATTTGAGCATTCAACTGAGTTTTCCATTTTCCATGCAAACTGAAAGGAAATAGATATTCATCACATATTTTGTACAGGCTGCTACGTAACATATAGCATGTACACATGCATGCAAAAAAAAAAAGAGAAGCAAATTTTTGGGGGGTGGGGTGGGGAGGTTTGTGGCAGCAGCTCTTAAAAGCCGAAAACACCAGTTTAGCTTAGCCGTTTTTCTCCCTGGCACTCAAAGATGTTAATCGTATTTCTTAAGCATCTATAAATTTGGCACTGTACAAACCAGGACATAGAAAAGATGCTTTATACTAGGTCAGACTATGTGTCCAGCTAGCCTAGCTACGTCGATTTTGACTGGCAGCAGCTCTGCAAACTGCCGGGGATTATTCACATCACCAGTATTCAGAATGAACCTAGAACCTTCTGTATCAGTGATGTGCATTTTCAAGAAACTGTAAACTGGGAGGGAATCCTATTTCAGGGTAATTTGTGTCGGATAATATTCAGCTTGCTTTGGAAATTTTTCTTACATCCTAATTTGGCATGTTTTCTCACATTTTGTAAACAAAGCTGTAAGTTCTGAAACTGCCAAACTTGTGTAATATTGCATTTGCGAATGGCATATGTTTATTGTTAGCAATGAATTTAGGAAGAAGAAAATGTTCTGTGGAAAAATAAATTTAGAATTTAAATTCTATTTTTCTTCCCCACCGAAACAACATCTCTTATGATTCTATCGTCTCAACTATCTCCTCGATTTGCTAAGGTTAGTGCTCAAAAAAGGGAAACATACTTTGATAATTTAGCTAGGTTTTCCCTTAAAGCAAGATTACTGCATCCCACTGCAACATGAAGGCTTAATTTCTCCCCAGGCTTTTAAGCTGTTCTTTGAAGGAAAACATCTGGAGCAGTTAGTGATAAACTAGCATCTCCTCTGTTCCATGACCTGCTGTTTTGCAAGCACCACAGAGATCTGAGAATCTTTAAAGGTGGAATCAAGGGTTTGATAAACATAGCATGTGTAGCCTGCACATGGATGTACCCATAGTACATGTAATCTAAACGCTCAAACACACCTTGCATGAAGAAAGAAAAGTTTTATGGGTGGGATTATTTCACATGGAGTTCAATCTCTGACAGACTGGCTGCATGTTATTTCTCCAACACCACATCAAGAGAGAGCGTTATTTTACAACAGCCACCTTCACAAGATCAGCTTTGCAAAGAAAGTTTCAGATGCAAAGTAAAGCAGACAGCAGTCTGCTTCACACATAATGTTAAGCCATGGTTTAGTTAAATCTCTGAACCTAGCTCCAGCAAATCATGAATTTCTGGCAAAAAAATACAACATGAAGTCATGGGCTTTTGTTTGCTCACAAACCAGGGCATGTTTTCAGCTATGGTTTGGCACTACTTAACAGTGCTGCTTAGGGACGTGGGTGGCGCTGTGAGTTAAACCACAGAGCCTAGGACTTGCCGATCAGAAGGTCGGCGGTTCGAATCCCCACGACGGGGTGAGCTCCCGCTGCTCGGTCCCTGCTCCTGCCCACCTAGCAGTTCAAAAGCACGTCAAAGTGCAAGTAGATAAATAGGTACCGCTCCGGCGGGAAGGTAAACGGCGTTTCTGTGCGCTGCTCTGGTTCGCCAGAAGCAGCTTAGTCATGCTGGCCACATGACCCGGAAGCTATACGCTGGCTCCCTCGGCCAATAAAGCGAGATGAGCGCCGCAACCCCAGTCGGCCACGACTGGACCTAATGGTCAGGGGTCCTTTTACCCTTTACTAACAGTGTTGCTTAACCACAGTTTGTTTGATTACCACAGCTCAAGATGCTTGCCAAGCTACTTTCCCAAGCTTTGAAGAAATAAGCTGTGGCTTGTATGCTTATCTGACAGAGCACCCAAGGTTTGCTGAACAAACCACAGGGAAAACAAACCACAGCCAGTGTTTCCATGCCTTCCAGACACTTATTCTCCAAACTAAAGCTGTGTCACATGAGAGCTATTTTACAGAATGGCAGCATATGTATTTTGGTGCCATCTGAGTGACACTGAAGGCAGACTAAATTACCATTTATGTTTATGGTCCTAAAGTCTATTAATTAAATATCTCTGAATAAAAGCAGCCAGGCTGAATCAGACTTGACAGTCCACTTCTAATCGACTACCCGGTTTCCTATAGCTGCCTGTCATATGTCTCACAAGCAGGACATGAAAGTGACAGCACGTCCCTGCTGTTGCCCTCCAGTAACTGGTATTGAGTGGCAAACTGCCTCTAAGCAGAGACCATAGCATTCAAATCTGCTTTTATTAGTGTTCTTTCATTTCTTTTCAATTCAGTGTTTTGCTACACAGTCATCCTGAGACACAATTTTCCGAATGGGGCGCATGATACTGGAATGATGAGAAGAGGGGTAGGTTAGTAATGGAAAGGAAGACTGAAAACAAGCGACTTGATGGGAAAAGTTTTCCTAGCAGGTGGGATGTGTGTGTTATTTAGAACTACAGGTTTTAAGACCTGTATGAGAGACCTGCTCCTAGACTCCTATTTGGGAGCTACACACACTCAGCATATCTCTACCATTCTTCTTAAAAATCTGCTAACATATCCTCTTCCTGCAAATGTTTGGCTTTATCACATCTCCACTGTCTTTAAATTTAAAAAAAAAAAAATGTACATTTAAATGCAAGACCTGGGAAAAGGAAACAACTGTTAAGACACTATAATAGCAAGTTTAATCAGGAAATAGATTATACTATCTTTAGAGTTGGTGGCTGATAAAAGTCATCTAATAACCATTTCCCTACATGGCCAGCCGCAATAAGGTTTCATGGTGAATCTGCATACAAGAAATCACTGTAATTAACCCTCAGATAAGAGTTATCATACTGTTTGAAGCTGCCACGTTTCCTGTGGGATTATGTCAAAATCAATCCAGAGCATGATAGTACCTGCTTGTTAAATCTGCATGCAAGCATCAGGATGCTATGGAACCAAAACCTTATCTCACCTGTTCATAGCGTTATTTCAAAAACCCACATATGTCACTAAGGCAGGGAACCTACAGCCAATCCTAGCTCCATGACACATATATCTATACAGCAACACATTTGTCACATTCACACTTTACATATTTAGGCATACATCTAAGTGTAATTGGAAAGCTGCCTATAACCGTCCACTGGCACAGGCTACTCAACTACTACTTTGGCTTCTTATATCCATAAATTATCTCAAAGTCTAAGGCTATTTAGAGTATAGGCAAGCTATTGCACAGCTTTTCAGGACAAACGTGAACTGAATTTAAAAATAAATAAATAAAATTTGTTTGTGGGAGATCTGGTTTCACTTTGATTTTGTGAACTGAACTAAAAAATGTCAAGCATTAATTTTCCATGCTGGATAAATCAATAGTTTTTCAAATTGCCAAAGTATTTGAACTGTAATTTGTTTTTTGAAGGGGCGGGGGAGGGAATAAAGCATACCTAAGGTAGCTTACATTTTATACTTAAAAAACTCAGCTTGCAACAATTTGCAACTTAGCTTGCCAGTTATTTCTACTGGAAAACTTGTAAATATTTTTAAGACATGGCAAATCGATACAAACACTTCTTTACACTGTTTAAATTGTAAAGGCACTAAAAAGCTGTGCAATTACATTATATATGCATGCATTATTCCCAATGACAGCCACCTGAAAAACATTACTTACACCTTTGGGGCTGCCAATTTTTACTGGTATTCTATCCCCTGAGTTGAATCCAGGCTAATTTATTTAGCTTCTGCTGAAATCAACGGAACAAGCCAATTAATGACTAACTTGACCAACTGATTTCAATGCGACCTGCAATCGGTAACTCGGTTTGGATACGACCCATTCATTGTTATGAATGGATAAGGTTGCAGCAAGACCACTGCTGGATCAGCTCAAAGGCCCAACTAGTACAGCAACCAGTTCTCATTGTGGCCAGCCTCTGGGAAGCTTGCAAGCAGGACCGGAGGGCAGCTGCACACTTGTGATTCCTAGAAACTGGTATTCAGAGGCAGTATAGGAAACATGGTTGTCATGGCTAGTAGACATAGCTAGCCTTATCTTTCATGTATCTGTCTAATTCCCTTTTAAATTCATCTAAGCTGGTAGTTATCATCACATGGGAGGGAATTGCCTTGTTTAACTACGTATTGTGTAGAGAAGTACTCCAGCATAATCCTATGAAACAATGCGTTTTCTGAAATGGGTTATTTTCTGTATGAAACCAAAGCGGTGGGAAAGTTTGTGGGACATTTCCACTCCATTATCACTGGCTAGGGAAAAAGGTCATGTCTTATATAACACTGCCAGGAATTCCAGCTGGTGGGTGATAGTGATCTGTGCTCCAAAATTAAATGTATTCAGATATGCTCATAATTTAGATGCCCCCCACTGTGAATTTTAAAAGAGCTGCATTATGCAGGGCAAAGAGTTTCCCCTCTAAAAGCTGCAAGGAGTCACAAGCCTGACCTCTGGCACCTGTACCTTTATAATGCAAGCATCTGCAGAAATGTGCTTGCATATTAAAATATTTGCCTTCTGCACACACGCACACAAAATTATGTATGGCAGAGTAGCCAAAAAGCAGCATGAATTCACAACACATCTCTTGAATGTTACAATGAGTTTGTGTGCTGTGTTGGAATGGGAAACCAACCACACAAAGTAAGGAAGGAGATACGTTTTGAGGAGCAAATCTCTGTAGAGAATTGTGCAAACCTGCAAGCTTCCTGACAGCTATTTCCAAAGCTTGGATGATCTGACCACCCAAAATTGATCATCTACTTCTCCAGATCATCTATTTCTCCAACCACTTAGCATCTCTTTCCTACCTCCGCCATCCCAGACATCTCCAGTGACCCAAACAGCTAGCCAAGAGCTACATGTAATAATTTTGATTGTTTGCAAAATCTGAAAGCTGCTACCGTTGAGTCAAAGCTCAGGAAACTATGAAAGCAAAGCAAAGAAACCATGAACACTAACCCAGAACCTCAGAGGCTGTACAAAATTCCTTTGTCTTAAGATAAAGCTACTACTTTATTTCGTTTTCTTACGTTCCTAACCCACCTTTCTTCCACTATGGAGCACAAGGTGGCATACATGCGGATCCAAGGTCCTCCACCCAGGCACTGACCAGGCCCAAGCCTGTTTCACTTCACCATGGTGGTCTAAGCAAATTTTGCTAGAGGCACAATTCAGAACCACCTTTCAGCTTTACAAGTGAGAAAGCAAAACAGAGAGCAACATTCCACCACCAACAGTTTCATCAGTAACAGATAGCTACCTTATTGTCACCTTTCAGATGCGTGTCCTCTACAAGAAGCTTTCGTTCTCACTGGAAACATTATGCCTACCTGAAACATCATCCATCCTGGGCACACCTGAACCAACACTGGACTGCTCGCTCTCACCTTCTGAGGATCTACACAGCTCTGCCCCACCTCTCTGACAGCTCTCATTTTCCACCTACTGTCACCTCTTCTGCTGGTCCTGGCACAACCGGGTTTTCATGGCTTCTCCTCAGCTTCTGTTTCCTGTGTGCCAAGAGCCCTCCCTCTCCTTCAAGTCCCTCAAAACTCACTTCATGTGGATCGTTATCCGTCACTAATCTCAGCTCCGGCGCTATCTGCTGCCACTCACGCGCCTAATTATATTGAAGATAAAACACAAACATGGAAACAGAAAGAGACAAGTTATCATAAACGTCTCTCCACCAGAAGACTCCCGTGCACACATCTTTCATAATACCTCATATCCCTCCCTCAGTAATATCTGCCTCCAAAATCAACAGTTTAAATCTTTTTCTAAATAAGAACATAACCTGCAAAATCTATGCAGTTAATTCACTTTGCCGCGCCCACCAGTCATGGTTTGGGGCCAACCAAAGTCAGAAAATCAACAGTGCCCCAATGATAGAAAACTAGTGGAAGAATAATGTTTTCTTCTGAAAAATTAATACAAGGTATTACAACTTCTACATTAAGTGACACAGGGAGAGAAATTTTAATAACGCATAGTATTTTTGTTAATTGGTGGCTTATATATTTATATGCATATTGTTGTATCACTCATGTAGTTGCTCTCAATCAAATGCAAGAAAATTTCTGAGATTGAAATGAGAGAAAATAGGTGAGGAATCTAAAAGTGAATACTGAAATGCATAAGCATGCAGTTTTAAAGGCTCAGACACTACACCCAACCAAGTTTGCTCCAAAAAAACCCATTTCTGTTGGATACATACATATTGCTGGACACAAATGTATCTAGTGGTGGTACATTTGCCATTTCATTTCCATATTGCAACTAAATGCTATGAAGCAGCAAGTTGAAAATAGTAGACAGAAAAGTAGTATTTTTGACAACATAGCAAAAACAAAATTTTGCTGTGTTTATCTGTCTGAAATGCTCCATCACAAAATGATTTGAGAGGAATTCTGTCCAACTTCTCCTGCTGGTTTTCGTTTATACAGGTTTCGCACTGTTGGACCACATCCTAACCATTTAAAAGCCCTACTCCTTCAATAATTTTTTTGCTATGGCTAGTTGCGCCCTGAATTATTTTACAATATGGGCTTACTTCACGTTCAAAATTTCCCACAGCTCTATGATGATAACACATTACGCATAAACAACATTTTTATTGACGGTGGCTCTACCACTGTGCAGATCACACGTGCATCTAAGATGGAGCACATTCTCGAGAACAGAAAGCCTTGTTTTGACCACATGCTTCGACAGCCAATTTTTCAAAAACTAAGAGTGGCTATTTTCCTGCGTTACGCATTGGGGGCCCATGCAATTGTACCACACCGGTTTGCCAATACAGTGGTTCACAACCTACAACTGAGGAATGCAGCCAACATTACATTGCACAGATGCACGTGAAATACAAGGACCTATTATTTTGACATCCCGTGATGTTCAAGAGATGTTTGAACTAAGGAACATTTTCAGAATCCTGCCTCAAAATGGGTGCTCAGTGCTGCTTCCTCTGTCACCATTCGTTCCGCTGGTTTGGGTAAACTTCTCCCAGAGCAGCAGCGGCACTTTTGGATGGAAGCCAAGTAAGCTTCAATCTTTTTGTGGGAAAGTGCCGTATTATAAGCCTAAAAACGCAAAACCTGACACCGACATCAAGCGCTTCACTGCAGGGAATCTAAGATGAGATCCATCCGCTGAAGAGGGGGTGAGTGACTAGTGGGGGCAACATCTAAACTATTCCCAATATGGAGATGCAGTACAGTTGCTCCTCAAATTTCATCTAAAATGAAATTTGAAGGCTTCTCCACAGACTAAACAGATCAGGAATGCCCTGAGAATCCAAGAGACTTTTGCTAAGTGTTAAGAAAATTTCTCAGAGGCACTCTTCACACTTCTAAATAGCCATAAAGTTTTGCTTAAGGGATAACTCAAAGAACTTGTAAGTGGTTCCTTACATATGAGAAAGACTTGGGGGAGACTGCACATCATCATGACTCATTCTATGCTAAGATTTTAAAGTCAAGCCAATCCTGATGAAACGGAAGTCCCTGCATCAGGACTGCTGGCAACCATTTGACAATCCTGTGCTGTTACGCTTAAGAAGGGACCCCATTCTGCAGAGAAAGCATAGGTGAGAGGTACAAACCCTCTAGCTTTCTCCCTTTTTTTTTTAGCATGCATTAAAAAACACTGTATCTGAAAGACACCTGGAAATTCCTTCTTTGCCCACTTTAGGTTTGCAGTTTGGCTGCGTGGACATCATTCCATTAATCACATCAGAGCAAAAAGTCAGCTTTACTCAAAAAATGGGCGAGGACGAACGGTGTTTAACTTTCTGCTTGTTACAAATTTTATTACATATTTATTTTATTACATATTTTATTGGAAAGCTCAGCCCAATAGTTCGTTTTAGACAAAGTGAAATTGTGCTTCAGAAACAAAATGAATCTAGCTTTGCTCATCTTAAAAATGCTACCAAGAAAATACTAAACAATAATAAAAATTAAAAACCCCAGAATGCAAACTCTGAATCATTCTCTCTACCCTTCCCAAGGAAGATTGGTCCTTATTTTCCAAGCAACGTCTACTTGGATGTTGTGTATCTACTGCTGTAGCTATGCAACTGAGCAGGCAAAATTTCCACTTTCCTGGGGAAATATTCCAGAGTGTCTTGAAGGCCCACATTAAAAAACAACAACCCAGTTCATTCTTAGTGCAATGCACAAGTTCAAAACCTAGATATGAAGATAAAAAGCTGCCTCATATCAAGTCATGTCATTGATCTATCTGGCACATTTTTTATTTACTCTGATTGGCAGCTGCTCTTACAGGTCTCAAACAGAGGTCTTTCATTACCTGCACAGTTATGATCTTTTAACTGGGCATGACAGGGAAAGAAAAGGGACTGCTCTATACCAGTGGGCTACAGCTAATCTAAACCTTGTTGTACTTTTGAATGCCTCTGTAGACCTTCTGGTGCTGGCAGTGCTTGGCAAACTGTAGTTCTACATAGGTAAGCAAAACTTCAATAACCACAACTAGAACATATCCTAGTGTCCACATCTACCATGACAGGCAGCGGAAATCCAAGGACAGCAAAGAAGGAGAAATATATTGTGTGGATACTGTATCTGCAGACCAATGTCATGCCCACTTCTAAACCAAGCAACAAATCAGATCCTCTTCAGGATTAGTATTCCCTAGCAATCTCCAAGCAAAGGTGGCAAGCTGGAAGGCTTATGCTCCTTCCTTGACTCTTCTAGATAAAGAATTCTAGGTAGAACCATGGCAGAGATTTTCTCCCCATGTGAAAGCTATGTGTGAGAACCATCTGCCTGCTGAAAATGCCAGGAGAACCAAATGCCAAAAATTGCCTACCAAGAAACAATGGCCTTCCACATGAAAACTAGGCACTTTTTGTTAAGGCACACAATGCCAAGCAAGGAAAGAACCCTTTTAATCAAAATGCTAAATTCTAAGGATTGTCTGATGTTGACCACCTTGCAGACTTCAACCAGAGTGGTTAATAGTTGGTTAGTGGGATAACATAGTTTCCTCACTTTCCATCTGTGAATGGCAAACAAGTAACTGGAAATACAGAATCTGAAGGGTCTGATCACGCTGGATAGATGAATCAAGAGTGAAGGGGTGTGATTTATATTTTCCACAATTGGATTTATACCGCTTAGAATCTGCTTTGGCAATTAAGCAGTATATGAATAAATAATAAGTAGTGATAATCTAACACGGATGTTCACTTACCTGACCTTTGGCATCTTCTGGCATAGATTTTATATGCATTCGTTTAAGACACCGAATCACTCCATCGTAAAACTGTACAGTAAAGGTTCCTAGAAAAAGAATGATATGGAGATAAGGAAGTAAAATTTAAGCTACATATTAGCACACCGTCTCAGAGATGTCACATGGTGCTATACCAAAACTAAAGGTAAAAGGTAAAGGTAAAGAACCCCAGGATGGTTAAGTCCAGTCAAAGGTGACTATGGGGTCGCTTTCAGGCCAAGGGAGCCGGAGTTTGTCCACAGACAGCTTTCTGGGTCATGTGGCCAAAAGGACTAAACTGCTTCTGGCGCAACGGGACACCATGATGGAAGCTAGAATGCATGGAAATGCCATTTACCTTCCTGCCACAGTGGTACCTATTTATCTACTTGCAGTGGTATGCTTTTGAACTGCTAGGTTGGCAGAAGCTGGGACAGAGCAACGGGAGCTCACCCTGTCATGGGGATTTAAACCGCCGACCTTCCGATCAGCAAGCTCAAGAGGCTCAGTGGTTTAGACCACAGTGCCACTCGCATCCCTCATATGCCAAAACTACAGCAGCATTGAAAAGGCAAGATCAGCAATGAAATGAAATTTCAGGAAATGAAATTTCAATTACCAAAACCACAACAGCATTAAACAGGCAAGATCATCAATGAAATGAAATTTGGGAGAAGGAAGCCATGGTTTAACTGTCTTTGGGATAAGCAAACCATGGTTTAGCATTATGCATGAACCAGTCCAGTGACAAATCCAGAATTGTGAATTCCTGAACTTTTCAGACATGCAACCCAAATAAGATTTGCAGAGTGCAATCACAAATTACCTGGATTTTACATTCATTCATGTAAAAAGATGAAAGTATATTTCTTTTATTGGGATTCTGTTCTTAAATTCATTACAAATTTGGGGCCAGCAACTGCTAACAACAGTCACCTTCCATAAAGGGTGGGAAGGATTAACCAAAGATGCACTCCATTTTCAGACTAAGTGTGATTGCTGCATGTATATCTGGGGTGGAAATAATGTCTGCCAATGAATACTGGATGTAGTGACTTCAAGTTAAAACAAAACAAAGCACTTGTGGAAATGGGAAATGGAAACAGTAGACCAGATGAAATTTTTGGTTCAAGCCAGTAGGTTAAATTATACATACCTTCTTTGTTAATTGCTTCAATCTTTGCAGGGTAATATCGACAGTCTGTCCAACGAGCTAGAACCTCTTCTCCGGGTTGAAAATCCTGTTTTAAAAGGTTTAAGAAAATAGTGTGTTAACATGACTGCAAATGTATTCAATGCTAGCATATAGAGAACTTAAATACCTGAACAAACTATATGGAAGATCTACTTATTTCTCTGTTTTCCATGAAAGCATGTTTATTATTATGACCCAAGACTTCCATATGAAGATATTCTCATAAGGGGAGAGATAAACACTTACAATAAATTCATCATCATCCTTCAGACCCTCTTTCCTCAGCGATGGGCGTTCAAGGGGTCGCAACCGATTGCTGTCCCAATAAATCCATTCATCGTAACGATGACTCCAGCGCTCAAAGTGGACAAGCATCTTCCCCTCTTCATAGTCTATCTTCTCAATGCGTGAAGGATACCTTCAAGAAACAAAACAAAAGATGCTGTTTTGGCAGGCTATAACCTCTGTATTTCAATGTACTAAAGACTCATAGGCCTGTTTGGCTGTGCATATCATTTTCCATATGAATGGTTAAGAGAGTTCAGGCTGAAACTGCAGTAAATCAAAATGGAAGGCATCATACATCCCGGATCTACACAGCCCGTTGCACCCCCATCAAATGCACCCAACACAAATACTACTGACAGCATAAATATTCAGAATATTTTTGTACAACCAGAAAGTTTTTGAAATTACAGGTAGAAATGTACACTAGTTAGCTGTTTGGGTTAGCTCTATAAATGGTCGCAGGACAAATACAGCCTAGCCCTATCTCTTTTATTTCTCCACCCCAAAGAACTATCCAACTAAATAAAGCAAGAACACAGCCAGAGTAGCTGTAACACTGATGACTGCAATAGCTAAATATGTGCAGCCCATACAAAGCACAATCCTAACCATGTCTACTCAGAAGTCAGTCCTATTTTATTCAATGGGACTTGCTCTCAGGTAAGTGGGGTTAGGACTATAGCCGTAGTCTCATAAATATGGCCATGGCTTGAATCAGATATTCACAATACAGTGCTAACAGCGGGAAAATGCTACAATGGTTCAGTGGCGTTATTAAGCCATATCAATGGATCTTTCCACTCTGCCCTCACTCACTGTAAATGAATACAGTTGTACTTCGGAAGTCGAATGGAATCCATTCCAGAAGTCTGTTCAAATTCCAAAACATTCAGAAACCAAGGCACGGCTTCCGATTGGCTGCAGGAACCTCCTGCAGCCAATCGGAAGCCGCGGAAGTCCCATCGGACATTCGGGTTCCAAAGAATGTTCATAAACCGGAACACTCACTTCCGGGTTTGTGGCATTTGGGAGCCAATACGTTCGACTTGCAAGGAATTCATCAACCAAGGTACGACTGTACTTCAATTAAGCATAATGGTGGCTAGCCGTGATGGTTATGTGGTACCTCCACAGACAGAGGCAGTATGCCTCTGTACAGGCAACTGTTGGTGGGAATCATTAGCTGGAAGAGTGCAGTTATACTCAGTGTCTGATTAAGGGCTTCTGATAGATATCTGGCTGGCCACTGTGAGAACAGGATGATGAACTAAATGGGTCTTAAATATGATCCAACAGGGCTGTTCTTAGGTAGTTTCCCATTACATGAGAACTGGGAAAATATAGTTACCAGGTTCAGAACCTGGCCCTAAAACCCATTCCAAACTCTGATTTCAGACCCTGATTTGTCAAAAGCTAGTAGCCATGGTTTACCAGTTCAGACATAACAGAAAACTAAGCTTAATTTACCCAATTAGGTATACAGTGCACTAAGAAAGGAGGATGGAAGGTGACGTAGGAAAACAAGAGTGCAGGGTAGAAAGTTCATTTACATTTCAGCTTAATAAGCTGCATGTATGTACATCAAAAATGAGTCACAGCATAGGAAGCCGTTAAAAAAACAAACACGCTTGGCAATAGATGGAAACAGAAATGTTGCAATAATACTGTGGAAGATCAACCTTGCTAAACAATCATGCTGTCTAGAAAGCATTAACATTTTAAGTAAAAATATGTGGTTCAATGGTTTTATAGCAGTATTTTTCAATGGAGTGGGTTCAAACTTTTAGCTGCTAGTTAGCAGATGAACATGGACGTGTGAACCAGCCCTGTGTATCTTAGGGAATTATGAAAATTCTACTTTTTTGCCTATGCAAACTTTTAGAATTACACAAAGATGTGCTAATATTTCCATAAAGCATTTCTTAAGATACTATTTTCTGAAAAATTTTAATCACAGGTGCAAAAAAAACCCTGAAGCAGAACATCCCTGACAATAAAAAGGTGTTTCTCAATTATGTCTTGACACATACATATATTTGGGTAATTTCCTTCCATATTCATCATGTATGTCAGGTCTAAAGTTCCTAAAGGAAATCTTTTATACCTGTAACATCTGATGCACCATAGTACTGACATCAAAGGCAGTGAGTGCAAACCTTTACTTTTTGTTAGTAAGAATGTCTTACAGATGTGTGTGAAATGTGTCTGCTACTGTTCCACAAGATATTGCCCAAAGTGGTTTACAACATACTGAATATCAGCAGCAATAAACAATACAGACAATGCAATTCAAATCGTAACCAACAATTACAAATATAACTATTTATCAGCAGCAGCAGCCAGAAAAACATGGTAATTAATTAAACACATACTATCAAGAAATCTCAAGCTAAAACAAGAATAAAATATAAATATATGTATCAGATGAAAACTAATCAGGAGACAGAGAAAACCCTATGGAATCAATCCCATACGCACTGACCAGGGAGTAAGTCCCACTGAAGTGTACGGGGCTTTTTTCTGAGTAAACATGTTCAGGGCTGTGGTGTAATACAGAACTAAAATACAGCACAAACAAGATCATATACAAATTTATTTCACTAAGGAGGCTATATCAAGGGGGGAGGGGGCTTCCTTCAAACCACCGGTCTTCCTTCAAACTACAACGTGCATAGCCCCTTAATATTCCTTCGTCTCTCTCCCAACACCCTTTCAAGGCAACAGAATATCAGGCTCCATGGCAGATGAGTGGGAGAGGAGAGGTGAAAAGGTTCAGCCTCTTGATGTTACTCAGACTTCCTTCCCTAACTACCCCCACCCCAGCATTTTAGGTTGCCTATTGAGATGTATGCATGGTGTAGTTAGGATTCTTCTGAGCTATCAAATTAGCAAGGATGAGAAAAGACAAAGCAACTAAGATGTCACTTTGTAAAGATGAAGTTGTATGCCAGGATTTGTCAATGTGCCAACACACCCTAATGTTAACTCTATGTGGCTTGCAAATGGAGGGAAATGAATTAAGTTTATCTTCCTGGCTACTCTGTGCTGAATCTTACAAACCATAAGCAATCAGGTGAGTAGCTACTGTATAAGCCTATCCTTATGTAAGATAGCATACAAGACTTTGCACTACAGAACATTTCAGTTGTGACCTCTTAAATTTTACAGTAAGCCAATTATTTATTTACTATCTTCCTTTAACAGTTATTTATTCAGATAACCACCCTTCTAGTGCATAAATCATTTTATCCCTTTTACAGGTGGGGTAACTAAGCACTACAACAATCTTGGCCAGAAAAAGTTACAACCAAACTGCGTCCTAACTTATCACAATTTAGAGATCCAGGAATCAGGTAAACAAATATATTAGATAACAAGCACACCCTGCCTCAACATCCAGCCATCCCAATTCCCTAACATGGCATAGACTTCAGTAACTCCCTGATCCTTGTACAAATGCCAATCAATCTTACTAGACCTCATTCATTTAAACTAAAAAAAAAACACACTCCAACAACCACCCTCCATACTGCCAGTCAGCTGCTGGAATATCTTGAGAATATATTTATCTTGAAAATCCCCCCCCCCCCCCCGCCTAAAAATACTTAACAAACCAACTATATCCTACACATAGCTCCACCTGTGCATCCGAAGGGGCTGTTTTTTCACTCATCTTGTTAACATATTCAATGGATGAGTGGGCACAGATACATGGCTTGGGGAATTTCTTTCAAACATGTGGTTTATGAATATCCAAGTAAATAAATAAATAATATTGGGTCTAATAACACTTCTTCACAGGAATTATGTAGAACAGAAGTAAATAATGTGATGCCCTCCAGAGCCTGTTGGACTATAAGTCATTCTAGACCAGGGGTCAGCAACCTAAGGCTCATGGGCCACACGCAGCTACACCGGCACGGAGCAAAGTGGGGAACGCCTTCTGCGACACTGGCTGGCTTCCCATTGGTTGCAGGAAGCTCCTGCATCCAATGGGAAGCTGTGCACACCTCCTCCGTGCCAGGAGTGCTGGAAATAGTGTTTGCGCATGAGTGCATGCGCGCACACACACTCTGGCCCACCGTGGCGTCTGCGGGACCGTGAACCAGCCGAAGCCACAAAATCTTTGCTGACCCCTGTTCTAGACCAATGGTCAGGCTGGCTGGGCTAACAGGAGCTGTAGTTCAACAACATTTTGGGACACAGTGAGAATCCAGAATTATGTTACCTTTCCCCTTGTCCTTCACTTACAGTGGTGCCCCGCAAGACGAATGCCTCGCAAGACGGAAAACCCGCTAGACGAAAGGGTTTTCCGTTTTTGAGTTGCTTCGCAGGACGAATTTCCCTATGGGCTTGCTTCGCAAGACGAAAATGTCTTGCGAGTCTTGAGATTTTTTTTTCGCTTCCCCCCCCCTTTATCTAAGCCGCTAAGCCTTTAATAGCCTTTTAGCAGCTAATCCGCTAAGCCGATAAGCCTTTAATAGCCGCTAAACCGCTAATAGCGCTAATCCGTTAAGCCGCTAATAGGGTTGCTTCGCAAGACAAAAAAACCGCTAGACGAAGACACTCGCGGAACGGATTAATTTCGTCTTGCGAGGCACCACTGTATTCCCAAAGACAGGGCAGGGCTTTCATGTATCAACGGTGTCCCATCCATTTCATCAACAACTTTATATATGCATGTACTCTATGAGCCTTGCTGCACCCTGTCTTTCTGTCATCAAGAGTGAGCTAATAGCTGGAGTTTGGGGTAGCACTGCATTAAGGATGTGCTTCTCCTTAATAATAATAATAATAATTTATTTATACCCTGCCCAACTGGCTGGGTTTCCCCACTCTGGGCAGCTTACAACATATCTAAAGATATAATAAAAACACCAATCCTTAAAAACTTCCCTAAACAGGGCTGCCTTCAGATGTCTTCTAAAAGTCAGATATTTGTTTATTTCCTTGACATCTGAAGGGAAGCCGTTCCACAGGGAGGGCGCCACTACTGAGAAGCCCCTCTGTAATTTCGCTTTTCGCAGTGAGGTAACCAGCAGACGACCCTTGGAGGACGACCTCAGTGTCCAGGCTGAGTGATGGGGGTGGAGATGCTCCTTCAGGTATATTGGGCCAAGGCCATTTAGGGATTTAAAGGTCAGCACCAACACTTTGAATTGTGCTTAGAAATGTACTGGGAACCAGTGAAGATCCTTTAGGACCGGTGTTATATGGTCCCGGCAGCCACTCCCAGTCACCAATCTAACTGCTGCATTGTGGGTTAGTTGTAGTTTCCAAGTCACCTTCAAAGGTAGCCCCTCGTAGAGCACATTACAGCAGTCCAAGCAGGAGATAACCAGGGCATGCACCACTCTGGCAAAACAGTCTGCGGGCAGGTAGGGTACCAGATGGAGCTGGCAGACAGCTGCCCTGAACACAGAATTGACCTGCGCCTCTATCGACAGCTGTGCACCTGGTTCTTCAGCAGCATGGTTACCCCGTTCGGGACCAGGGAGTCCCCAACACCCACCCGCCCCCTGTCCCTCAAGAACAGTACTTCTGTCTTGTCAGGATTCAACCTCAATCTGTTACCCGCCATCCATCTGCCAACTGCCTCCAGACACTCACAAAAGACCTTTAGTGCCCTCACTGGTTCTGATTTGAAGGAAAGGTAGAGCTTTACTGGTGGACACCCAGCCCAAACCCCTTAATGATCTCTCCCAGCAGCTTCATGTTGGCATGGGGGAGAGGACGGAGCCCTAAGGCACCCCACAAGTGAGAGCCCTGGGGTCCGAACACTCATCTCCCAACACCACTTTCTGGACACTGCATAACAGTGCTCCCAGCTCCTCTAGACAGTTCAAAAGGATGTCATGCTTGATGGTATCAAAGGCCGCTGAGAGATCCAGCAGAACTGGGAAACAGTTTACACCTCTGTCCCTAACCCGCCAGATATCATCAACCACGACGACCAAGGCAATTTCAGTCCCAAGATGAGGCCTGAATCCCGACTAGAAGGGATCCAAATGGTCCGCATCCTCCAGGCATGCCAGGAGTTGTTCAACGACCACCCGCTCAGTCACCTTGCGCAGGGATGGAAGATTTGAGAGTGGTTGATAGCTGGCCATATTGACCAGGTCCAAATATGTTTTTTTAAGAAGCGGTTTAATAACCGCCTCTTTCTGCGGGTGTGGGAAGGCTCCTGGTTTTAATCACAGTATGGATCGACTCACGAACGGACCTTGGGAACAGATTCCGTACGTGAGTAGAGGTTCCACTGTACTGTTTCCACAAATTGTTTCCAAGAACAGAAAGTGTAGGGATGTAAATGAGGCTTATACCTCCAGAGAATCTGATGGTGTTGACTGAATCACTCGACCTACATAACTAAGTTTAGCTGATGCTTCAGTATAAAAATAAAATCAACCTATAGGTAGTAGTAGTAAATAAATAAAACAGCAAATAAAATAGTAAATAAATTTTGAGAAAACAAAAGCATGCAAGATGCTTTGGGCATAGGAGTTTTCATTCACCTGATATGTGAGAAAAACAGACCCCCCCCCCCCGGGAAGCAATATGTAGATATCTATTCAAGATATTAACAGCACAGTATTAACCATACCTACTCAAAAGTAAGTCCTACTGGAGATTAAGAACTGTGTGGAAATAAATTACTGATCAAAGAGAGGACTGGTGGGAACGTCTGATGGAAAGAAAGCTTTGTGACGCAGTTTCAAATGGAGATTTGTTAAGACAGGGGAGGAGGACCATGGTCATCGGAATATGAATGTATGGTTATCGGAATGTGGATTTGACCTGGCAGGGCCCCCTGAGATACAGTTTCGCAGGCCTGTGAAAATCAACGGACATACTGTGGGAATATTCTTTGTGGAGGTGTGGAAATGGCGTCTGTCCTTTATGTGATATGGCTCTTGGAGAGTGTAAAATCCACACAGGATATGTTTGTTTTCAACCTGCTTGTGAAGATTATCAGAGATCACAAAGAAAGGAATATATGATAACAACAAGAAGATGAGGAAAATAACAAAGAGACTATCTGGACAGAATTGGACAGAACTGTGCAATTAAAGCAGCAACAAGAGTGATGTTTGGATCCCTTTCGGAGCTCGAAGTACGGGTACCCCCAATAAAAAAAAATTAAAAATCTGGCTGTATAATTTGGAACTAATGTGATTTGGAATTAATGTGATTTGATTGGCCTGTTAATAAAAAAATATTTTCAAAAAAACAAAACAAAAGTCCTACTGAATTCACTGGGATCTACTTCCAGATAAGTGAGGTTAGGATAGCAACCTTAGTAAATAAGAAAGGGTTTATTTTAACTGAATTGTTTTACGTTAATGTTTCCTTTTTAAACAAAATGTGCTATGTGGATTATAATCAAAGAAAAACAAACTGTAAAGATAAAAGAGACACCAAAAATAACTGGCTCCTAGTCTAAGAATCGCAAGTCCAACACTGGGCTTAACAGTTTTAATTTCATAGCAAAGTAAATTCAAACCCAACATTTCGTGACACACACACCCTTTTTGGTTTTACACAAGCTGTAGCGTAACAATGGAACAAATCTTCCTGAAATGGACTATAGAGGATGGGGGAGTACTTGTGTGATGATACACCAAGAGAAAAAGGTAGAAACTTCCATCTGGCTAAGAATTTAAAAATGACACCAATCACAGCCTAAAGCATAAAATTAGAACAGTAAAATATGCACAGCAAGGGAAAATTAACTGTCCCTAGAAGATCCTTTGTCAGGAAAGTGTATGAGAAATCTATCCAAAATTATTTATGGTCATGGGTCCTTTCCTATCGAAAAGTGCTTGTGTCCAACAGATTTACTTTTATTAGGATCTTCAACACAATAACCCTCTACTCTACAGAAACACTTCAAATTAACTGTGTAACACAGGCATGTCCAAAGTCCATTTCAGGGGCCTAATCCGGCCCCCGTGACAGTATATGTCCTGGGGTAAAATCCTAAAAAAAGCTCAATGGCACTCACGCATGTTCACTTCATCAAATATGGCCCCCTTTGTTTGGGCACCCCTAGTATAACAGCTACATTCCAGCCTGATGTACTGAGCTAGATGGCATGTCCTAGATGGAGTGTCCACACATGCAGGGCATAATCCAATATTGCATGGCTGGACTTCTGGTTGTGCAGGAGAACTCCTTCCCCATGCAGTCCTCCACATGCCTCCAAAATCTAACCCTGAGGATCTCCCTCAACTCTCCAAAGTAATTTTAAGGATGTGTGGAGGTATGCAGGGGAAAGGAGAGGAAGGTGAAGTTCTGTTGCATGAGCAGACATCCTTTCCACTCATGCGTGGACAGCCATGGACACAACCTGCAGTAGAAAAACATAGCATCCAAGACTGGTGATGTGAGCAGGCAAGCTAGAAAAGCATAAAGGTACCCCTGACCGTTAGGTCCAGCGCGGACGACTCTGGGGTTGCGGCGCTCATCTTGCTTTACTGGCTGAGGGAGCTGGTGTTTGACCGCAGACAGTTTTCTGGGTCATGTGGCCAGCATGACTAAGCTGCTTCTGGCGAACCAGAGCAGCGCATGGAAACGCTATTTACCTTCCCGCCAGAGTGGTACCTATCTATCTACTTGCACTTTGACGTGCTTTCGAACTGCTAGGTGGGCAGGAGCTGAGACCGAACAATGGGAGCTCACCCCGTCGTGGGGATTCGAACCGCTGACCTTCTGATCGGCAAGCCCTGGGCTCTGTAGTTTAGAAAAGCATAGAAAGGTGCAAATGGGAGGGGAAAGCAGAGCCTTTGCAGGGCATTTAAAGAATTTGGAAGGGCCTGATGTGGTTCAGAACTTGCCAGCTGAGGTACAAAACTCTATAAACAAATCCCTCATGGTCAACATGCCATGTCAACTATGAGCTGTGTATTAATCATCACAAAATTGAATCTTGAGTATCTAGAGGTCTATGGTAGCTCTCTGCAAAGAATAAGCAAATATGTAGTATGCTACTTGTTTCTCAATGCAATGGCAGAAATTACTAAAGGCAAGGGGGTAAACTGTTCAGGAAGCGATATCATTCCCACTTTGTTTCAAAAGGGTAAAGACACCAACATAATTAGTTATTTAGTAAATTTATAATACACCAATTGGCATAAAACTCGCAGCTCCATGTACTTTTTAGAACAGCAAAAACTAAGAGACATACAATAAAATCAATATGAAACGCAAAAGCATCAACTACAATCAATGTAATCCATCAGAAACCATAAAACAACCACAGTACATCTTTGAGTGCCTGGGAAATTAAAAGGCTTCAAACTGGTGCAAAAAAAAAAAAAAAAGCAAACTGGGCTACAGGTAAGATGCCTGGCGAAGGCAGTCAATCTACGAGATGCCACAACTAATGGCACCTGCCCAGGCATATTTCTGCATTAGAACCCTATAATTAAGAAGTTCCACATATTTCATAAAGGTAAACTCTCATGAACCAACTTTATTTCATATATCTCTTACATGTGTCACTTCAAAGCATTATGTTCTTACTCCCCACAAAAGTCACTTCGCTCTATGTCAGGGAATTAAATGCATCTCAATAATTTTCTGATAGAGAACACAGTGATATTGCAGCTTAATTCTGAAGTAATCCAAGGGACGTTCCAGAGATCACATATATTTTCTTTACCACTTTACCTTGTGATGCAAGTGGCTGCAATTATCCATAGGTTTTTATGACACTTTCTATAAAACTGTCGCTCCTGATTCACTATATTACTAAAGATAATTAACATAATGTGGTTACTTCTAAAGTCACACGGGGAGATGGAGAACAGGAATTTGCCTTATAAAAAGCCAGGCCACTACTCTATCTAGCCCGGTATTATCCTTGGTGATTGGGACTAAATTTCCAGGGTTTCAGAGAGGAGTCTCTCCCAGCCCTTTCTGGAAATGCCAGGGATTGAACCTGGAACCTGGAAGGTGCTGTACCACTGAGCTTCAACCTTGTGGGTAGGAAGAGGAGAAAAGACGAGGCATCATCCAAGTGACTTGGGCCTCCCAAGAATACGGCAGTCCAAGGGATGCACATCATTAACGGTTTATGAAAAACCAAAATAGCCCTCTTCGGGCATCGTTCAACAGAGCCAATCTGCTAAGAAAGGGAGCACACCAGCTGTCCCCCACTGCCCTCTTACTTGGGAGGGTGAAGCTCTGAAGCAGGGAGATAGCTTCCCACTAATCCCCACATATATTAGAACACTGGAAACACTGATGGGGCAGACCTACCATGCTTATTTCCCCGACTGCACCCCCCCCCTTTGATGTTAATGTAACCCTGAAGAAAACATCTAAAGGGCTAATATCCAACATATATGTAAGTAGATTTTATTAAAGACCTGTTTCCATACTCAATCCTATGAAAATCAACAAATCCTTTATACTATACAAATAAGAAAATTCCTGCAACCCAGACCTTTCCTGCTGCTTAGTTCCAATATCTGATCTATTTAATTTCTGCCAATTTACAGCCACAGCTATTTTATAGTGTGTTTTACTGTGTTTTTTAATTAATGTGGGGTTTTTTGTACACTGCCTCAACAATGTAATGAGAAGCTATGTTAAAAGTATCTAAAAAATAAAGAAACAACCCCCTTGTTGAAGGAAATTTGTCATGGGTTGAGGACACATTCCAAAGTCTCAGGGCAATCACTGTGGTTGACCTCAACCAATACACTGAAGTAGAACCTGATCTGAAGACTGCAGATGGCACAGAGAAACAAAATATCTGGGTTGTGAGCCTCGGGCTGTCTAGTTTTAAGAGTTAAAACCAGGACTACAAATTGGGCTAGGAAAGCAGCAGAAAGCCAGTGCAACTGGTACAGCTCAGGCTGAACAACCACTCATCTCCCATATTTCATTAGGAGACAGACAGCATTATTATTCACCAGCTGTAATTTCCGAGTGATCTTCAAGGGCAGCTTCAAATCTTCTAACATGTCACCTTCAGCGCAACTCTAATAACTTCACTCTACCAAGTTAATGATTCCAGATACAACCCTATCAAATCTCATTGTCCTATATCCATCAATATTGCCTATTATCTAGTGTCAGGGTATCAAAGTGTTATTTGCTGAATTGCTAGTAAGGAATCTCTTATAGGAGAGATAAAACACATTTATGTGACACCAGAATCCACCAATGCACTTTAAAACAATCAACCAATATGTAAACCTGTGGCTTATTTTAGTGCTAAGAACTATTTTCTGAACAAGTTCTTTTCACAAATTGTCCCGGTACCTTAATAACTCTTTTTGGAAGAAGTGACCATATTTTAAGTTAGTTTATGAACAAGGAATGAAAATGCATATAAATGAAAACAGAAGTTCAAGGCACATCCATCATGCATCACGTGTGAAATAATTTCTGATCTAAACCAGGCACTGACATCAACTTCCATACCATTTTTGTAGGTAATCAAGTGCTTCCAAACGAGCACCGATCTCAAATGTGATCCCAGGACGATTTGGAGGCTTTCTGCTCATCTTGACAGCTTCTACTCCTCTCTCCTCTTAGCTGTAGAAAGAAAAAGAAATAAAAGGTGTTATTGCCACAGAAAATATTGTTTAAGGTGATATTCCTGTATTTGTCCTTTAGACAGCAGGGTCGCAGTCAAAAAAGCAGCAAATCGAACACTAAAAGCATAATCTTATGCATGTTTACTCAAATGTCCTGATGAAGATAATGAAGCTTACACCAAGGTGAGTGGGTGACAGATTGCAGTCTTAAACCAAAAAACTGTAGCACTGATTAGTTCCTAAAGTCTGATGGTTAGTGATAGGGCAATCATATAATGCTCACTTAACTAGTGTATTTCTTAAAGCAGGAAACCACATGAGTTATCTTTATCAATTCAGAAAACTGAATGCAGAACACAAACTTCGCCTGCTTAGGGGGCCTCAGAACGGGATACATGTCACTTTCCAATGCTTGCTATCTACTGCATATACAATCCCATACACATTAAACCAGCTTGCCACAGAAAGGGTTCCCATGGCAGAAGGTTGCACTTAACTCAACAGAACGGGCCAAAGTTGAAATGTATGTATCTCTGAGCAAGATATTTCACTGAACTGTTACTGTGTCAATGACTTAGATGGAATGGTGCAAGCACTCAGAAGGTATCGTAGTCCTCAGAGTCCACCACAGGAGATCCTGTAGGAACTTGGATTCAGAAGGTCCAGCATCAGAGTCAGCAGAACCCAGTTTTCTTGGGAACCCAAACTCCACTATGCATTACCTAAGGAGTCATGGCAATCAGTGATCTCCATGTCCCAGTTGATACTAAGGGTAAGACTTCTAGACACAAGGAACATAGGAAGTTGTCTTATACCAAGTCAGAAATTTGCTCAATCTAGTTCAATATTGTATATATGGGCAGTAGCTATCTAGGGTTTCAGAGATGGAGCAGGAGTCAGGAATTGAACCTGGAACTTTCTGCATGCAAGAAAAATATCTTAACACTGAGCCATAATCCTTGTCCTCAAAAAAGAAAGACTACAGCCCCACTCTTTATTGAATGTAACATTCTCACCCTTGCCCTGGCCTAAGCACTACAACAAGTAAAACCACAGTCCCTACCAACTTGAACTTAAGTCTCAAATGTGCTTTAGAAAAAAGCAGTGTATGTTTATAAATTAGCCCATATTTCAGACATTAGCTTTCTACCTATGTCAATTTGTGCAAAAATCATCCAAGCTATAAACAGTGGAGTTAAGTGACAATGCACACTTTAATTTTAATTTTTTAAAATAGAGATCCTCTTTCTAATTCTGCCCAGTTTTTAATAACTCCCAATACCTCTCTGGCTGCGACTCCAATTGCATGTGGCTAAATTCATGGCCACCTACACAGCATCTGGCCAGATGAAATTTCCCACAAATATATATTTATGCAAAAAATAATAATACTTTTGGGGGTCCCAGAACTATCCCAGCGACTTAACATTTATTTATTCAAAAAACCCGAAAACCATCTTTAAGTTAAAAACAAAAAACTGCTTTTGACATAGTAGAACATGGCATACAAATTAAGAAAGAGCAGTGCAGAGGCGCTTCCCTAAACAAAGAGTGGAATTCATTTAGGGCGAATGGGGGGCAAAACTATCACATAGGGCACTTGAGGGCATGCGCAGAATGAAAGGGGGGACACAAACCAAATTCTGTCTTTGCTCAGGGCACCGTGTTACCAAAGTCCTCTCGGGTTACAGTAACCCTGCAACTTGCACTCGCTTAACTCGTGTGCATTACAGTGGTACCTCGGGTTAAGTACTTAATTCGTTCCGGAGGTCCGTTCTTAACCTGAAACTGTTCTTAACCTGAAGCACCACTTTAGATAATGGGGCCTCCTGCTGCCGCCGGAGCACGATTTCTGTTCTCATCCTGAAGCAAAGTTCTTAACCTGAAGCACTATTTCTGGGTTAGCAGAGTCTGTAACCTGAAGCGTATGCAACCTGAGGTACCACTGTATTCTTTATTGAGAAACTGGAAAGGGTGTGAGGGTGTCCCAGGGGAAGAAAACCAGTGCATTTTGACTATACGCAGCGTTTGGCTTTAGGCGCGACCTCTTGGAGAGCACCTCATTGCCTGCACTGATATTATGCCGCCTTTCTCCCCCAAGGCGGCCCTGCTCTCCGTTTCGTCCCCACAACAACCCTGTGAGGCAGGCCGGGCTAACCCCCCGTCCTCCTTCTCCCTCCCGCGTAAGTTGCGGGCTCGAAACCCTCCGCGAGCACCGAGCAGGCCGCTTCCCCCCACCCCACGGCCTCCCTTGAGGGGCGAGAGCGGGCCTAGAGCGCCTCACTCTCTGGTGGACGGGAGGAGCCGCCACCGGAAAGGCCCCGCTCCGCGGCCCCGGCCGGCCGGCCTCCCCTGCCCGCGGGCGCCTCCGGGGCAGGTCCCTGGCGCGGGCGAGGGGGCGCCCCTTCGCGGGCCTCGGTTCCCCTCCACCGGAGGCCGCAGCTGAGGCGGCGCTCCGGGGCCTGCCCGCCTGCGAGGCGGCTCCGGCCTGTCCTTACCCGCGGGCCGCTACCAGGCCCCGTCGGGGCAGCGCGGCGTCCCTTCTCGCTTCCCCCGGAGGGAAGGCCCTCAGCAGCAGCAGCAGCGCCGCCGCCTCCGACCCGCTTCTTCCTCCTCAGCGGGACCCATCGCCAGTCTCCTCCCGGCCCCGCCTCTCGCGTCCCAGCGACGGCGCGCTCGCGTCACTGCTGCGCGACGCAAGGAGACGCCGTCGTCCCCTCCCCTTCCGCCACCGTCACGTGATGCCAACCCACAGAGGGAGAGAAAGAGGAAAGAGCCAAAGCGGGCAAGATCACCGCACTCAGCTGAGGTGCTATACACACTTCCGGCTGCCGATCGAAGGCAGGGTGGGCAAGCTGCGGGATGCGGGCATAGCCATACATGGGGTGGGGTTGCTGGTTTTTAGTTTTTGTTTCAATAAATGCCTGCGCAAGCGAACGGCGCAAGGTGTTTTGGGAGAGGGTGGCGTGTGTGGCGGAGCTTTTGCCGCCCCACTCAAGGAGAGGCGGTCGAGAGGAAACCGGGAGTGGCGGCTGGCCACGCCGCGCTTCTCCCCTGACCTCTTTGGCCGTGACCTGGGAGCCTCGTGCGGAGGCGTCGGATTGCATGCCCTGGTCGGGTTCCCGCGTTGGGCGTAGGCGGGGAGGCTTTGCAGGCGAGGGAGCTCCGCGTTTGAAAGCGGCCGGTTGCTTCTTTTCGCCTCTAAAAGTTTAAAGCGGCCAAAACACTTTCCAAAGGGCACCTTGAGGTCCTCGAGCGCCTAAGCTTTAAAGAGGAGTTCTCATCATCGTTATTTGTATTAAAGATTAATTTATACCCTGCCTTCCTAGGCAGGGATTCAAGGTGACTTACAGGTAGAAATAATATTTAAAAAATTCCTTCCAGGAGCACCTTAGAGACCAGCTAAATCTGTTATTGGTATAATTATTATCATTATTATTATACGTGCTAAGTTGAATGAATACAACTTAAAAACAAGATTAAAATACAACATTAAAATATTGAAACATTAAAATGCAGCCTCATCACAGGAGGAGAAAGGAAAAAGAAAGAGGGGGAGGGAATCAAATTGGCTCCAAGCCAAAGGCCACGTGGAACAACTCTGTCTTACAGGAACTGCGGAAAGAAATCAGATCCTGCAGGGCCCTGGTCTCATGGGACAGAGCGTTCCACCAGGCCGGAGCCAGAATTGAAAAGGTCCTGGCTCTGGTTGAGGCTAATCTGACTTCCTTAGGGCCCGGGACCACTAGGGTGTTGCTATTTATGGACCTTGAGGCTCTCCGTAGGTCCCGTAGGTACGAGGAAGAAGAAGGTGAAGAAGTGTTCATGCACACCAAAGCTCATACCAATAACAAATTTAGTTGGTCTCTTAAGGCGCTACTGGAAGGAATTTTTTTATTTTGTTTTGACTATGGCAGACCAACACAGCTACCTACCTGTAGGTAGAAATAAGAATAACCGAAAACAGTACAGTTAAACATTGATAGAACTATGAGCATCCACACAAATAAACACTTTTATAAGCACACACACATATAATTATTAAAACCATGCCAATAATTACAATAAAAGCAGAATGGCACTAGGCCTTTCAATAGAACCAACTTCTGATGAAGTTTGGTGTACAACTTTAAATAGGTAAAAAGGTAAAGGACCCCTAGGTGGTTAAGTCCAGTCAAAGGCGACTATGGGGTTGCGGTGCTCATCTCGGTTTCAGGTCGAGGGAGCTGGCATTTGTCCGCAGACAGCTTTCCGGGTCACGTGGCCAGCAGGACTAAACCGCTTCTAGCGCAACAGAACACCGTGATGGAAACCAGAGTTCATGGAAACACTGTTTACCTTCCCGCCGCAGCGGTACCTATTTATCTACTTGCACTGGTGTGCTTTCAAACTGCTAGGTTGGCAGGAGCCGGGACAGAGCAATGGGAGCTCACCCATCGAGTGGATTTGAACTGCCGACCTTCTGTTCAGGAAGCCCAAGAGGCTCAGAGCTTTAGACCAGAGTGCCACCCACGTACAAACTTAATAATAATTAGAAGCAGTCCATTCCAAAAGCCAGTGGAAGGACAGTAAAGAAGGAGCCAGTCTGGTCGACACAAAAATATATATAGTCAACAGCTGATTTTGAGGTGGGTAAAACAGGAGATAGTCTGTGTCAATTTGGTCCAACCCTGATGGTGGAACTGATAAAGCTATTGGTTGTAGCCAACTAAGTTTTACTCAAAGTAGATGTACCAATATTAATGAACCCAAGTTAGTCATGCCTATTAAATTTCAATGTGTCTACTCTTAAGTCTGAGTCACACTGACTACAACCTTAACAATTCCACCAGGCTATTCTGACTTCACTGGTAAGAAGAGCAATAGCTTTTTATCAGTTTCACTTTCTGTTTAATGTGGCAGCAACAGTGGACAGGTGAAAATGCCACTGGGGTTGATGAAGCAGGATTTGGCAGAATCACCAGCCACTCCTCCACCCTAAGACAATCGGACAACAGGCAGTCTGCACTGCGACTGTGCTTATTTTTATATTTCATTTAATCTGAAGGGAGGGGGATGATGACAATGTGGAAACCCTGGAAATATAGCAGTTTGGGAGAATTTTGGCTGAATAAAACTGTGAGCAAATGGTGTCAATAGCAGAGAAGCAGGTTGGTGTGGAAGCACCCAAAGAGAATGACACTGCTCCTTTCCTCATGACACTGTTTGCTTTTTGTTCATCTGCACGTTTTCTAATTGCCATATGCTTATGTTGAGAGCTGGCGTCTCGGGTTGCAATAGGGCTTGAGAAATTTGATTCAGTCTGAGGGTGAATCCACCTAATTCATACTTCTTGAAGGAACGCACCAACTGAAACATCCTTCAAAATGTGCACATCTCTGGATTCTGCAATGCATTTCCCAATCATGTAACAGATACAGAAAATGCATAGGCTAAGCAAAATAGCATAGAAATGTACATATTGGAGTAGAATGCAAAAACCACATTATATTAGGGGAAATTGCTTGCAAAAATATGTAAATCAATAACTTTAGGAGAAACTGACATTAAAATGCCAGGGAACTTTTTTTTTTTTAAAAAAAAGAATTTGCAAATTGTGAAAAACCAAAATAAAGATTGAAAAACTGAAATTGTCATTATTCACCCATCCCTGAGCAGCAATGATTCTTTTCCTGACAGGTGGAGGTGGGCATGAGGGAGTGGCATGTGAAGCAGGGCACAAGACAACAAATGCGTGCATGTATAATATCACTTTATTTCTCAGATTATCTCTCCCCTCACACCACTCTCACTGATACCTGTTTTGATAGTAACTCATCCAAACCAGACCTTTCTCTTGGACCTAGTGAACTGCTCATCTACCACCTCCCACTGTTTCTGAAATTTGTTCTTTGCCAAGAACAATGCAACAAGCAAGACCCTTCTATTCATAGCTGAAGATACCTTAACATCTGAATTCTCCAGTGGGCTAATCTCTAATCTGCAACGGACTCTTCAGAAAGAATGCTTGTGATGCGAAGCTAGACTTAGCAGGAAACATGACCTCATTCTGCTTCTGTGCTTCCTATTGCACAGTCTGTTTTCAAAAGGAAACAAGCAAGCTCTTCAGTGCTCTTTCGAAGACCCATTGCTCTTTCGGCTGCAGGAAGCAAGCGCTAACAGGCACTCAACAGTTACAGTCCACAGTCTCGCCTGTTGGATGGGTAAGCTGCTGGTGGAGTCTCACCAACTGGCAACATGGCTCTTCCAGGTCTGCAAGATTTTTTACCATGTCAGATGCTTTCTTGATAGCAATATTGTAAGAAAGGGTAGCTTCAGAGGCCATTAAGATGGAAACTTTTTAACTGCAGAGAGAAAAGATTTAAGCGGGATACACAAGTCGCATCAACTGCAATGCTGTATGAAAATTTGTGCAAAGATGTGGCAGATGTGATAAATATTTGAATAACGTGCATGTTTATTGGGAAATAAGTACAATTGTTTTCGGTGAGATTTACCACCAGGAAAGTGTGCACCCCAAAGCAGTTTTATATGGTTAGCGATGTTGTTTTCTTCTTCCTTTTTTGGGGGGGGGGGTTGTTTTTTTAAGGAAAAAGAATCTCAGCTTTCCAAGATCAGACTTTTATCTGTCACGGTAAACTAAAGATGCTGACATGCCAAGTTAGTTTTTCTCTCCCCCACCCCCCCATCATATGACCTAGTTCCCATTGTAAATGCTCGCGGTGCAGAGTGTGCCGTGTAAAGAAAGTAGCCTGGCTGCCAGTTGAGGGGCATTGTTGGTTTAGAAATCAGTTTTACTTAGTAAGAAAGGTGATCAGAACAGGCGAAAGAGGGGAAGCAGCTCCTGCACACGTAACAACTGTGCAGAAGAGTGAACTTCACTGCTGATATTCCCATTTCTGCGCTGCTTTTCAAGATGCAGGAGAGGAGACATGTCCTCTTTTGCTTCTGCCCACCTTATCAGGAGTTACGCCCTCCAACTTGGCTGTTTGCAGCTCAATACTATAGGGGTCTCCTCATAAGTAAGGCCCACTGCAGTCTATGTGACTTACTTCCTGCTCTGTGTGCCTAGGGGTAAACAACCTTAACAGTATGTGGCTTCAAGCATATATATCTATCTGATTTTATTTTTTTAGAATAATCACAACCCACTTCAACCAGTACCATTTAAATCCGTGTACAAAATGCTGGCACTGATCTTAATATGAAAATTGAAACGGGGGCAAGGATTCCCCTCATTCTTTGCATGTTTGGTGTAAATGTGAAAATTAAAGGGTTACTGGGTTTTGTCATCTAGCAATTTCTGGAGGGCTGCAGGTTCCCCATGTCTGAAGTACAGTGGTACCTCGGGTTAAGTACTTAATTTGTTCCAGAGGTCCGTTCTTAACCTGAAATCGTTCTTAACCTGAAGCACCACTTTAGCTAATGGGGCCTCCTGCTGCCGCGCCGCCGGAGCATGATTTCTGTTCTCATCCTGAAGCAAAGTTCTTAACCCGAGGTACTGTTTCTGGGTTAGCGGAGTCTGTAACCTGAAGCGTATGTAACCCGAGGTACCACTGTATAGAATTGTTCTGATTGTTGGTTTTTAAAACAACAGGGAATCTTAGGGCACCTTAAAGACCGACAGATTTGTGATGGTATTATGGTTTGCGAACTATGGTCCCCCTTCATTCATCATGTACAGTATCTGTTGGTGGATTGTGGTTTATAAAAGGTTATGCCATAATGCAGGGCTGTTTGCCTCAGTGGCTCTCCTTTCAGCACCAGGTCCTTGAAAGGTGTGTGCATGTGAAATGCCCCTTTGAAAGGAATTTCAGGCAGAACAGCTTTAGTTATCTTCCTCCACTTCTGGCTTTTCAAGGACACAGTGCTGAAAGAAGCATTGCACAGAGGGGACTAAACAGTAGCCTCGGCTATCTTCTCTATAACCTGGTAAACTTAATGGGGATCATGGTAGAGGTTGCCACCGGTCCTGTATAATATAGGACCACCCTGTGTTTCAGTGGAAAGTGCTACGTCCTGTATTGATGCAATTTTTGTCCTGTATTTCAGATCTTCTCTCCCTCTGCCAAGTTAGGGGTCCTCTCCAAATGCATGTGCTTGAAAGGGTGTTTGAAAGGTCATGCATTTAAACTCTGGGTAGCCAATCACAGAGAGATTAACAAATTCATGTTTATGTGTGCGCGCACACATGTGTGTGAGGGACAAATTCCAGAGGGGCTATCCTGTTAGGCTGCAATAGATTGTAATGGATTGTTTTGAAGTCACTTCAACACCAGATTGGGGGTGGGTGGTCCGCCAATTGCCCCACCCTGCATTTTGCCAGAACAAAGGTGGCACCCCTCGATACAGGATCACTACAAAGGCCAACAGCAGGGCTGGCCGACTCAAGACGGTTTCCTCAGACAGCAAAAACCCAAGAGGCAGCAACCTTGCAGGCACCTTGCTACCTGCTGTAGCAGCAGCAACAGCAGGCTTCCAGCGAGATCTCACAGAAGTCTCATGGGATCTCATGTGCTCCATGAGATCTTGGTGGAACCCACCCTTGTAGTCATTTCACAAGCACTGCCAAACAACCCAGGTAAGGCAGGCTGCGGCAGCGGGGGAACGCAGGCCGTCAGGGGAGGGGACTGGACCACCCTGAAGGATCCCCGAAAGAGACACTAGCCCCCGCGCTGGGCAACTTACCTGTGGAGTCCTCAAAACTGATCCTGGGCTTGGAAATATTATGTTTGTACAGTGGTACCTCGGGTTAAGTACTTAATTCGTTCCGGAGGTCCGTTCTTAACCTGAAACTGTGCTTAACCTGAAGCACCACTTTAGCTAATGGGGCCTGCTGCTGCTGCTGCCGCACTGCCACTGCACGATTTCTGTTCTCATCCTGAAGCAAAGTTCTTAACCCGAGGTACTATTTCTGGGTTAGCGGAGTCTGTAACCTGAAGCGAATGTAACCCAAGGTACCACTGTACTATGTGTTACTATCAGGGCCGTCTTAAGCATATCCGGCGCCGTGGTGCTAAGATCCCTCTGGCGCCCCCCGGGAACTCCAAAACAAGGGAGGGGGTGGTGGAAAATGTCCTCTACCGCCCCAATCCCCAGCATGGTGGCGGAGATCAAGCAGGAAAATGTGCTGGCGGACATGCTCTCCAGCATCAGGGCGCCCGAGAAGGCAGTCTGGGAAGCTTGCCTTTTGCCAGGAAGCAGGAGGAGGACAATGACCGGGAGGAGAGCTGTCTTTAGCAGATACAGAGGCTTGGGAGGGAAGCTGTACGCAGCTTCCGTCCTAATAATAATAATACTTTATTATTTGTACCCTGCCCATCTGGCTGGGTTTCCCCAGCTACTCTGGGCGGCTTCCAACAAAGATTAAAAATACATTAAAATGTCACACATTAAAAACTTCCCTAAACAGGGCTGCCTTCAAATGTCTGGTATATCTCTTTGACATCTGATGGGAGGGTGTTCCACAGGGCGGGCGCCACTACCGAGAAGGCCCTCTGCCTGGTTCCCTGTAACTTGGCTTCTCGCAATGAGGGAACCGCTAGAAGGCCCTCGGCGCTGGACCTCAGCGTCCAGGCAGAACGATGGGGGTAGAGACACTCCTTCAGGTATACAGGACCAAGGACGTTTAGGGCTTTAAAGGTCAACACCTACACTTTGTGCTCAGAAACGTACTGGGAGCCAATGTAGGTCTTTCAAGACCGGTGTTATGTGGTCTTGGCAACCGCTCCTAGTCACCAGTCTAGCTGCCGCATTCCGGATTAGTTGTAGTTTCCGGGTCACCTTCAAAGGTAGCCCCACATAGAGCGCATTGCAGTAGTCCTAATCCTCTGCGGGGATTGCCCTCCTGCTGCGGAGGCTTGGGAAGGAAGCTGCACACTCGCCAGCCATATACTTGGCGGGGCACAGCTGGTGGGCGTGCAAGGAAAGGGGAGGCTGCCGGCAAAGCTGTGCAGCTCCCCCACTCTCTAAGGTGCCCCTGAGACGCTGGCGCCCTGGCGCAACGAACCACTAACACTAATGGGAAAGACGGCTCTGGCTACTATAGGTGGGATCTGACTTAAGCAAAATGCCCTAAACCAAAAATATTATCTTTTAGTGTTGGCTTTATATTATCCTTTTCATGGGTATGATCCCTGCCTTAACAGCCACAAGGCACTGGGACTTCCCATTTCTCACCCATGCATTGGTCCATAGGGACTTAGCTCAGTTGGTTAGAGCATGGTGCTGATAATGCCAAGGTTGCAGGTTTGATCCCCGTCTGGGACAGCTGCATATTCCTGCATTGCAGGGGGTTGGACTAGATGATCCTCAGGGTCCCTTCCAACTCTACCGTTCTATGATTCTATAACCTTTTCGTAAACACTCCGCCTGCACAGGGGAGGGCATCCTCGTATATGTATGCCTTTAATTGTATCAAAAATTATATAAGAATACATGTCAGTGTGTTATTAATTCTAGAGAACCCTCATAAGCAGATATATATGTGCCATAATTATTTTAAAAAATAAGTACTTTTAACCAGTGTTAGAAACTCAAGATATGTCAGCTAGGTGCCAAATGGCTCCTTAAACCAGGGTTACAGTCACCTAAATGGAATGCCTAGTTGCCATTTTGGAGCCAGACAGCTCAAAGGTCGTATTTTTTCAAGGTGACTTTTTGGTTCCTGAAATTCATTCTGATTGTGCAGATAAAACATAGTGGATAGAATTCTACAGGATGTGTTGCTAGTGTGTGAAAACAGCCCAGATCCAAGAATCGCCAGGCATGAGCTGCCAGATTTCGGAGATGTAGGTCAATTGGTCGCAAGAGGCCAATAACCAGGTGCAAAATGCACCCGGTAGCTGGCGAATTTCTAACGGTGCTTTTAACGAAAATCTCTCTTACAGACAGGCTTAATGCGCCGTTTTTTTTAACTGGGCAAAAACAAACAAGATAAATTTTAACAGGGGGAAATGTAAAGTATTGCACTTGGGCAAAAAAAATGAGAGGCACAAATACAAGATGGGGGACACCTGGCTTGAGAGCAGTACATGTGAAAAGGATCTAGGAGTCTTGGTTGACCACAAACTTGACATGAGCCAACAGTGTGATGCGGCAGCTAAAAAGCCAATGCAATTCTGGGCTGCATCAATAGGAGTATAGCATCTAGATCAAGGGAAGTAATAGTGCCACTGTATTCTGCTCTGGTCAGACCTCACCTGGAGTACTGTGTCCAGTTCTGGGCACCACAGTTCAAGAAGGACACTGACAAACTGGAACGGGTCCAGAGGAGGGCAACCAAAATGGTCAAAGGCCTGGAAACGATGCCTTATGAGGAACGGCTAAGGGAGCTGGGCATGTTTAGCCTGGAGAAGAGGAGGTTAAGGGGTGATATGATAGCCATGTTCAAATATATAAAAGGATGTCACATAGAGGAGGGAGAAAGGTTGTTTTCTGCTGCTCCAGAGAAGCGGACACGGAGCAATGGATCCAAACTACAAGAAAGAAGATTCCACCTAAACATTAGGAAGAACTTCCTGACAGTAAGAGCTGTTTGACAGTGGAATTTGCTGCCAAGGAGTGTGGTGGAGTCTCCTTCTTTGGAGGTCTTCAAGCAGAGGCTTGACAACCATATGTCAGGAGTGCTCTGATGGTGTTTCCTGCTTGGCAGGGGGTTGGACTCGATGGCCCTTGTGGTCTCTTCCAACTCTATGATTCTATGAAAAGGAGAAGGAACATGAGGGCTTTCTCCAAAGTATTTATAAGGCAGCAGCTAGACCTAACCCCAGACCCCCATTCGCTGGCCTCCTCCTCCTCCAGCTTCAAAGAACATGAAATCGACAAGGAAGGCAGCGCCAAGCATGACAGCTTTGATTTTAACATCAAGGTCCAATGGGAACTGGATCCCAAAGTTGTCAGTATCGGTGAAGAGCTCTTTCACAATGCCAGTCCAGTGCTTAGAAATCCTCCCGACAGCCGTCTGTTCATCCAGCGACAGCACCTCAAAATGAACATCTTCACAAAAGCTGCATGCTATGCAGGGCCCGGTGATTTTAAGGACATCCTGATGGAGTTCATTTTGGATAGTGAACTTAGGCAGACAGGGATCCCACGTCTGCTTAATATACCCAACGGGCGTGCCTGGCGGGGCATGGACTTCAAGCTCTTGCAAGCAGCACGGAAAACAGCAGCTGGAGCACCGGAGAGGTCGCTGGAGCTCAATCACTTCCTGGCCCACGTTGTCCATGATTTTAATGGTAAATGGCCGATCCATTCCACAGCAGAGTCGCGTGCAGCAGTCGGTATCCTCAGCTGCAAAGTAGATCCTTTGCCCCCAAGCGTTTTTCACTTCATACCTGTTGCTGGTTTCAAAGCCAATTATGATTTCCACAAGCTCAATCTTTTGCTGAATTATCATCTGATCAATCTGGCTTAAATATTCCAATCCGGGGGGACAGTTGGGAGGCGGAATTGGAGCTGGCATCCACACAACGCCCTGAAGCGCCTGACCGTGAACAGGATGAGCTCCTGGGGCATGCGGAACATATCCGTATGCTACCTGTGGTGTAGGGCCACGCTGGGGGGGTTGTTTTGGTGGCATTTCCGTGGGTCCGCATGAATCTGTTGTTTCTTGAGGAGCTAGGCCATGTTCTGAGGGTGCCTCTTTGCAGTTAGTGGGCTGCCCAAGGAGGAGGAGATTGTTTTGTGAAGGACGGTCATCCAGGTGGGCTGAGCCACCACCTGGAGGCTGAAATAATGCAGCCCATACAGAGTTTTAACCACATACTACACATCAGTGGGCCTATTGTTGAGTCACGATAGAGAGGACAATGGCAACTGCAACTATCAGTTCCGAAGCTGTACCCATGAGGCAGCGGTGAGGAATCTTTCCTTCTTTTTTAAAAGGGTCATTGAGCTCCACCACAAAAACCACTTGTGGGTTGGGCAGCCCCAACCAAGCCGGCCCAGTGATAAGATTCAAGAGTCCCGGTTGTTGTGTGCTCAAAGTCATCTCCTGTTGTGATGTGGCATGTGTGTGTGTCTGTGTCCCTCAGATGAATCATGGCTACCTGCAGCAGAAAATTTAAACCTTAGGCATTCCAGTGTTTGGATACCTGGGGAGCAAAGTTTAGCCCTTTGGAAAAGGCAACAACATTTAATTCATTGCGTGATACCTTCAGGCAGCCTTCTCAATGAGGTTTCTGTTATGTACTGAGTTGAATAGGATCCAAAATGCAGCAGTCTGATTGGTCCTAGAACAATAGGATCCAGAATGCAGCAGTCTGATTGGTCCTCAGGAGCCACCCAATCCAACTCCAGGTGGAAGTGAATCCGCAACCTGATTGGCCTACAGGAGAATCCCAGAATTAGCCAATCACGTGGGGCCCATTGTGTAAATAATGTAATATAAAGCAGACTTGTCGGGGGAACTTCCTCACTACTATGGGCTGAATAAAGAGCATGAAATCCACACTCGACTCCGAGTATATTTCAGTTTCCTTCTTGCTTTTGTTCCTCCCTCTTCTTCTTCTCAGCCAAACCCACTCTCACCTTTCTCCTCCAGCCTCCGTTTTGTATTCAGATTCCTCTCCACTGTCGCTCCCTCCATTCCACACTTGGCTTGTATTCCTCCATCTCCCTCTATTGCTTTGGCTCTGTGTCCTCTTCTGATAACTCCAGGTGATTCAATAGCCTGTCGCTAATTTCTGTCCATGGCTTCCTAGTCTCATGACACTCCTCTCCACTGCTGCAAGCCAACTTCTGGGTTGGGCTGCAACATCCTGACTCTTGCCACAGAGACAGACTTGCCACTAGAGTCTGTTTCTGCTCCAGACTCTCATGGGTACTAGCAACCAACGTTACATGTTTTTGAAGGGGAAGATATATTCTTAGAAGTAAAGGTTTGGGCAGGTAACATTGAAAGGGGGTCCAGATGTGGCCCATAGGCTGTGGGAGTTCCCTACCCCAGCTGTATGGGAAAGAAAGTCAGAAGTTAGATAGGGATCTTCCATAGATGAGTGCAGGGGGCATGCCAGAAAACCAAACTATGCAGCTGCTGTCACACAATTTTGCTGCTTCAGAGGAGTTTGGATCAAGAGCTACTTACTAATGGGTCTCTTGTTAAGTGGTGGCAGTTGTCATTGCCAACAGGAGACAGTGGCAAGGAAGGACTTGCAAAGCAGTTCTTGCCTTGCTGAAGAAGTCCTGCAAAAATTCCTTTATTGTTTCCCTTTTATCCCGATTGGAAGCCAGATTAAACATTACACCGCAGTCCAAGACTGTTGCTCACTAAGGACCTGAAGGGAAATAAGCCAGGCTCAGCCACTGTGAGCTTTTAAAAATAAGTGATTGGACTCTATGACCTAGGAGAGTATGTACCATTGTGAAGGTGACTCAAGTTGTTCATCTGCTTCCATTATGGCAGAGGCTGGAAAACCCTCTGGTTATATGGGGATATACAGCACTGTAGCCTCTCTTTGTGGCAATTTATGGTGAAGGAGAAAGAAACCCAGGTTGAGACTGAGAGGCACAGGGCGATAATAGATTCAGAGAATTGTAGAGTTGGAAGGGACTGTGAGGTCCATTGAGTCCAACCCAGGCAATGCAGGAATCTCCTCTAGATCTTACATGACAGGTGGCCCTCCAACCTGTGCTTAAACTATCTGAACCATCAAGACAGTTTCTCCTGATGTTTGGTCAGAATCATCTCCTTTCTTGTAACTCGAATTCATTGGTTCAGGCCCTACCCTCCTGAACTTCCCCAATGGCCACTGAAATAGAAGAGGCACCCACACTCGCACCAAGCCCAACACTTCCCAGACACATATTGAACGCACAGTGGCACTCCACACACAGCCAGCTAGTCAATAATAACCATACAGAAATACTAATAGAGCTGACAATTGATGCCAAAGGACATCAAACTAGGAGGTACCGTCTGCATAAATATGCCAGGTGTGACTCATACACAGAAAAATACATACATTTAATTGTGTGTTTTTTTTAAAAAAAGTGTTTCCATTTCAATGCATTATGAATTCTAGAGCAGCACCCATAAATTGGAATGTCCCACCACGATAGGTACAAGAGCTGCAGCCGCAATTCAAAAATAAGTAGTTTTCACAAGAAGCCCTCTTATTCGCCAGCTTAACGCTCCATCTTAGCAAAGGAAAAGCAGAAGTAGCAACACGAGGGCATTTCTTCGAAGCAGCTTCCAGGTCTATTGTCAGACCCCCGTTCTCTGCTGCCCTCTTCCTGCACATTCAAAAAACATGAAATCCACCAGGAAGCAGGCCCCCAGCAGGACAGCTTTCATTCTAACATCAAGGTCCAACGAGAACGTAATTCCAAAGTTGTCGGTATTGGGGAAGGCCTCTTCCAGAAAGCCAGTCCAGTGCTTAGAAATCCTTCCAACCTTGGTCTCCTCGTCCAACAACATCACCTCAAAGTTCACATCTTGACACAAGCTGCACAGTACACAGGGCCCGGTGATTTTAAGGACATCCTGATGGAGTTCATTTTGGATTGCAAATTTAGGCAGAAAGGGGTGCCACGTCTGCTTAATATACCCCACAGGGGTGCCTGGAGGGGCATGGACTTCAAGCTCTTGCAAGCAGCAAGGATACCAACAGCTGGAGCACCGGAGAGGTCGCTGGAGCTCAATTACTTCCTGGCCCACACGGTCCATGATTTTTACTGTAAATGGACATGCCGCTCCACAGCAGTTTCTCACACAGCAATCAGTTTCCTCAACTGCCAAGTATATCCTTTGCCCCCAGCCATTTTTTATTTCGTATTTGTTGCAATTTTCAAAGCCCATTATTATTTCCAGAAGCTCAATCTGCTGGTGAACGACTATTTGATCCAAGAGATTTAAATATTCTAATCCGGGAGGACAGCCGAGATCTGGAATGGTTGCCCGCATCCAGGTTACAGCCTGGGGGATGCAAACATCACCCATTTTTAGCTTACAACAAGATAGGGAAGATCCATAAACTCCAGGATAACCTTGCTTTATGCTCATCAGCTCTCCTGGATAAAGTAGCTCATCAGTGCTGTTCTGTACACCGTGTCCAGGCATTCTCACTGGTCTGGGGCCAGCTTTTCTAACTGCTGTGGGGAAATGTTTATGTAGCGTTTTTTTGGGTCTGTGTTCATCTGTTTCTTTGGGAGCCATGCCAGGCTCTCAATGTGCCTCTTCACCGTTACTGGGCTCAGGTTGCTGCCCAAGGAGGTGGGACTTACTTATTTATTTTGCAACAGAGGACCATTCAAAGGATGTGAGTCTCCAACCAGGAGGCTGGAATGATACTAAGTTGAACTAAATTCTAAACATCCATGGACCTATTGTTGAGTCACAGTGGTTGTGTGGACATTGAACTCCCCCAGAAGTCTTAGGGTTCTCCAGAACCACACCAGATATCACTGAGAAGCAGAGCCCGCAACACACCATCATCCCCTTCCCAAACCTGTCCCTTGGGGCCAACTTCAGGTGGAGGGGTCTCTGTGACGTTCCAGTGTTTGCATATAATAACGTATGTACTGTACATTGATAGCAAATAAGGTGATATTGTAATACAGTGGTACCTTGGGTTACAGACGCTTCAGGTTACAGACGCCGCTAACCCAGAAATAGTACCTCGGGTAAAGAACTTTGCTTCAGGATGAGAACAGAAATCGTCCGGTGGCAGCGGGAGGCCCCATTAGCTAAAGTGGTATCTCAGGTTCAGAACAGTTTCAGGTCAAGAACGGACCTCCAGAACAAATTAAGTTCTTAACCAGAGGTACCCCTGCAGTGGAAAGTATAATAATAGAACTAAGGTAATGTTAGATAGGGAAGGGGAGAGAGTGAGCTGGAATGGAGGATTGGCAAAGAATCTGAATGCGAGGGAGGAGACAGTTGAGAGTCAGTTGGAAGTTTAGTCAGTTGGGATATGAAGCAAAGTTGGCTAGATGAGTATAGGATCAGCAGTAATACAGCTACTGCTACACTGGAAATAAAGCAACAGATAAGATACAGGGGTGTTAGCTACCATAATGCTTATGTACACAAAGTCACCATCATCTTCTTATATATGAATTTATACCCCAACTGACAGAGACTCTAGAGTGCTTCTGTGGGTTAAACCACAGAGCCTAGGACTTGCCAATCAGAAGGTTGGAGGTTCGAATCCCCGCGACGGGGTGAGCTCCCGTTGCTCGGTCCCTGGTCCTGCCAACCTAGCAGTTTGAAAGTATGTCAAAGTGCAAGTAGATAAATAGGTACCGCTCCGGCGGGAAGGTAAATGGCGTTTCCGTGTGCTGCTCTGGTTTGCCAGAAGCGGCTTAGTCATGCTGGCCACATGACCCGGAAGCTGTACGCCGGCTCCCTCGGCCAGTAAAGCGAGATGAGCGCCACAACCCCAGGGTCGGTCACGACTGGACCTAATGGTCAGGGGTCCCTTTACCTTTAAGAATATTCTGCCTCTGTAGATGCAAGAGCTGCAGCAACAATACAAAAAAACACACACCTGGTTTCAACAAATAAAAAAACCCTCTTGTGAGCAGGCTTAAGACTCCATCTAAGCAAAGCAAAAACAGAAGAAACTAGAGGACTTTCTCCAAGGCATTTATAAGGCAGTAGCCTGGCCTAACCCCAGACGCCCATTCGCTGCCGGCCTCCTCCCGCGGATTCAAAAAACATGAAATCCACAAGGAAGCAGGCCCCCAGCAAGACAGCTTTCATTCTAACATCAAGGTCCAATGGGAACTGGACTCCAAAGTTGTCAGTATCGGTGAAGGCCTCTTTCAGAAAGCCAGACCAGTGCTTAGAAATCCTTCCAACCGCTGTCTGCTCATCCAGTGACAGCACCTCAAAATTAATATCTTGGCACAAGCTGCACACTATACAGGGCCCGGTGATTTTGAGGACATCCTGATGGAGTTCATTTTGGATAGTGAACTTAGGCAGAAAGGGGTGCCACGTCTGCTTAATATACCCAACAGGTGTGCCTGGCGGGGCATGGACTTCAAGCTCTTGCAAGCAGCAAGGGTACAAGCAGCTGGAGCACCGGAGCGGTCGCTGGAGCTCAATCACTTCCTGGCCCACGTTGTCCGTGATTTTAATTGTAAATGGCCGCAATGTTCCGCAGCAGTTTCGTGTGCAGCAGTCGGTGTCCTCAAACGCCGAGTAAACCATTTGCCCCCAAGCGTTTTTTACTTCATACTTGTTGCTGGTTTCAAAGCCAATGATGATTTCCAGAAGCTCAATCTGTTGATGGATGATCATTTGATCAACCTGGCTTAAATATTCCAATCCTGGGGGGCAGTTGGGAAGTGGAGGTGGAGCTGGCATCCAAGTTATAGGACGTGCATATCTTTGACCTGAAGAGAAGAAGAGTTTGGATTTGATATCCCGCTTTATCACTACCCGAAGTAATCTCAAAACGGCTAACATTCTCCTTTCCCTTCCTCCCCCACAACAAACACTCTGTGAGGTGAATGGGGCTGAGAGACTTCAGAGAAGTGTGACTAGCCCAAGGTCACCCAGCAGCTGCATGTGGAGGAGCGGGGAATCAAATCCGGTTCACCAGATTACGAGTCCACTGCTCTTAACCACTGCACCACACTGGCTCTCACTGACCTGGAGGAGCTCCATAAGCTCCTTGAGGACGCTGGGGTGTGTTCATTAGCGGTCCTGGATAATGTGGCCCAGGGGCTTGTTGACTGTCCCATCCTGCATTGCCTGTGGTGTAGGGCCAGCTTTTCTATGAGCTTGCGGGGGAAATTGTCTTGGTGGCATTTCTGGGAGTCTGTCAACATCTGTTTCATTGGGAGCTATGTCGTTCTCTCAATGCACTGTTTTGCAGTTACTGGGCTCAGGATGCTGCCAAGCAAAGGGGGAATGGTTTTTTGAAGGAGGACCATTCAGATGATGTGAGCCTCCACCTGCAGCCTGAAATGGTATAGCCCATACACAAGTTGAACTAAGCATCCATGGGCCTGTTGTTGAGTCACAATGGTTGCAACCGTCACTGTCCTCTGTCGATCCTTGAGCTGGACCTATGAAGCAGTACCAAGGAACTTTCTCTCTCTCTCTCTCTCTCTCTCTCTCTCTCTCTCTCTCACACACACACACACACACACAAATGTTTGCATCCATTATAAACATCAAGTAAACAAATAAAGGATTTGAATGAAACACTGCATGTCAAATTAAGGGTACCTGATTTCCCTCAGGCTTGCAAATGAATAACTGATTTCCCTCTGGCTAGCATGGCTACAACCATTAATCAGTAAACACTGTGTAAATGTTTGCAAAGTAATAATTTAGCACCGTCGTGTGAATCAACAATGCAATCCATCAGATGATTTGCCCATAATATGACTGTTAATTTACATTTGGCATTGCTAATTAAACTGTTTGGGTTTTGCAGAAAGCAAGCCCCACTGGCACAAGAAAGAAGTAGCTGAGAAAAATCAAAACTTATTGCAAATGGAAGCTGGAGATGTGTGTGTGTGTGTGCGTGTGCGCATGCACATTATGCCTATTTATGGATTATGTAACGCCACTCATGCAAATGGGGTTTTACAGAGTAGAAAAGAGAGGCTGAACTATAACATGATACCCATTAATTTGCAAATAATTTTGTGGGTCAGCTTGGACCAGAAACTATTTAGGTTGCATCACACACTTTTATACCATCCAACAAGCTTATTCTATGGAACCGGTCCACCGACCCTCTTTCAGGTGCTCCTGCTTTTGGAGGTTAGGTGGATAACTACTAGAAAAAGACCTTCTCTGTAGTGGCACCCAAATTACCCACAAGAAGCTGCCTTATATTATGTCAGACCGTTGGTCCATCTAGCTCAGTATCCTCCATTGGTTCAACTGGCAAGTCACCAGAACCCACTAGATTGCAACTTGATCTAAGGTGAGGCACAGCAGTAGAACTGCCACCTTGCAAATATACGGTAATAATGATGATGATGATGATGATGTTTTGGCTAAAGGTGGGGCCCAGATATGAAAATGTTGAAGACTCTGTTGAAGACAGTGACTCTCCAGATTTTCCGATAGGTCTCCCTTTCCAGCTCCACCTGGAGATGGCAAGGATTGAACCTGGGACTTCCTGTAGATGAACCATGGCCCTACCTGTATCTACCTAACACCTCCTTTGCCATCTTTTAGGCACAAGCCATCCCTATCTTGCTCTGGATGGCTGTTGGAGTACAATCCTAAACATGCCTACTCAATCAGAAGTGACCTTCATTGAATTGACCTTGCCTTGTGAATGGTACATGGCTGGTCCTTCCACCTAAATGAGAGAGGGAGATAAATAACGCATATATTTCATGTGCATAATATGTGTGAAAGGATATATGTCTTCAGCTATGCATCTTGTCCCTGAGGAACAAATCACAACTGACCATTCTGCTTATCTGCTCTCTGCATTAGCAGGTTCTCCACTGTTTGAAAAGGAGCCCAGGAAGAAGGTGACATCAGAACTCATCACACCCAGGTTACTTATACATTTTTATATCACCAGTCTACAACAGTACTAGAGATGGTATGCTAAATGCACATGTTGCCCGTCTTTATTTTCCCTGGGCCAGATCAAATGTTGCAATCTCCTGCTCATGGCTGCTACCAAAAAGCCATTTCCTATGCTGGTCACTGACATGTTGTGGGGGGTGGGATGTAATGTTTAAATGTATGCATTAGGAAAAGTAATGTTTCACTCATGCATATGCCAGCGCTATGCATGGAGAACATATACTACAGGGCAAAAAAGCTGTCTTTTGCAGTAGTGGAGCCTGAGCTTTGCAACTTCCTCCCACAAAGATCCACCTGTTGCTGTTTAGTTGTTTAGTCGTGTCTGACTCTTCGTGACCCCATGGACCAGAGCACGCCAGGCACTCCTGTCTTCCACTGCCTCCCGCAGTTTGGTCAAACTCATGTTGGTAGCTTCAAGAACACTGTCCAACCATCTCGTCCTCTGTTGTCCCCTTCTCCTTGTGCCCTCCATCTTTCCCAGCATCAGGGTCTTTTCCAGGGAGTCTTCTCATCTTATGAGGTGGCCAAAGTACTGGAGCCTCAGCTTCAGGATCTGTCCTTCTAGTGAGCACTCAAGGCGGATTTCCTTAAGAATGGATAGGTTTGATCTTCTTGCAGTCCATAGGACTCTCAAGAGTCTCCCCCAGCACCATAATTCAAAAGCACCAATTTTTTGGCGATCAGCCTTCTTTATGGTTCAACTCTCACTTCCATACATCACTACTAGGAAAACCATAGCTTTAACTATTTAACCTTTGTTGGCAAGGTGATGTCCCTGCTTTTTAAGATCTGCCTAGCACCACGTAAAGACCTGAGAATTCACCCAGGTCTTGGATGTGGTAGGATGCCAGGTGGAATGCTTTTTGTGGCTGTGATTTACTTGCCTTGTTTTATGCTGTTATCTTTTATGTTGTGTGTATCTTATTGATACTTACTTCGGAATTGTCACTTGAAATGAAAGAGCAGGTCAGAAACATTTAAAATAAATAATAGATGCTATGGGGCTGGGGTATTTCTAGGTGGGTTGGACAATGTAGAACAAGTTAGAGCCACTTGATTGCTCAAGAAAGCAGGGATGAATGGGTAGTTCCACCTCTAGTCTATGTCAATTTTGCATGGTTTTATTCCTTCTATCCCGTTTCTACATTAATACGCCATTTTTAAAAACCTACATGAAAACCCATACTCATATTTTTAGCATGGTTGTCTCATTTTTTGATATATTTAATCCAAAAATGCCCGTTTTTGTGCATTCTAGTACATTTTGAACCCATAACTATTTTGCTAAATTTTGGAAAAGCATGTAGGGTAATTTCGTTTGCCCTGGGCATTATAACTCCTTGGAAATATCATGTGTATGTTGGAATGTGATTATACATGCCTTAGCATAGATACCAGATAAAAGCAAGGTCACTGGTCCATCTGGCTCAGAACTCTCCACATCAGAGGTAGGGAACCTGTGGCCCTCCAGATGTCGCTAAATGTTTATATATTTTCTGTATAAATAAGTAACTATAAATCTGTCCGTTGTAAATGTTCCACAAAGCTTCTTGTTGCACTAACAGCAACAGACCAACAGAACTACCTGCTCGGGAACTTGCTGTCTTGTGGTCTTCTGCCAGATGTCTGAGTAACAGAATTTTTGCTATTATTGTCATAGATGCACAGATGCTTTTCTGGACCACGAGACCTCCTACGAATGTTGCTCCACCAACCCCTGCACAGGCTGTGTCTTGGCTTGCCGCAGGAGCCCTCGGCTTCTTACTAACGGCTACTACTTACTCACAGAGGACAGTTTTCTGTCTGATGAAGATGGCAACGTCACGCTGAGTCTATCCCAAACAAGTGTTACCTATAAAGAGAAATTAGTTAGGTAAATGTGACCTCGTGTATAAGTTCTATTGGAGAAGCAAGTGCCTTCCACACATTCTGCAAAACCAATGTTTCTGAGTCCTGTTCAGTTATTTTCACGCACCATCTCCTTCCTTATAGGAGGCCTTCTCAAAGGAATTAATTACTATATAAACCAGCCTATGAGTTCACTGTTATGGTTTGCTACCTCCGGTAGCTTGTTGAGAATCTATATTCTCCACAAAAGTGCAGATTAGGAGTGGAGAACCTTTTTCAACCTGAGCAACTTTCGCTCATAATTAGTCATCTAGGGGCCACATGCCAGTGGCGGAAGAGGCCAGAGGAAAAAATTGAGTGGGGCCCAGGGCAAGAGTGTGTGACTTTTACCATTGTACAACAAGCTACATTCCAGGCACACAAAAGTCAGAGGTCTCAGCTTGGATCCAGGCAAGAAAGAGATACAATCACAACTCAGTCACAATTCAATACCGGTAAAACACTTGAGGAAGACCCAGAACAGGGGTTTGGGCTGAGGAGAAGTGGGCAACAAAGAGAACACTGGAGGGCTGCATTTGGCCACCACATCTGAGGTTCTCCATCCATGTTACAGATTCCCAAGAGATAAATCTTGGTTCTCTGCTCTCAATCATGTTGCTGTTGATAACAATGATAATTCACCATCAGTAGGACAGTTCTTTGCAAAAGCCATTAACAATAGAGACCTCTCTGCCAAGGAGCTTACAACCTAAATTCTGGCAGGGAGCAATAATAATAGTAATAGTAGTAGTAGTAGTAGTAGTAGTAATAATAATAATAATAATAATAATAATAATAATTTTATTATTTGTACCCTGCCCATCTGGCTGGGTTTCCCCAGCCACTCTGGGCGGATTCCAACAAAGGTTAAAAATACATTAAAATGTCACACATTAAAAACGTCCCTAAACAGGGCGGCCTTCAAATGTCTTCTAAATGTCAGGTAGTTGTTTATCTCTTTGACATCTGATGAGAGGGCGTTCCACAGGGCGGGGGCCACTGACGAGAAGACCCTCTGCCTGGTTCCCTGTAGCTTTGCTTCTCGCAGTGAGGAAACAGCCAGAAGGCCCTCGGCGCTGGACCTCAGTGTCCAGGCAGAATGATGGGGGTGGAGATGCTCCTTCAGGTATACTGGGCCGAGGATGTTTAGGGCTTTAAAGGTCAACAACAACACATTGAATTGTGCTCAGAAATGTACTGGGAGCCAATGTAAGTCTTTCAGACCGGTGTTATATGGTCCCGGCGGCCACTCCCAGTCACCAGTCTAGCAGCTGCATTCTGGATTAGTTGTAGTTTCTGGGTCACCTTCAAAGGTACCCCACATAGAGCGCATTGCAGTAGTCCAAGCGAGAGATAACTAGAGCAAGCACCACTCTGGCAAGACAGTCCGCAGGAAGGTAGGGTCTCAGCCTGCGTACCAGATGGATCTGGTAGGCAGCTGCCCTGGATACAGAATTGAAAACAGGAAAGAAACAGTAAAGAAAGAAAGAAAGATGAGAGTAGCAGAAGAATATGCGTAAAACTTAATTATATGCAAGTTAAGTACTTTGTTTCTGTTACAGATGAGAACTTTATGGGTTAAGTGTTTCATAGGCATTTGTAGAAGATCAGTTTTGTACTAATGTTCTGGTTTTATTTTTTCGTGCCAGAATATTTCGGAGAAGAAAGAGAATCCGCCGATCCCTGGCTAGTTTGTTCAGTATTGGAGCCTCTAAATCATGGCTGAACAGCACCACTATTGACTTACCTTACGTAGAGGATGCTTGGTTTGATGGAGACATGAAGGGGGATGCCAGTGAATATTATGACACTGGTGAGCACTGACTTTGCTCATGTAAGCTAGCAGCTATTCTAATAGGTTTTGTACTTAAAGGAAGACCTGTGACATGGCCCAGAACATCTGAGCTTACAATATACCGGTATGTTTTTCAATGGGTTTCTTTACAGGTGCCGTTGATGCTGCTTTCAACTGCAAAGCCCAAAGGGCAGAGAGACACAGTCTGGTACAAAAGAAGCCCTCTTCTTCGAAAGATGCCACTTGGACAAAATCAAGAAAAGAGCAGCATTATTCACCTACTTGTATCTTTCCCCCAGCAGAAGAAGAGTACTTCTATGAAAAATCTTTGGACTGTTCAAGTGAGTTAAACCCTTCTCTGTGTTGTAAAGCTCTCTGTTAATGATATGCCTTTCCTTGCATGAACTATCCTGGGTTTTAAGATTGGCATGGGAGGTTCTGCCTGTCGTGCCTTTGATGATTGCAGCTCGTGGGGCTGCCACATGAAACAGAACCTTCTCAGTGGTGGCACCTCAGCTGTGGAACTCTCAGTGGAAATCTGGTTGTCCCGTATGTTGGGCTCAGTCTTGCAGACATTTGGTACATACTTGACATCTTGTTATCTGCCGCTTATTGCTGACCATCACAGTGTATTTTGTGCTTGTGGTTTTAGAACTGGGATTTTAACCGTTTTTTATTTGTGGTTTTTATGAAGGTTGTCAGCCACACTATGTTCTGTTGTGAGGAAGAGCAGGATAGAAGGGAAATAAATCCACAGCCCCACTTGTGATCATTAGAAAGAAAGAAAACAAGCAGAAGTTGCTAGGAAGATGCTCTTTAATTAAAGAAAGGTCCAAGAACATAACAACAGGAGCTAAGATGAATACAGTACTTTGAATACATTCTGTAACATCTGTCATGTCGTATTTGGTGGGCTTAAAACAAAATCAGGAGGATTAAATCAGCTTAATTATGGCCTAATTCTCCACTTACGTTATTATGGCTCCAGGAATGCCTCAGAGCTCTGCAACATGTAACCTCATTTATACAAATGTTTTGGTGCACTGTTCATTCCCTATCAGTCATTCTTTACCGAGGCCTTGGCTGTACTAGGTGTTTTGTGCTGGTCAAGGTGTGATCTAGTCAGGAACAGGTCTTCTGGATTAAAGCTAGCACAGCACTGGAAATTTCTCCTTCATTCTTTCCAATCCTTCTACATCGATTAACGAGAAAAAAGGACCATTTAAACATCACCAAAGGGGGTATAACATTTAGGGGAAATGCTCACAGGTGAGGTGCAGAGTTTTAGCTGCCCTTACCTTACTTTTGGGGATGCGGGTGGCGCTGTGGGTTAAACCACAGGGCGTAGGACTTGCTGATCAGAAGGTCGGCGGTTCGAATTCCCGCGATAGGGTGAGCTCCCGTTGCTCGGTCCCTGCTCCTGCCAACCTAGCAGTTCGAAAGCACGTCAAAGTGTAAGTAGATAAATAGGTACCGCTCCGGCAGCAAGGTAAACGGCGTTTCCATGCGCTGCTTTGGTTTGCCAGAGGCTGCTTGGTCATGCTGGCCACATGACCAGAAGCTGTACGTCGGCTCCCTCGGCCTATAAAGCGAGATGAGCACTGCAACCCCAGAGTCGGCCATGACTGGACCTAATGGGCAGGGGTCCCTTTACCTTTACCTTACTTTTGAGGTGGCCAAAAGTTTCATTCTACAAATCATCTCACAAACAGCCTGTGCTCTGCAGCCTTTTTCAGGGGCCCATGCTACAGTTAAAGCCCAGGGGAAGATATAATGAAAACTCCTTGTGGAAAAATGGCATTAAGGGGTGGAAGAGACCATGGCTCAATGGCAGAGCACATTTTCATAGAATCCTAAGACTGTAGATTTGAAAGGGATCCAACCTAGTCCAACCCCATGCAATGCAGGAACCAGAGTTTTGGATGCAGAAGCACCTAGGTTCAGTCTCCAGCATCTCCAGGCAAAATGGACAGGCATCATGAGATAGGAAACACCTCTTGCCCAAGATCCTGGAAGGCTGCTGCCAGTCAGAGTAGACAGCACTGGGTGGACAAATAACCTGGCCTGTGGCTTCCTGTTATCGGGAAGGTAACATTCTTGCAATAACTGTTTTTCTTTCTCTCTCTGTATGTGTTCTAAATAGAGCCTTTTACAGTAAGGCACAACCTCTGCCCAGTTATCGTGCTCTCCATGTGTTTGATCATTTCTCTCTGCGTAAGGTAAATCTGAATGTCTTTTTATATATAGCAGCACTTTCATCTATAATGCATTCAAAGAGTTTTTCAAAGAAGCTATATAAACTGTCCTTCGGAAAATCATGTGACCAGATATGGGAGCTCGAGGGTCCTTTGGACTAACAGCAGCCTCTTGGTTCTGTTGCACGGAAAATTCAGGCAGGCTTCAAAATCAATTTGTTAAACGATACTACCTGTATAGTGTGTTGTTCTAGTTTAGGTTGAGCTTTTTTAAAAGATCAAATACTAATGAGTGGCATATCCCAGATGACCACCCACTTCCTATTCAGCCATTTAACAGAAGACTGATCTCCAAGGAGAGCCAAATGAAAGCCATTTTGATGCCCACTTACAAACTAGTGACCCGGGTGAATTTCTGGGAGAGATTTGGAGAATGCCAAGCTGGTTGTTATCTTGGCTCCTGATGTGAAAAGCCACCAGCTTAGCCTGACCTTGTTGACAGGCTCTTGAGTTCATGGCTGGAGGATGAATGAAACACATAGCTGTCATTGCTCTGCAGATCTCCCTGCCTGATTTAATATTAAGATGATTTGACACAGAAGGGAAATGAATTAATTATATTTGCATTGATTATTGACTATTTGATCTTTTCCTGCTTTGAGCCTTTTGATCCATCCTATTTTATTAATATTCAATAAATACGCTTATAATAAAAGACTAAAATAAGGAAGAAGAAGAGAAGAGTTTGGATTTGATATCACTACCCTAAGGAGTCTCAAAGCGGCTAACAATCTCCTTTCCCTTCCTCCCCCACAACAAACACTCTATGAGGTGAGTGGGGCTGAGACACTTCAGAGAAGTGTGACTAGCCCAAGGTCATCCAGCAGCTGCATGTGGAGGAGCGGAGATGCGAACCCGGTTCCCCAGATTACAAGTCTACCGCTCCTAACCACTACACCACACTGGAGAGGTCTGTGGTGGGAATATAGTGGGAGGACACTATCTTTTTGAGTGGGTTTGCACTTAAGTGAATTGGATGAAACTGGAAGAGGCCTCTGGGTAGGGAAAGGACTCAGCCGTAGAGAAGCTGTGGCTTCCTTTAACAGAGACTGCTCATTCTGTAAGTACTTCATAAACTTTACCTTATGTATAGGGACATCCTGGATTCTGAAAGTTATTAATGTAAGGACAACACACTAGGGAATTGCTATCTCTCAGGTAGGAGATCTCTGCCTCTGACAATGTGCAAGCCTTTGGGGGGCATCTCAAATTGGATTGTTGTCATATACAGTAAGCCCACATCTTACGCAAAGATGCATTCTGGGGGATCACACCTGAGGGCAAAATTGTGTATAGTCAAAACACATTGTGTGCAATAGCAGGTAGGATTGAGAAAGTTTTTTTCCTTGGATGCCTGCCCCCATTCCTCCTTTTTAATTTTTCTCTATTTTTGCCAAGTGATTAAAGCTGAACACAAGTTAAATGCACATAAGTTGTGGGCTTAGTGTAATACCAAAGTAAATGGTGGTGTGAATAAGGTAGGCTTGCAGGGTCCCATGCTCACATCCAAATAGGGTTTGAGGTCAAAACTGTTTTGAATGTCAAGAAAAGCATATGGAGAATTCATCTGAATTTGGCTACAGTTCCTTACCTCATGAATCTTACCCCATACAATCTTACTTTAATTTATAGTCCATTCTAATTAATTGCACTGTAGCTTAAATTTGAATTTTAGCAATGTTGTGCATTTTTTAAATGATTTGCAAACTGCTTAGAAGCCGCGTGGGCAATACGGGTTGGATCCAATACCATCAATTGCATGAAGTGTTCAGGACAGATAAGAAAAAAGGTTTCTCAAACGAACCTTCATAATTAGAAAAAGTGTTATTACAAAACCAAACCAAGGTAATATCAAAAATGTATGATACATTATTGGAGTGGGAGGTCAAAGACGAACAGGTCAAGGAGGTAATGATCAAGTGGGCTGTAGATATTGGGAAAACCATTAACGTAACAGCATGCGAAGAACTATGGATAAAGAACTGGAAATTTACATCCTGTGAAGTATTGAGAGAAAACCTAATCAAGATGTTTTATAGATGCTACTTAACACCTACCAAAATAGCTAAATTGTATAAGACAAAAGCAAATCTGTGCTGGAGGTGCGGTAAAACAGAGGGGACACTTATACGTTTGGTGGACCTGTGAAAAAATCAAAAGCTTCTGGAACACAGTGTATGACAAGCTTAAAAAAATGTTTGTATAACTTTATGGAAAATACAGAAGCTTTTCTACTAGGGATAATGGACACAGGTATAGCAAGAGAAGATCAGAAAAGATTCCTCTATGCCACAGGAGCGGCAAGGATCCTAATTGCTAAAAACTAGAAAAAAGAAACTGTGCCAAAAAAAAAGGAATGGCAAGATAAACTGTTAAGAGTATGTTGAACTGGCTAGATTAACAGAGGCAATTAGAGATTACACTATACAAGAGTTTCAAAAAGCGTGGGGAAAATGCAGAGAATACTTCACAAACCAGTGCCCTAAAATACATACCTGGACTTGTTTTGATTAATGTCTGCAGGAGACTTTGTGGATATGTAAGTTATAATTAGAAAAATCTTAATAATTATTCATAAAGGAAACAGTTTATAAAAAGTAAATTAGGAGGCCAGATACAGGATAAAGGAAATCTTTTATTTGGTTGTTTGTATTGTTGTATGTTATGCTCAGTGTATGTTATGTTCACGTTTAATGAGGGTGGATTTGTGTATTGGGAGGGTTTATGTTATGTTGTAAATAAAATTCCAATAAAAATTAAAAAAAGGGGGGGGGGAGAAGCCGCCTGGGCATTTAACCGGAATATAAACAAATAAATAATGCTTAAGATGTTGACTTGCGTTGATTCTTGTCGTTTCAGATTCTTTCTGGGAGGACTGTTTACAACTCTGCTGAGCTTCTTGCTGTTGATCATCATTTTAATTTGTAAGCAAAAAATAAATGTTTATCCTTGCTACAAGTCAGATGATTCCTACATTGCAGGGGGTTGGACTAGATGACCCTTGGGGTCCCTTCTAACTCTACAATTCTGTGATGATTTGTGGGATTGAGGGTTCACCCAGACTTCCTTTTGTTCACGTTTCTAGACACAGGGCCAGGCTTTAAAGCTTTGTGCCTGAGCGGTTTTCTTTTTGTCCTGGTGCTTTCCCCAATAAAACCCACATTTTACCGCTGAATTGGAGCAAATGGTGAAGGGCTTCCCCATGGACTGCCATTTGCCATTCAGTAGTAAAATGTGGGTTTTCTCAGGGAAAACTCTTGGACAATAAACAAACAAACACATTGCTTCGGTATGGAGCTTTAAAGCGCAGACCCACACCTGGAAAGTGTGGCACAAAAGTCTGCATGAGTCCTGATTTGAGGTACCTAATTCTTCTGAAAACAAGTGTGTGCTGTGCCCAGTAAGCAATCATCATAACCATCTATAATTTATTTATTAATAAAACACCAAAAGTTAGAATATGTTTATGAACTTATTTTGCAGTGCTATTCCATACCTATTTCACTGCTAATTTGGACTTCATAATAATTTCTTAACCAGGACATAAAACTTCTCTAATCAAATTTAACAAGATGCTTACAGTGGTGCCTCGCAAGACGAAATTAATTCTTTCCGTGAGTTTTGTCGTCTTGCGATTTTTTTCGTCTTGCGAAGCACGGTGTCGGGAAAGTTTTGGAAAAGCTTCAAAAATCACCAAAGTCTTTAAATACCTCAAAAAAGGCTACCACACCGCGTGCTATGAGTTGCTCCTCGAAGTCCAGTCGCAACTGTATTAACGGTTTTAAGAAAAAGGAAACAAACTTGCAAGACGTTTCCGTCTTGCGAAGCAAGCCCATAGGGAAAATCGTCTTGCGAAGCAACTCAAAAAACCAAAAACCCTTTCGTTTTGCGAGTTTTCCGTCTTGCGAGGCATTCGTCTTGCGATGTACCACTGTATTACCATCAACTTACAGACTGCTGCATGGATAGGAATCAACATGCCTAAAAGATTGTGCCTTAAGTAATACTGACAAATGTGAGAATGTTAGATGGTTTTCAGCTGTGTAATACTTGTCATTCTTTCCCCTTCTTCTCTCAGGTTCACTGGCACTTTTGTACTAGTCCCTTCGTGGGACCACCTGTCAGTTCATGCGATCTGCAAAGAATAATCATCCTTTCTCTTCAGAATCTTATTTGTTTCCACATTCTTCTGGAACCCTTGCCTAAGCTACCTGCAGGAACATCTGCATTTTTTGTTGTTGTTTTCTTAAACCACATGCCTTCAAGCTGCACCAAGGACACAGATGAAAAAGCATTTTGAGGATTGAGGATTCTGAGAGAATCTCACGATTTTCAGGATTTAGGAACTGGTGGAAACCCAAGCTGGGACAGGACATTGGGTTGGCAATTAAGGTAAAGGTAAAGGACCGCTGGACGGTTAAGTCCAGTCAAAGGCAACTATGGGGTGCGGCGCTCATCTCACTTACCTTGGCAGTTATAACACATGAGCCAATATGCACCCTCTTTGCTGATTAAACTGCTAATCCCAGAAAGGATGGAGTGCTAGCAAACTAGCCTCCTCCTATAGCTATGTGTGCATTGCATGGGAAAGACAGTCAGTGGTAGGCAAATGACCCTTAAGAAATGCTTGCCCACTATTTCTGATGTTCTTGTTGGGGAACCCAGAGAGGCTTACCCATACAACACAGTTTGAAAACTGCTGCCCTCCCTTAATCCAGTGCGGGGCTGTTTGCTTACTTTGTTTTCCAGTTTATCAGACAACAGGATACATCCAAACTAATTTTATGAACGGTTCATGTTTGATTACCTGCATCCAGTTTTCCAAACTGGGTTGGGAGTGGATATGGGGAAACTCAAGTTCAGACTTCCCACTCAGGTCTGGAGGGCCTAGACGTACCATTGTCTCTCTCAGAATATGCCTACCTTACAGGGCTGTGAGGATAAAGCACTACTCTGAGTTACTTGGAGGAAAGGCAGGCTGTAAATAACTCAGTAAATTAGAATAAATGATGTCTTGCATTCAGTCTAGCTGTGCCACTCCTATTCCCTGCACTATAAATTTCTTGGTCAAGAAAAGTTCAGGATTTTTGTATCATTTGTGCACCTTTCTTACTTGTAATACTGTAAACTACAATAAAAGCAAATCGCCACATTTTAGTGATACTTATCAAGGCACCTAATCCTGAAACCTGCACTGTACTTGTTTTTGAACACATATTTTACAATAAAGTTTTTTATGCACATTAGTGCAATTATCATTATTTTTATGTTGCAGATACACTTGTTATTTTGAAATCTGAAGTATGCATTTGGGAAGAAAGAAATTGCTTGGTTCCAAGTTTGTGGGGCAACACAGAGCACTACACATTCAACTTGGTGTGCAAAATTGTGGCAGGCAGAAAGGTTGCATATGCAACCATCTACCTGTCCATCTGCTTTTCCCCCATCTTCCATTATCCTATTACTCGTCTGCAGTGGGACCATAGCTCAGAGGCAGAACACATCCTTTGAGCCCTCAGGTTTGATCCTTGGCAAACACCAGTCCAAAAGCAGTCCCAGGGAGTAAGCGCTAGGAAGGTATCCCTGCAAAAGACCATGAGGAAGTGTTCCCTGCCAGACAGATGCTAGTGACTAGTGCACATAGCTATCAACTGTTCCCTTTTTTTAAGGGAAATTCCCTTATTCTGAATAGGATTCCTTGCAAGAAAAGGGAAAAGTTGACAGCTATGCTAGTGCACTGCATTTTTGTACTTTCAGTGTTTCCAGCCTGTGACGCTTTATGGTTTACATTTTTGGTTCTTTGTTTTCTTTGTGTTATGCTTGCACTATTTGTTTTGTTAACACACACACAAGCAGAAAGCATTGTAGAAGTTAGACCGATTCTCTATAAAGTGCACCTTGAGCCACCAAATGGTGCAATTTTACAGCTGAGTTTGTTGTCTTTCCTGCAGGTATCCTCCATGTGAACCCAAAGGCGCTAATCCCTTCCCTCTCTGCCACAACTGCCCCTTAATAAAGGTATGCTGCCTCTGCACCTGGAGGTTCCATTTAGCTGCCATGGCCAATAAGCCATAAAAGTCCCGAGGGCCCTGAATCAGTCCAATCTCAGGAAGATTTTAAAGCTGTGACTATGAGCAGTGAGTTCCATAGGTTTAATTAAGTCCACGAGTTCCATGGACAGTGGTACCTCGGGTTAAGAACTTAATTCGTTCCGGGGGTCCGTTCTTAACCTGAAATGTTCTTAACCTGAAGCACCACTTTAGCTAATGGGGCCTCCAGCTGCTGCTGCACCGCTGGAGCACGATTTCTGTTCTCATCCTGAAGCAAAGTTCTTAACCCGAGGTACTACTTCCGGGTTAGCGGAGACTGTAACCTGAAGCGTATGTAACCCGAGGTACCACTGTATGGATGAAGAGCAACCTAGAAATTGAATAATAAAATAAAATAAAACCGCACAGATTCAGGCCCCAGCGAAAATGTTCCTCTTCAACCAGGCCTTCTGTTGATCAACATCCTATGTCCTTTTAAGTGCTCGCATGTGTGTTACTAGCTTGTTTTGTATTTAATCACGCTTTTTGTGTTTCTGTTTTGCATTTTCATGCTGTGAAATTCCTCCTTGAGGTCTTTGGGTGAAGGGAGGGTATACAAATTTGACAAACAGCAATACTTCCCATTTAAAGCCACAGTGGGGCGTTGTTTAGCATGCCTCCCAACACAAGCGAAGCCACTTTCGAGATTAAAATGCTTATTTCGCGAAGCTCAGGTGAGCCCGGGGCTTGATCCACGCCGCATTCGTGTTGCTCTATAATGTTGGTGTTATCCATTGTTTTTTAAGCCGCTTGAAAATCTGCTGTCCTACACTTCCGGCACAAAACCGAACTGCCTTCCCCCCCCCCATTCTAACCCCCTCCCCAAGTCCAGATAGCGAGCCCGGGGCCGGCTAGGCATTTCGTTGGCCTACAATGCACCCCCCCCCCCGCCCCTGTCGGCTTGTCTGTGCATTCGCGTTGCTGGGAGCCAGCTCTGGAGCCTTAGAATACAAGCGTGGGCAAAACCCCCGCGAGAAAAGCCACTCGGTGCCGGAATTGTACGAAGAGAGTTCCATTTCCCCGCCCCCTAAGCCCTTACCTCTTTAGCCGCCGCGAGGAAAGAGGAACGTAATATAAACCAACCGCCGGGTAGGCCCCGCCTCCTGCGCTCGGTTGCCATGGCGACGGCGTCGGCCGTGAGGAGGAGGCCGCCGCCGAAGCAAAGCGAAGGCCCAGTGAGCGACCATGGGGCGCAGTGAGTCCCGCTTTCCTCGCGTCTTCGCCGGCGGGGTGGGGGGGGGAGGGGTTGCGAACCGCTCGGGGCCGAGCCTGAGGGGAAAATGGGGCGGAGGGTGTGTGTGTTTTTTTGGGGGGGGGAGGGAGAAACCCCGCAACCGGTTTTCCCTGAGAGAACAGCAGGGGGCCTTGCGGTGCCTTCAGAGCAGGACCGCGCCGTGCATTTAGAACGCGGCCAACCGTCGTTTGTAACGGTCGCTCAAAGCACGTGACCCTGTCCCTGCCCCGCGCGCAAAGCCTCCTGGGAAATGCAGTTCCCACGCCCTTTCCTCACACCCCCTGCGCCTCGTGGCTTCTGGTGTTTGCTGCCGCCTCCCGCCTGTCTCTGGAGCATGTGCAGAGGGCAGGGAGCGTTCTTTCTCCCCACACCGTAGCTAAACAGCTGCATAACCTTTAGAAGACATCTGAAGGCAGCCCTATATAGGGAAGTTTCTTCTAATGTGTCGTGTTAGCTGGGCGGGGCCCTATTATTATTATTATTATATCCCAGAGTGCCTGGGGCAACCCAGTCAGATGGATGGGGCACTATTATTATTATTATTATTATTATTATTATTATTATTCAGGGCTGGATTTAGGTTCGATGAGGCCCTAAGCTACTGAAGGTAATGGGGCCCTTTATATGTCCAGCTGTCCTTTGTCAACAACAACTTCTCGCTGTTTTTTGTGTTGAATATATGCTATATGGTAATTTATGGACCTAATAGGTATCTAAAGCCATTTGAACATAACAAAATATGTATTTTATCAAAGTAGTTGTTGAACTGAAATACAATTAAGAAGTATATTAATAGTGAAATAATTATTAAGCTTTAACTTAAAATGGACAGTGTTCTAAGCTACCAGCATGCGTTTGACCAAACTGCGGGAGGCAGTGGAAGACAGGAGTGCCTGTCGTGCTCTGGTCCATGGGGTCATGAAGAGTCGGACATGACTAAACGACTAAACAACAACAACAACAAACTTAAAATGATTTCATTTTATTTGTTTTTTATCTTATATTTTGGAAATGTGCATCCAGTTGTTGTTTTTCCTTTAATTTTTTTGGGAGTCCCCAAGAGAGTGGGGCCCTAAGCTATAGCTTGTTTAGCTTATACCTAAATCCGGCACAATATTATTGAGGAGGCATTTCCCCCCAAGCCAAGAGCATGTGCAGAGAGCACTTCTCAAGTCAAGTGGGAATGACTTTGAAGCCAGTGGGCCTGAGCATGTGCAGAGGACATCTTCCCGTACAGGGAGCACGTGGAAAGGGGATGCTGAGTAAGCTAAGGAGGCAAAGGCACCTGCAGGAAGCCTTTTTCAGCCTGTGGAAGGTGAGCTCATCTCTGCGCATATGCAGAGGGTGCTCCCGGTTCTGACAGCCCAAAAGCACGTGCAGAAGGGATTTGCAAGTCGAGCATGTGCAGAGACAAGGGGGCAGTGGTGGTGGTGGTGGGGATAGCTGCCCCCCCATCAAGTAAATAAATAAAAATACTTAACTAAAAGTAGAAATTGTAGAAAGATTTAGACATATTTTTTCTGAGCACTTTGGATCAATAGAAAATAATTTAAAACTACTGAGCGCTCACAATGTGCTCCCCCGCCTCTACCCCTCTCTCATAGTGAATAGACTACAAACTTAAGTAAGTTTAAATGCTTTACTTACGGTAACCAAAGGTCTCATTCATGCCTTGTTCAGTGCTACAGCAAAAACAACACAGGTAAAAACCTCTGCAGTACAAATTTCATCAGTTACTTTAAACATGGAGTCTGGCACTCGGGAGCCCCAGTCTCATTCTCCTGGTCCGTTACATGGTTCAAATAGAAGAGAAAAGAGAGCAAAAGGAATAGGAAACAAGCCTTTCTCCCTCCCTCCCCCAAAATACGGGAGCATGACCCAGCTGAGCCTCCTCTAGAAATTTACAGCTTTGTGGTCTTTATTTACTAATTAGCATAGACATGCATTGTTAGGTTTAATTGCAAAATCTCCCACAAAAACAGCATTGGAATGCATTCTTTATGAGCTCAGTTCTGCGCATCATTTAACCAAGCTTATGTTGTTGTTTTTTCCTGTGATGAGATTAATTTCCCCACAAAACACATATTTTATACATCACAGAAGTTCTCAGGTTCACTCACCAGGATCTTCAGGTAGGACTAGGAAAGCATCCTGTCTGAGACTCTGGAAAACTGCTGCCAGTCAGTGTCAACATTAATGAGCTGGACGGACCAATGGGCAGCTTCTATTTTTCTATGCTATTGCAAGAAGTGTTGCCTTAGAAAGTATCAAATACAGAAGTGAGAATATAAAACCCACTTCTGGTTTTGATATCTTTCTAAAGCAATGAATGTGGCCTTACTTGATGGAAGGAATTGCTTCTGTATTTACTATGATATTTCTTTCAGTCACAGAAGAGCTAGTTAGACAAAGGGCAGAACATAACAACTGTGAAATCTTTTCCTTGGAAGAAATTTCCTTACACCAGCAGAATATAGAGAAAATAGAACATCTTGACAAATGGTGCCGGGACTTGAAAATTCTGTATCTTCAAAATAATCTGATCCCCAAAATTGGTGAGTAAACTCAGTGATGTATTAATCCGTCTGACAGCTGAAAATGGTCTAAGATGATATTGGGAGGGGAAAGTTTTAAAAGGGATAAGGTGTTCAAGGCCCATAACATTTTAAGAAGAGAAAACAGTTTTCAAAAACTCCTTTCTGTTTTGTCCTATACAAATAGTTCACAAGCTATAACCAGGAAGTTGTTCATTAATTTTCCTTTCTGCTTCCTCTGAAACTTACAAATGCGGTGAGTAAATTGTGTATAGGAACATTCCCTTAATCTCAAGAAGCTGGTGTAAAGCAAGCTGTCATTGTAAGCCAGCGTAGAGTGATGCCAGATCCAAAACTCCTTCAGGAGCAAGCCTTCTGCCTGCTGAGCTGGTCCAAGCCTATCAAAAAGGAAAACAAACCTTTAAAATAGCTTGTCTTACACTTCCATTTTTTGCCAGGTCATGTGAGCATCCCACTTAAATCCCTGCTGCCTGTTCCTGCTCCCAGAATACTCCTTTTGGGGGACAGAGATCCAGTCTCATTCTTAGCAGAGCCACTGTCATCTCAATTCCCCTTCCATTTGAACTGAATTCATTCACTAGTCTTCTAATTTATTTGAATGGAATGGTAATGCTTTGATTCATCCTCTTAAAAATATAGAGAGAAGTGCAGAAATGAAATGAATAATAATAGTATTAATAACACTGTGGTCTTTTGGCTTCTTGAAGACTTTTTGGGGGGGGCTGTTTTAATTTCTGCTCGGTTGGTAATTTAAAAACTATTACTGTATCTTCTTCATTAAGCCTAACCTTGCAGATTGACGTGATCAGTAATAAATTCTGTTTCAGAAAATGTTAGCAAACTGAAGAAGCTTGAATATTTAAATTTGGCTTTAAACAACATTGAAAAAATTGAGAATTTGGAAGGTAAGATCTTTGCCTTACAAAAAAAAAATGTAAGTCATGCTTGTTAATATGGAAAAGGATTCATCTTTTTATGATAGAGAATGGTACTGCTGAAACCCTGCTGGATTCTGGGCACACATGGATTTTCTGTTTCTCGGAAGCAGATATTTATTAACTTGTCTAGGTTCAAGTTATTGAACCTGTCAACAGAAGGAATATCAAGCAGAGATGTTTGCATTCAGCAAGTGGAACAAACTTTATCCAGCTTGAGACACCTCCTTGAATTGATAGGTGATGCTCAATATAAGCACTTCCATGCCAGGCTTATTCATTAGTCTGGGTGAGAAAGAGACCTGCTCTCACTTTAGTTTTGTCTGCAGGGGATCCTTTCCCAACAGCCTGTGACATCAAAACATTGTACGTGATCTTCACACATAAGTCCTTCAGCCCACAGAATTTTGTTGATACGTTATTTGAGTGAGTTGGCACAACACTAGATTGAAGCTTTGGAGTACAGTGGAACCGCGTGCTATGGATGGGATCCGTTCTGGAGGCCCGTCCATAACACAGAACTGACACAAGCTGAAGCATCGCGTCTGCGTATGCGCACAGCGTGATTTAGCTCTTCTGCGCATGTGCGAGCGGCAAAACCCCGAAGTAACCCGTTCCGGTACTTCCGGGTTGCCGTGGGACACAACACGAAAACACGTAACCTGAAGCGGACGCAACATGAGGTATGACTGTATTGTGCTTAAATAGTCATAGCAATATATTTCGAGTGATTGCCCAATTCTCCAGTGCGGCAGTTGGACTGCTGAACTATGCAAGCTAGCCAAAAGGTAGCTGTGCAATTGGACTGGTTAATCAAATATCTTCTGTAAGGCTGTGCATTTAAATGGTGGTAAGATTAATTTAGAGCCAGTATATTCTAGTATGCCTTCTCACCCTCATCTCTAGAAATGGATCCTTAGCTATGCTGTTTGTAGAATTGGGGGGGGGGGGGGACTTGATTTTGAGAACAAAATGTGAGCTTCTAACAGTTCAAGCATGTCACTGTTTCTCTCCCACAAAAAGCAGGAGGCTCCAGGGGGAGACTTTTATTGTGAGGAGAAAATGCTGGAGACCTGGTTTTTTTGTTTATATAATGGGAAGGGTGGGCAGATGGAAAGCAGGTGTGCACGCAAGCAGAAAGGAACATAGCTTAGTTTCACCCTTGGAATCTCTGCTTTATGTCTAAAATCTCGGAGAGCTACTGCCAGCTAGAGTAGAGGCTGCTGGCTCAGTGATGTCCTGACTCCGCCATACCAGGTGGCAATAGAGTCAAGGCCAGCCAGCCCTGGGTAGATCCAAGTGAGCAGCTTGTTCCAACAAAGGCTGGAGGTAAACAGGCTTTTATGAGTACTTTCCTCCACTCTGCCCTTTCCAGGCTCTAGTCCTTTGGCCTGAAGACTATGGATCTTAGAGGGTTGTCTCCTTGGCTTGAAGACAAGTGCCTCACATTCTTTCTGTGAACTCCCACCTGGTGTGCAGACCCAGCAGTGCAGGAGGGACTAGCTTCCTCCAGCGAGTCAGGCTCAGAGAATGGCATCTGTGAGTTACCTGACTCAGGCTCTGCAAGTTCTCGACCACCAGCCTAAGGTTCCATGGGCTCCAAACCATCAGCCTTGAGAACCAGGTCCAATTCCCCAGCTGGTCATGCAGCGGCCCTAGACTTGGCCAGCTCTTCTGCCTCTGACTCTAAACTGGAGGCTGTGGCCATGAAAAATGGACCAATGATCTGGCTCAATATCAGCTTCATATGTTAATCTGATTGTGTAGGAGGGCAGCCATTTGAAAACTATAGCACCTTTAGTAGTCGTGTAGAAGAGGGGGCTTCAGCAGGTGCGGCTTGCATGACGTGCTTCAGGGCTGAAATCCACTTTTCTATACATCTATTAAAGGTTCAGGAGCCCTGTCCACCTTTTCATCTTGTTATCCCATCTTTCAGCAGAGTAAATCAGACAATGTAGACTTTTTTTGGGAGTAAGTTCCACTGAAAACTGTGGAGTTTACTTCTCAGTAGACCTGTGTAAGATTGCAGTGTGAGGCTGTGTTCTAGATCCATTTGCCCAAAATTAAGTCTGACTGAGCTTAGGGAGAGTCACTTCTGAATGTTAGTTACATTCTTCATAGCGCAAGCCAGTTATGAAAGAATGTGGAAAAATAACTGACCAATTTAGCAACCAATTGCAGGAGAAACATTCAGTGTGCAAGGCAGAAGCATATTGCTGTAGCTAGAGCCTCTTTAAAAATGGAAACTGATAACAGCCCAAATGAATGCTAAGATTAATCAGAATATAAATGAAGTTCCCAGTATATTGTTGCATATAACTCTGGAGAACTACTGTTTCTCCCTTCTGATTTCATCCTGCTTTTCTGTGAGACAACTGTATCGACAAAAAAATTTCTACCTTGGAAGCTCAGAATTGCAAAATTAACCCTCTAATCATCTGGGTCACATAAAACTATAAATCTTAGATGTATTATATATAATCTGATCGAATTTTTCCCTTTTTTGAGATGGGGTCAGCCCCAGGCTAAGCACCTCTAATAGATTATATCCTATAAGAGCACGTCTACGATCAAAGGAAAGCAAAAGTTCCTAGTGACCACATGTAGAGAACAGGAGGGAGCAAATGGTCTAAATACAGGAAGCAGGTGCAAGACAGAAATGATAGCAATTACAGTTCTGTATTATTCCCTCTGCTACAGGAGTGTTAAGGCTAAGATTTCTTGTATGCTGGCTGGGCAAAGCAACAGTCCAGCAAAGGGGCAATGTTTCAGGGCAAGGTTGCTAAAATAATTTAAATAATCCTGCTGTATATGATCCGGAAAGGTATCAACTATAAATGGGATTACCAAATAGCAAGTCAGTAGAGAGACATTAATTGTTCTGTTTATTTAGGGCTACAGATGTGTTCTTGTTAAGGCTATTAAGATGGATAAATAAATAAAGATAAAATAAAGTACTTCTTCACACAGTACATAGTTAAACAGTGGAACTCGCTCCCACATAGGGCAGTGATGGCTACCAACTTAGATGGCTTTAAAAGAGGATTAGACAAATTCATGTAGGCGAGGGCTATCAATGGCTGCTAGTAATGATGCCTGTGCTCCACCTCCACAGTTGGAGGCAGCAATGCTTTTTGAATTTTCTTGAAAGACCTACATTGGCTCCCAGTCCGTTTCTGAGCACAATTCAAAGTGTTGGTGCTGACCTTTAAAGCCCTAAACGGCCTTGGTCCAGTATATCTGAAGGAGCGTCTCCACCCCCATCATTCTGCCCAGACAATGAGGTCCAGCACCGAGGGCCTTCTGGCGGTGACTGGGAGCGGCCGCTGAGACCACATAACACCGGTCATGAGATACCTACACTGGCTCCCAATACGTTTCCGAGCACAATTCAAAGTGTTGGTGTTGACCTTTAAAGCCCTAAACAGCCTTGGTCCAGTATACCTGAAGGAGCGTCTCCACCCCCATCATTCTGCCCAGACAATGAGGTCCAGCACCGAGGGCCTTCTGGCGGTTCCCTCGCTGCAAGAAGCCAAGTTACAGGGAACCAGGCAGGGGGGCCTTCTCGGTAGTGGCACCCGCCCTGTGGAATGCCCTCCCACCAAATGTCAAAGAGAACAGCAACTACCAGACTTTTAGAAGACATCTGAAGGCAGCCCTGTTTAGGGAAGCTTTTAATGTTTGATGCATTACGGTATTTTAATATTTTGTTGGAAGCAGCCCAAAGTGGCTGGGGAAGCCCAGCCAGATGGGCGGGGTATAAATAATGAATGATGATGATGATGATGATGATGAAGAATACCAGCTTCTGGAAAGCACAGGAAGAGAGAGTGCTGTTGTGCTCGAATCCTGCTCATTTCCCACAGGCATATGGTTGGCCACTGTGAGAACAGGATGCTGGACTAGCTAGGCCAGAAACAAACTCTGCAAGTAGTTCTCACTTTTTACACATTTCAAATGAACATCATCTTTAATTGACTCTTCTGTTTTACAAGAAGTATGAGTTAAAAACAAGCACACTGTCCTAATTTTTAAGATGTCAGTTGTCGTCTTAGAATCTGACGTTTTTGTTTGTGAATTGAAAGGCAAGCAGGAGCTGTGTCCCATGATGACTCGGAGGTGAGAGGGTGTGCTTATTAAATGCAGAGTTAATAATGATTTTTTTAAAAACCCTCTCATATTTGCCAAATAGGCTGTGAAGAATTGCAGAAGCTGGATTTGACAGCTAATTTCGTTGGAGAATTGTCCAGTGTTAAGACCCTGAAAAACAACATACACCTTAAAGAGCTCTTCCTTACCGGAAACCCCTGCACTGATTTTGAAGGTTATAGGCAGTTTGTCGTTGCTACCCTTCATAAACTCAAAGTACGTCTCATGTAAAATATTAACTGCAAGCACCTTTGTGTCAAGGGCCAGGTTAATCCAACACACTAAAGCAAAATATAGATTAGAGATGTAGCATTAATTTGGTTCATTTGTTTTACCAGTTGAACTCAGTAGGGCTTAGACACAAATTAATTAATTCAAAGTCTTTATACTCTGCCCTTCCTCCAGATTAGAGCACAGTGTGGCTGATAATACAACATGCAGTATAAACAGTAATATAAAACAAACCAAAACCATATATCCACTGTAAAAACAGCAGCACTAAGCCTCCACTCTAACCAGTATCCATCACTATCAGGTTCCAAAGGCTGGGGCAAATAATTATGTTTTGACCTGTTTTCTAAAAATGGCTAACGTGGAGTGTTGTTGTATAGGTTTGCATTGTATAGGTCTGAACTGTTAATCAACTAAAAATATGCATTTGATTAATTGGGCAGGATATAATTTCTTAATTATTTTTAGTACATGTGTTTATAAATATGCATATTGCCAGTACCATCCTAAAAGAGGAACATAGGATGGATTTCCTTCTCTAAGATGATACCTCTTCCAACACATGGATGTTTGATCTAAAAATAAAGAAAGTATGCTTTTTAACTGTGGTTTTTAACCAGAGGAAAATTTTGTATATTTTAATCTTTTCACTTGATATTTACTAGGCAAGATGAAAAGGAATTGGTAAAAGTCAAGTTTATGACCACTGACTGACTTGCTTTTGATTTTTCCTGGAGCAAAACATAGCTGTATGTACACCAGTCTTGTTAATAGGTTGTAAAAACTAGTCCACATGTAATTACATTTTAGACTCTTGTCTAAAACTTCTGTTTCCTTCATGAAGCTAAAAATGATTTGCTTAAAGTAGCTTTAAGAAACATATATACAGTGTGGCATCAAGCAACCTCCACAATGACCCAGTTCAGGTATAACATACTTTGCCGTGATGTGAAAGAGCCACAATAAGCCACTTTGGGTGTACAACTCTGGAAGGGTTTGCAATAAGCCGATGTGATCCTTGGCCTGGAGAAGGTTAGTCACCTGGGCTATAGTTTGCTGAGGTCAAGCATCATGGAGAAACAGTGGGTAGTTTTTATTTCAGTTGTATACTAAAATGGATTTAATAAAAATGATTGAATGGGGGGTGGATTTCTTTGGTGTTTGTATTGAGCTTTTATTTTGTTCCCTCCCTTTAAGTTTTTGGATTCTAAAGAGATAGGACGTTCAGAGAGGATTCAGGCTTTACAGAGCTACCCTGAGGTAGCAAAACAAATCCACGAGCAGGAGAAGGCCTACCTGATTAAAAGAAGACAAGAAAAAGAAGAGGCACAGAGAAGGATACAAGAAAAGCAGGAGAAGAAGAAGAAAAACGAGAATCAAAAGAAATATAATCCAGGATACGATGGACGGTGGTACACAGACATCAATAACAGCATGTATGTGTTTTTATTAGCCTATTTTATATCTTTCTCTTGATACAGATTTTTTTTCCTGCCCTGGAAAGACGTATGTATAGCATAATGGTAGGCTATCATATGTCTCTTTAGGTCACACGGGGCTCTCATGTGCTGAGAATCTCCATCGGTATCTGCCCTGCCATCTGAAGCAAAATGGGTGTAACCTGGAGAAATGGCCTTCTCTGTGGTGGCGCCATAATTATGGAATTACTTCCTCTATGAGGCTTGCCTGGCATCCACATTGCTAAACTTTAAGCGCCCAGTGAAAACATTTTTATTCCCAGACTTTTACATTTTTAGCTGCCACTTTCAATCATATTTTATTACAATGTAAAGCATGCCAGAAATATTGAAAAGCAGGGTATGATTTAAAATTAATAAAGTTTCGAAGATACTTTGTGTGCGTGTTGCTTTTTTCAGCCCATATTCTGTAAGAGAGAAAGAGAGCCAGCAGAAGGCTGAAGAAGGAAATGAATACCGTGATTTAGTGATAAAGGAAGATGACGAAGAAGAGAGAGCCTTTTGGGAGGAACCTGTGCCTCATACTCCAGAGGCTCGGTTAGAAGCTCACAGATATATTGAAGAAAAAAATAAAGCAAAAGAAAACAGGTATAATTCTAATGCACTTTTGCCATGTTTGCACTGATTTTCACTTATCCACGATACCAAATATTGTTGATCTTTGCCCCTTCTATCTCAGTGGCATTCAGCATCGCTTAGGTCTAATGACTGTAGTCTGCACAACATCTTTATTGCAGAAATAGAAAAGTAGAGATAGCCACTGTGTGGGACTGTAAGAAAAAATCCAGAATCCATATTAGGGCAATAACTATTATGCCACAAAATATTGCAGATATTGGTTATGAGTGTCTGCTATAGAATGTACCTGTATAAATGCCCCATGGTACCCTGCAGTAGTTTAAAGCAGTGGTTAAAGCAAGGTGCATGGTTACAGGTAAAAGTTAAGGTAAGTGAGGTGATGCTTGAGTACAGGAAATGGTAAAAGCTGGGAAGTAATCTTCCTCCAGTAGAGAAGGGGATCTGTGGGTGGATTGCTCCTCCCACTCGCTCCACTAGGCAGGACCAATCAAATTCTCTCATGAGACTGGCTGAGTGGTGACTGAGCCAGGAAATCTCAGCCACTTCAAATCTCGTATCTGTGCCAGAATTGCACTCTCTGGTTCTGCCCGGGTGGTTGAGTAATTTAAAATGTATCCCAGTGTTGCAAGAGCTACTCTTAGATAAGGTACTCCTATGTAGCTTGGAGAATAGGCAAGATGTTCTCCTTCAGCACCATCTGCAGTGTGTTTGGTGGGTGGGAAATAATACTGGCCTACTTTGCAGTGCCTTTGTGGAGGTACCTGAGATAATGAATATGAAGCACTTCAAATACTCTATGCTCTAGATCTGCACTGGTTGCCTATTTGCTACCGGACCAAGTTCAAGGTCTTACTATCAGTATATTAAGCCCTTAATACAGAGGTTTTCAACCTTTTTGAGTCCATGGCTCCCTTAACCAACTGCATTCTTTCTGCAGCACTTCTGTAGGGCTCAGGAGCCCAGTTATGTCACCCATTGCATGTAGAGATGACAGCCTCTCACCCTTTTTTGAATACACTCCCTTGTGAAGTGTTCCTTCAGCCACTTTCCTCTCCTTGGGAGTCCTTCAGGCAGATGCTGCTGTTTTCCCTGGTCTCTGAGCTGCCCTCCCCCTGCCCCAAAGAGAGGTGCTTCCCAGAGGCACCATTCGTCTGCAGAGCTTATAGCCAGGGCTGCTGCAATAAACAGCTGTGCAAGCCTTTGGGAGGCAGAGACGTGAGAGGGCATCAGAGGAGGGAAGGAAGGAAAGAGGGACAGAGGCCCGTGGCACCCCTGACCATCATTCAAGGCACCCCAGGGTGCCATGGCACACAGGTTGAAAACCACTGCCTTAATAGACTGGGACCAGTTTACTTGCGGGATTGCTTCACCCCATATATGACCACTTGGTCAGTTTGATCTGCAGAACTGGCACTGTTATAAGTGCCACATACTTCTCATTCAGCACCTGTAAGAAATCAGTCTTTAAGTGTGGCAAAACCTATGCTTTGGAACCTATCCTTTCCTCTTGAAATCAGGCAGGCATTTTCACTGTACTTTTGTAGATCCATTGCACAAAATATATGTTTGTGACACTCTCCCCATGGGAGGGCATAAGCTTTTCAGTTTTTAAAAACACGGACTTTAGTATATGGAGTACAGTGGTACCTCTAGTTGCAGACTTAATCCTTAAGCCGTTCGCACCCCGAAAAGTCTGCAACTAGAGCGCCTCTTCTGTGCATGTGCGCGGCGTGATCGAGTGCTTCTGCGCATGCGCAAAGCACGCAGATCGCTTCTGCGCACGCGTGCATGGTGAACCCGGAAGTAAACACTTCTGGGTTTGCCGCGTTCATAAGCTGAAAGTCCGTAACGAGCAGAATGCAACTAGAGGTACCACTGTATATTCCAACATGCTTATATTTTGCTAAGGGCAGGAGGGGAAGATTTTGCAGAGAGATTGGGGGTTAGACTATTGCAGTTCTATTTGTGGAATATTTGCTGGCTCCAGTGCTCACGAAGAAGCAGCCACCATCTCTACATTAGAACTCGTTGCGATAACCATACATGACTTGCTTTCAAAGTACCATGGAGAGCTCCTCATTTTAAGGTTCCATTGCATGCAGTGAAGTCAGCCAAGCACTCCTTCTTTACAATGTTATCCATGCACCATGTTCAAACAGCAGGGGCACAGGCACCTTGGTTATAAGTATACTCCTTTGGGAGTAAGTTTCATTAAAATTAGGTGCTTAAGACTAGCATTGACAGAGCAGTTATTTGGAAACAGCATAAAATCCTTCTGTTTGGACTGGCATTTATTATCCAAGAACTGAGCCAATTGGGGGATGACAACATAACTGACTGCAGTTTTAACTTTGTTTGCATTTCTAAAGTAGAGCAATATGCCAGGTGTCCTCCTTGCATTAAGCAAATGTTTTTGTGTTTTATTTAAAAGCTAGTTCACACCCAAAAATCTTCCTCTTGCCTTCCCATTTCTGTCTTGGTTACCTTGAAGAAAGGATGAGAAAGAGAAAAAAACAATAAAATACTGAAAATCCTTTCCTCACTTTTCTTTGTTAGAGAGCAAACCAAGAAAGAGAAACCACCGAGGACTTTAATCACTCCAGAAGGAAGAGTTCTGAATATAAACGAACCTAAGTATGTAAGGAGGAATGATCACTTGGGTTGTGCGGCCTTTTAGTGATGGAATTGGTTAAGTTATACACAGTTTTGAGAATTTACCAGAAATTGTTGTGTCAGATTCTAAAATCTCATGATATAAATGTATATGCACATATGAATTTTCCATATTTCCCCAAATCCATATGCTGCATAGACTTGTTTCAAGGTATGGAGAATTTTTGAATAGACATCAAGACCCCACACTTAGTTCCTCCAATCCCTTAGGTAGGATTTCCACATTAAAGACGATCTGGCCTTTGCTGCTTTTCTTTATTCAGATCAAGTAAGTTGCAAAGAGAATGAATAAATCTGCTGCGTACCAGAGTGCCATGAGGAGAAAGAAGAATAGTGGCAGGAAGGAAATATTGATGTTTACCTACAGTGTCTCACAAGAAACGCACCGTTTTATCGATGTCTCTGCTTTGCTGTAAAAATGTGTTGACAGCTGTACAAAAATAGGAGTAGCTTGCTTGTGTGAAGACGTCAAGTGTGTAATATCTTAAAATGTTGTGTTGACAGATCGGAATTATGGTTCTGGGAGCTACAGACATATTGAAGAAAGCTCTAGAGCCCCAGAGACTCGTGTTGTCAATAGTTACTGAATGATATGTACTATCGCCTTCTTTCAATGGATTCATATTGAGGGCCAGATTTTTATAAACTGTTAAGCAGGTTTGTGAGAAGCAGTAATATCCCCCTCACCCGGTGCGACTCAGTTTCACAACATCATTTTAATGCAGAGATGGGGAATCTTTGGCCCTTCTATTTGCTGGTCTACAATTGTTCCTGGCCAGTGGACATGGAGGTTGAGGCTGATTTGAGTTGGAGTCCAATAATATGGTTCCCCATCCCAGTTTGAATGCATATGAAAAATGTTGGATTGGTGAGATCGAATTATACCAAGGTTATTATAATTCTTAGCCATTAAACAGCACTTTGGAGCATTCCAAAGGTTTTACAAATGGTGGGCAATATCCAACAGTGTAGCTCCATTTGTGCAGAGATTTCTCTTTGTGCCATGAAACTTCCCCTCCCTCTTCTCTCCCTGTGTGCCCTTCCTAAATGTGCTCTGGAACGTTAGGGGAACCTTTCCAGAACATATTTAGGGGGCATGTGGGGATTGCTTGAGGAGAAGGAAGGGAAGCTCCATTGCACAGCCAAAAGTCCTTGACTTTCGTCAGATACTGCCCATTATATTAGCTTACATTGCAGAGCAGGGGTTGAGGCCAAGAAAATAATGGCTTCCCTAAGGCTATCAAGAGGCAAGATACGAAACAGTTTTTTTAAAAAAATTATCAGTCTCTTAGCTACTATACCAAACTCTCACCCTTCTCACTCTGGTGTTATAACATCTCATGTGATAACCTGACTTGTACTGGATGGAGAACACTGAAACCAAAATGAGTTCAAAACAGATCTATCAGAGCTATAGAGAAGGACCATGTTTTGCATGGAGGAAGTCCCAGGTTCAGCCCCTGGGTATCCAGTAGTTTCTGTGTGAGAGACGAGTGCTGCATTGGTCAGAGTAGACCAAAATGGGCCAGATGGCAGATTCGTATGTTCCTATTCCAAATTCTTGTATCATCTTATATACTGATTTTCTCAATGGTTTGCTCAAGGATTTCAGTTTGTAGAATAATGCATAGCTCAGTAAAGCTTGTTGAAATAATGGGACCTGGAAAGAACTTTGCAAAACAAATTCTGTTCCTGATAGAAGAATAATGTTCGACCATCACCCCTTCTTGTTAGTTTTTGGCCAGCAGGTGTCTCTCTTCCAGCACTGATATATAGCTGTGAATTAAACTGACCTCGTGTCACTCACAAGCAATAAACCAGAGCACAGTTTGTGTGATGTTCTGTAGGATTCTGCAGATATGTTAAAAGAAGGATGTATGTCTTTGTTAATGCTAAATCTAAAGCAACTAGCAGTTGAAGTCTGCACATTGTTTCTTTCAATTCTAGTAATGTTGTGCAAATCTTTTTGCTATTATTGCTAGGCTTCCTTTCTCTTTAAAAGATGATGAAGCAAATAACCAATTCATCCTGGATCTTGCTGTTTACAGGTCAGAAAAAATCACTATATTTGCACTGCTGCTGTGCCTGCTTTTGGACACTGCTGAATGTTATTAGTTACTCAGCTGTTAGCTTTCCATTCATACTTTCATATGCACAGTGGATGGTATTAAATTGGCTATGTGAAGCAGCAAATATTATATTGCACATGTTTGCCTGTTTGTTTTCCGTAACTGGGCCATTTACCAGTATTTTGGGAGAAGAGAGAGTTTTGACATCAAGGAAAATGCTTCAGGGCAGACCATTAGCACACTCACACGAGCCTCAACCCGAGTCATGCTCCCCCAAGGCTGCTTTAAAAAAACGGAATAAAGAGATGGGCGATCTGAAGGCATCTCATCTACTTTGGCCCTTAGTGCAAAGGTACTGAACTGGATTTCATTTGCAGGTTTGATGCAGTTTCATCAACCCTTAATCCAGACAGGTTTGTTATCTCACTACAACAGTAAACATTCTCACCTGTGGTTTCATGCAAATTGAGACCCAGTCTATGTTGACTGTTGGGTGTGCCTGTATTCTTCTATGGGTGATTTGCTTCTTGGGTTTGAATCTTGTTTCAGTCGCTCGAGTGGTATCACTGTTTTCTCTCTCCCCTTCCCCTTTGGGTCTGGTCTGAGAAAAAGTGTCGAATGCAACCATGTGACTCTTGGTATAACATGAGCCACAGTAGGAGGGAACAGAGAGGAGTTTAATCTTCCTAAGGACGGCTCATAAATTAAGGAACTACTAAACTAAATGGACTCCCTTCCCTTCCCATTTCAAAGACATCTAGACACCTCCCTGCTTGATATTGATGTACAGCCTACTTACGTCCGAGTAATGATCAAGGGAAAGGTTAGTACGCTTTGTTGTTATTGCTTTTATTTAATGTTTTTCAGAAGTTTAATTTTGACTCCTTTCCACTTCCTAATATTGGCTCCTTCAACATGTCAATGCTGTACTTGTTCTATGGATGTTATTGGCCTGGTGGGAAGAGTTCTAGGAGTGAAGGAGGAAACCTACTGTTCCCTTCCAGTTTTATCACTTCAATCTGGGGGACTCAAAGAAGGCAAAGAAAGCCTGCCCTCTTCCTTCTCCCTTCAGTTCCTTGTGGGTTTCCACTCTGAGACCCAAGTCTAATGAACCCTGATAGTTTTTGCATCTCATGATGTCAGTGAAAATGAAATAAGGTGACAGGCACCAAGACATTGTGGCAAGAAAAGGCTTAGTCTGTTTGTTATTTGCCATGCAAAGTTGCATTTGCACTCATTTTCTTGGCTGGAGTATACTTCTTAAGTAACTTTTGGAATGCAGCTTCACCACACTGCATCAATTACATTCAGGTGGGCTATCTTAACTTTTGAAATTAGCCATTTCGGGAGTATTATGCAAAAGCAAAATGGGAAGATATATTTAACTGATGATGTAGAAAGGCCCTAAGATGGGGAGTCAAGTTCCCCTTCCATGCCATTTTTGTTCTTGCTAAAGCTTTTATTTGGGATAACTTGAAGTTGAGTTATCATCCTAAGAGCTGTAATATATCGTGAATAGAGAGATGGAGCATTTTTTTTTAATCCCTGTAGATCTTGCATTTTCTTCATTTTTTGACTTTAAAAATGCCAGTGCTGCTAAGCTAAACATTAGAAGCTGTATTCATAATCATACTACTAAATGCAGATTAAAAATTACTTTCAGTCTAAAATAGACTAGCATAATTATTCTCATTTAGTTGCCAAGTACCATGCTATAACCTTCTTTAAAATGTCATGCATTTCACTGACAACACTGAAGGCATACGTGTATGTTTGAAGACACAGGCACGCACGCACACACTCACACTCACTCACTCATCATACTTGCAACGTAAATGAGGACTGTTTAAGATGCAAATCATCCGTTAGGATTGGTATTAATATATACCACAAGAGAGATTTAAGTAAAAAAAAATCCTCTCGGATCAAAGACATGTTATTCATATAACTGCACGTTTTTCTATCTGGGCCACAAATGCTTTATTCTTTCTGATTCATACTTCACATCCCTGTAAACCCACAAAACTAAGTCTGGTAAACTTATGATTTTTGTAGTATCTATATCACAAATGGTGTAGTTCCTTGTCTGTGTGTTTTGGGTTTTTCAGGCGTTTCAACTTGTGCTTCCTGCAGAAGTGAAGCCAGATAACAGCGCTGCTAAAAGATCTCAAACAACTGGACATTTGGTTATCAGCCTACCAAAGGTAGGGCAAGATGTTCCTACGATGCTCAGAATTCAGTTTTGCCTTGGATCTGCTTGCCTGCACTTTCTTCTTCCTCTCCCCGTATGTTCTGCCCTTGAGGCATTGCAAAACTCAGAGCAAAATGCCCCCCAGAGCACAGTGTTACCACCAAAGTGGAACAACATCAAATGCGAAAGACTGGATAAACAACATAGCCTCCGAAAAGAAGAAACATGGCAAACTTGAGCCTCAGTTCTGAGTGGACTGCCTCTTCAGTAGCACCTTCAGAGCCAAGCCCATGCTGTCATGATGCTGATTTGATGCCTTGCCTGTTTCTGCAAGCATTTCAAGGCTTTTTCACAACATAGTCTTTAGGGCAGAGCTTCCCAAACTGTGCGTTGTGACACAGTAGCGTGTCGGCTGCAGTGTATAGGTGTGTCACGCGAACTGCGCTTCTCCTGGGGCTGGAAAGGGGTTAGTTTAACCTCCGGTTTGCTAGTGAAACTCTATTACTGTGTCGTGAAACGGTGCATGTCTAAAAATTGTGTCACCAACATGAAAAGTTTGGAAAGCTCTGCTTTAGGGACTTGAGATCTTGCTCTCTTAAAGAAGCTTTGGCAGAAGCAGTGATACCTTTTAGTAGACTAAGGATGTAGGACGCTGCCTTATAGCAAGTTCAGACTATTTGTACTGGCCTAGTTTTGTCTACTGACCAGCATCCTTTTTCCTGGAAATGACAGGGATTGAACATGGGATGTTTTGCATCCAAACAAAGCATGTTCTCAGCCGCTGAGCAGAGAGCTCATCAGGAGCGTCATTTTCCAGATGGATGCGGACCGCAGAGTGGAGCTTTGGTCTGGCGTTTTATTTAATTATTTTATTGCGTATCATACTTGTAACATGCAATTAAGTGGTTGTGCCTCATCTTTGGGATGCTCTCCCCACAACAGAAAACAGGAGGCACCTTCGTTGGTGACATTTAGGTGTCGGGTTAAAAGCTTTTTATTTAATAAGTCTTTTAATTGTGTTACTCTTTTACAGTTTTTCTGGTTTGTGGGTTTTAATGGCTGCTTAATGCTTGTTCTGATTTTTGCTCTTGTTTTTATTGCCTCAGTTCTCCAGTATCTTCATTGCCGATTTTATTTTATTTTTTGCAGCTTTTCTATACATGAGTTCAGACATGCAAAGTGTTCAACAGATGCCTGAAATCAGTGGTCACCAATGTGGCTGTCCTACTGGTAGTGTTGGACTACAACTCCCATCACCTCTGGACATTGGCTATAACAGCTGGGACTGATGGGAGTTTGAGTCCAACCTCATTTGGAGGGTACCACGTTGGCCACCCCTGCTTCAACAACAAATGATTTCTTATTTTATTTTCTCGTGTGGGTATTTTTGAACTGGCTGTAATGAAAATTAAATAAAAGCTAAAGTTATGGAAAGCAAAATTTTGCTCCAGTAGCAGGTTGCACAGCTGCAGTTTGTATTCCTGGTCTGAAATAAACACAGAGGCAAAGACAGAGATGGCTGTGTAGCGTTTTAACTGTTCTGATGTTGAAAACTGCTCCCGAGCTGCCTTCGGGCCATGTTTTCTTCCCCTTGAGCCATGAATCCTTGCAAAGCTAATACATCAAAATGCTGGCCTTTTCTCCCACACCCCTAAGTTATTAACGGAAGGCATTAGTAAGATAGTGTGTTCCTTCTTTACTTTTTTTTTTTACATTTGTTCTTAAATCTTTTTTTAAAATATGACTCCTCTGCTGAGATGTATGTAGCCAGTCTCCTTCAAGTTCATACCATCTGTCTTGTCTTGCTGGGCCTCTCATTAATTCCAATGGTGCATCTGTAATGACAGGTTTGCAGCCTCATCAGTAGCTGGAATTGTGCCTGAAATGTTATTCATCTGACCAAAATCCACTTCTCCAAAACATTCAGAATACACTTAAAATGAATATTTATCACACTTCTAAATAATAGAATCATAGAGTTGTAGAGTTGGAAGGGATCTCAAGGTTCATCTAGTCCAACCCCCTGGAATGCAATAATCTCAACTAGATCATACATAGCAGATAACCATCCAACCTCTGCTTAAAAACCTCTTGTGGGAGTCTGTTCCACTGTTGAACAACTCTTACTATTGGACAGATCTTCCTGATGTTTAGTCAGAATCTACTTTCTTGTAACTTGAAGCCATTGGTTCAGGTCCTGTCCTGTGGAGCAGGAGAAAGCAAGTTTATTCTTTTTCCATGTGGCAGGCCTTCAGATATTTGAAAATGCCTATCATGTCTCCTCTCAGTCTCCTCTTTTCCGGGCTAAACATATCCAGCTCCTTCAAGTGCTCTTCATAAGGCTTGGTTTGCAGACCCTTGATCATCTTGGTTGTCCTCTCTGCACATGTTCCAGCTTCTCAATATCCTTCTTAAATTGTGGCACCCAGAACTGGACACAGTACTCCAGGTGCAGTCTGACCAAGGCTGAATAGAGCGAGACTATTACTGTTGCTGCAGTCTAGAATAGCATTAGCTTTTCTTGCTGCTGCATCACACTGTTGCCTCAGGTTCAGCTTGTGGTCTACTAAGACCCCTAGATCCTTTTCACATGTGCTACTGGCAAACCAGGTGTCCCCCATCTGATATTTGTGCAGCTGGTTCTTATTGCCTAAGTGTAGAGATACTATGGATAGCAGCCACATGCCACTGTAAGTGTGTTCATAAGTAAACTTCACTGAGAGATTTACCCCCAAGTAACCATGCATGAGACACGGGTGGCGCTGTGGGTTAAACCACAGAGCCTAGGACTTGCTGATCAGAAGGTTGGCGGTTCGAATCCTCACGATGGGGTGAGCTCCCGTTGCTCGGTCTCTGCTCCTGCCAACCTAGCAGTTTGAAAGCATGTCAAAGTGCAAGTAGATCAATAGGTACCGTTCCGGCGGGAAGGTAAACGGTGTTTCCGTGCGCTGCTCTGGTTTACCAGAAGCGGGTTAGTCATGCTGGCCACATGACCTGGAAGCTGTACGCTGGCTCCCTCGGCCAATAAAGCGAGATGAGCGCTGCAACCCCAGAGTCTGTCACGACTGGACCTAATGGTCAGGGGTCCCTTTACCTTTACCTTTTAACCATGCATAGGACTGCAGCCCACAGGACAGGACAATTGGCAAAGGTGTCTGGGAAGAAAATTCTACAGTGAGGACGCCTTCACAGAAAAGGCCTTGTCTGCAACTGCTGCTGACTTCACTGCTCAAGAAAGGGCATCCACAACAGAGATTCATAGTGATCTCTGCAAATGAACAGGCTCATCCAGAAGAATACCTTGATAACTTGGAGGCCTGAGGAATGACAGGTGAATCTCTAGATTTGCAGTGCAGTGATGTACCACTGCCTTGCCGTGCAATACAGAGAGCTGGTGTAGCATAGGGCTGAAAGACACCCTTGGTCCAAATGTCAGCTGCTGCAAACTTAACAAGTTCTGCTAGGGTCTTAGATATTCCCCCACCCCCAGTAAAATACCACTTTTTTCCAATATGGAACTCAGTCAGTGAATGTTGCCAGGATTGTTACCAGAATAGGGCCATTAAGAAGCAGGAGTGAAGTATCAGCATCCTTTCAAGGTTTGTAGAAGTACAAACAAATTCCAACCAACCCCTCACAAAAAAACAAGCCTAAATGTCCCAAAATACAGCCAAAAGAGGACTGAGTATGCTAAATAGCCAGGAATGTAGATTGACAGTTGGAAAACGTTAAAATGGGTGGAGAGGAGGAGAGACTATGGAATAATTTATCCGGAGGGAACGGCCAGCTAGAACCGTGAACTGGAACACTCCTTTTAGGAGGAATGATGTACTGCAACATTTTGTTGCTTGTGTCATTTGCAAAGAATAATGCCAATCTACCTTACAGAGTTGATGCGTGTCTTACAAGTATGTAACGTGTACTGAACTCTCAGTTGCGCCATACAAATATGTGTCAAACCCAGTGTCTGGAAAGGAACCTTCGCTACGTTCAGAGCTGGTCTTCTTGGCAAGCCTTTGCAAAAGTGTAGGGTCTCATATGTATTCACTACGCATATCTGAGGACTCTGGATCTATGGTCATCCAAAGTGCACATGCAGCACAAGAATAGTAATTCCTCAATTGTATTGATTCATAAGCATCCTGTTTGAAAGTTCTTACATCTCAGTGCAAGGCCTACATTGGATAGCTTGTTAATTTTGCAAAACTCCTCCAGCTTTTCAGAACTTGCAGTCCTTTAAAAAAATAAAAAAATAAAATATTGCCTTTCTAGTGACCTTGTGGTAGCAAAGATCCTGAAGAGAATAAATTTCTGCGTCAAGTAAATGAAAGCATTTCATGTTCCCGGACACACTTTTATTAAGTCTGAAAATTAATGTCCTTCCCTTCTTCCAAAGCAAGTAATAAGGGCAGCAAAAGGTTTTAGACAAATAGAACAGGACATTTTTCATCACGAAGCTAACCAAAAGGGAGACTTTCAAGTTTTTGCATAGGGTGGGTTTCCGTAGACATTTTATGTTTCACAAAGTCAATGCAAGTTGGCTTCCTGAGTTATGTATGTACTCTACTGGTCTACTTCAACCCACTTTTCAAAGCATTTTATAAGTGTGCTGGGTTGAGATTGAAAAATGCATTGGTCCGCTGGCACACTTATTTGTGGTATGGAAAGGTGATAGTACATAAAGGATTCACAAACCATATAATTAAGAAAAAATGTGTAGAGTAAGGGATCAGTATAAAAATTTATTGGAGACAGAAACACCACTTTGGCTTTCACCATTGGAAGACATAGTGGCAAAGAAAAAGAATATGATGGAAGGTTGGGCAACTTACAGAAATTTATTAAGAGAAGACGGAGGAGAGTTTAAATTAAAAGAATTTAAGGAATTATCAGAAATGTTAACAACATGGATGCAATATCATCACTTGAACAAAATATTTAAGACAGATATGAAACAAGGGTTTGGTGAACAAATATCACAGTTGGAGAGAGACCTGTTGGAATGTAATGTTAAAGTGCTGTCTAAAATGTATAAGATATTATTGGAATGGGAGACAAAGGATGAGCAAGTCAAATCTTCAATAATACGTTGAGCAATAGATATTTGTTATAATATAGACATGGAAGCATGGGAACGATTGTGGAATACGGATATACAATTTAAGAGAAAATAATGAAAATGTTATATAGATGGTATCCAACACCTAGTAGATTGGCAAAAATTTATAAATCAAAATCGAGTAAGTGTTGGACATGCAAAGAAAAAGAAGATACTTTTATCATATGTGGTAGTCTTGTAGTAAGGTTAAAGCTTCCTGGGAAATGATGTATAATGAATTGAAAAAGATATTTAAGATAACATTTGTTTAAAAAAACACACAGAAGCTTTTCTCTTGGGAATTATAGATGTAGAACTACCCAAACAGTATAGAAATTTATGTATGCAACTACAGCAGCAAGAATGTTACTTGCCCAGAAATGGAAAGAAGAAGTCCTGACAAGAGATGAATGGATGCAAAAAGTTCTGGATTATGCAGAAATGGCAAAACTTACCAGAAGAATAAGAAATCAAGATTTCAGCAGCATCAGGTCTGCTAGCTTTGTTGTTTTTCATTTGGTTAATAGCTGTACACAACTCTCTCAGATTTGGAGATACTGCATGCTTATCTCTAAACTCATCTCTAATCAGCTGCCCAGATAAATTTGTGAGCATCCTTCAGCTCCTCCATGATAATATGACAGCAACAATCGCAGACTACAGTGGCTCTTAAAGTGAACCATTCACAGTTGAATCAGGTGTTAAACAGGGTTGTGTTATCGCCCCAACTCTGTTTATTATTTTAATTGCCATGATCCTACACATTGTCAAAGGGAAACTCCCCACCGGAGTAGAAATCATATATCAGACAAATGGAAAGCTCTTTAACTTGAGTAGGCTGAAAGCAAAGACTGAGGTTACCGTAACTTCCGTCATAGAGCTTCAATATGCTGATGACAACATAGTGCGCACACACTCAGAGGATGAGCTTCAAACCATTCTAAATAGCTTTGCAGCAGCTTACGAAAAGCTTGGCCTATTGCTCAACATCCAAAAAACCAAAGTACTGCACCCACAAGCACAAAACAACCCCCCTGCAGCGCCACAAATCCAACTTAATGGTGTAACATTGGAAAATGTCAATCACATCTCCTACCTGGGCAGCTGTCTTTCCACAAGGGCTGACATTGATACCAAAATTCAGCATCGCCTGAAATCGGTGAGTGCAGCTTTCTCCCTATTGAAGTGCAAAGTGTTTGAGGACCGGGACACTCACAGGGAAGCCAAAATGCTTATTTACAAAGCTGTTGTACTACCAACCTTACTGTATACTCGTGAAACATGGACCACTTATAAACGCCATCTCCAACTCCTCAAAAGATTCCATCAATGGTGTCTCTGAAAAAATTGTTGGAAAGACAGGCAAACTAGTGCCAGTTTGCTGGAAGAATCAAAGAAGATCACCAGTGTTGAAGCAATGATTCTTCAACATCAACTTCATTGTACTGGTCATGTTGTGTGGATTCCTGAAGATCGTCTTCCAAAGCAACTACTCTATTCTGAACTTAAAAATGGAAAGCGTAATGCTGGTGGTCAACAAAAGAGGTTTAAAGACTCTCTCAAGGCAAATCTGAAAAAAATATAGTACAGTGGTACCTTGGGTTAGGAACTTAATTCGTTCCGGAGGTCCGTTCTTAACCTGAAACTGTTCTTAACCTGAACCACCACTTTAGCTAATGGAGCCTCCCGCTGCCGCAGCCGCACAATTTCTGTTCTCATCCTAAAGTAAAGTTCTTAACCCGAGGTACTATTCTGGGTTAACAGAGTCTGTAACCTGAAGCGTCTGTAACCTGAGGTACCACTGTATAAACACCAACAATTGGGAAACAATTGGCCTGCGAGTGCTCCAATTGGAGAACAGCCTTTACCAAAGGTGTCATGGGCTATGAAGATGCTCAAGCTAAGGATGAAAGGGAGAAACGTGCTAAGAGGAAGACATGTTTGGCAAATCCTCATCATGATCAACTCCCACCTATGTCCCCACTGTGGAAGGACGTGTGGATCCAAAATTGGCCTCCACAGTTACGGACTCACTATCAAGACTGTGTTGATGGAAGACATTCTTACTTGGCGACGAGTGATTGCCAAAGAAGATTTGTAAGAATTACCCCAAACAAAGGAGCTGATGAATCTGTACAGAATCACTATGGGGGAAATGCATGAGCAGCATTGCAGAGTTGCAGCCTTCTTTGTTTCTGACACCAGATGCCCAGTTGATGACAAAGGAAAGCATTAAAAATGAAGATAAATGTCTCCTAGCAACATCAGCTTTCACAGCTGTCCAGGTTTATTATCCAAAAAAGTAAAGTTCAGCAGATGCATTGGTAAGGAATGTTGCCGTACCCATCTTTTGATCAAATTCTTAAGGAGGCTTGCAACAGATTGCAGTGATTTAAATAAAACAAGAACCAGCACATACACAGATAACCCAGCAGCCTTTAGTTTTCTGGCTGATGGATGGGGCCAGAGTGTGCAGTTCCCACTGGGAAACCAGTTGTAGTACAGAGTTATTCCTGGCTGGGATGGGGGGAATCAGCTCTCAGCAGCTTCTCCTTCTTTGTCCGATGAAGAGGACTAGGTTGGTCTTGAGCTTGCCATGATCTTCTTCCTGAGAGGCATGGGGTTTGACTTCCCAGTGGTTTGTGGTCCTCTGGCTGATGGGAATGGCTGGCCAGAATGTAGGTCTGTTCTGCTTAGCAGACCTAGGACAACTTGGAGCCTAGTGTTCCTTCCAGCAGAGAGGGGGAAGCAAGCTTCCTATGTTTGCTTCCCTGCTGGCTGAAGGTTGGGCTAGACTTCCTCTTGCCATTCTGTTCTTCCTTGGAGGTAGAAGATGTGACCCCCCAGTAGATCTTTGACCTCTGATGGATGGGACCAGAGTATGCTTTCTCACAGTTCTGCAATACTAGGCAAACTAATAGGCAAATTTATTGGGCTTCAGATGCCATTAATAAACTAAATATCTAAAAATTAATGGCAGTTGAACTCTGAAAATCCAAACCTATAATTTATAACAAAAATATACAATTTCCACCATCAAACTGAATGATCATTGACATGCTGGTGCTCTATAATTCTGGGAACATTTTGTGCAGATATCTTCAGGATTTGCATAAAATGTTACTCAACTTGGAAGTCCAGAACAGTTTTTGCATTAGGCTCAGAACATAAATAGCTTATTCTTTATCAAACACACAATCTAGCCAAAGCAGAGCGCCTCTAGGTCTCACTGATTTAAGTAAGAGAGAGAGTGAAGCATAGACATAATTTTGCCATTGAAATCATTGGGTTTTAGATGTGCTTAACTTTGGCTGCATTGTGCTCCATGATTTTTAAAGAATACAGAAGGTTTGGACCTCAGTCTTTCTGAATCATTGTCTGCTTTAGGCAGCAAATATAAGTGTGTGTGTGTGTGTGTGTGTGTGTGTACACAGACACCCTTTATTCAGAAGATTTTATTTACTTTCAGTGCCTGGAGCTGAACTGAGATAATTTGTGCTCCCTAACCTTGATGTTCAGATATGGTGGACTGAAATGTTAAATAAACACATTTTACCTGAAGTATTTGTGTTTATAAAATTTTCTATCCTACAGAAAAATGCAACCTAATGATGAAACCAATATACTTTTTTTTTTCAGGCTAAAGAAATAATTGTGGCTAAGCAAGAAGTATCCACTTCTAAGAAACCCTCTGACACCACTAATCTTCAAAAAAATCTAACAAGGTAATAGTTATGATTTATCTATCTAGCACCTCAGTTTTTATACATGCTGGAAATGGGTTTTCAGTTGCAAGGATATTTCTACTCATGGAATGCACAGTTGTATGGAATAACAAAAATAAATATTGATTTTTTTGAAATAAAGCTTTATGTGGAGCCTTGTCCAATGCCTTTATAAACGTCTGCTTTGGTGGCCAACCCGAGAAAGTTCTTACAACCGCAAATCAGATTTATTCCATCGACTGTCACTTGGCCTCTTCTACAGCGTTATGAATTGAAGCTCAAATTCTTGATCAGGAAAGGACTTTGCAGGTTCTTCACTCTTCTAAGCGATATTTCCTGGGTGCCTGAACAACTTAGGAAGAAACAAGTCATCTATTTGAATTCCATCTCATTTAGTTTAGGGCTTTCAAGGGCTGAAATTTTCAAAGTTATTGATCAACAACACAAGGCAGCATAGTCTCTCATTGGCAAGGAGGAAAGGATGATATTTGTCTTTTGTGTGCTGAACAAAGGTAACATTCTGCTAGTGGACTAGGAAATCTCTGCACTAGATCATGTGTCAGAGAATTATAGGATTCTAGAGTTGGCAGGGATTAGGAGAGTCATCTATTCCAACCCTCAGGAATCTTAACACACATCCAATTTGAAACTATGCCTGACCCTGCTTAGCTTTGCAAATGTGCTAGCAGTTTACTTTCTGTATCACTAGCTGGAGAAAGATGAGCGTTAACACTGGGGCTGGAGGGACAGTGCATAGTGGACCATCTTTTTGGTGAAGGATGGGATAAAAATACTTTAAAATCAAAATCTACCAGAATCAGACAATTGTAGATTGTCACCACCATCATTTCTGTGCTTGATATTGGACTCCCTTACGTGTTGCTGAAAGTTTTGTAGGGCACACTCAGTTTCTGTAGGGTACTGGCCAAACTCTCATTGCTTCACATGAACTGACTGCACAGCCAATAATGTCTCTTTCTTCGAACCTGCACCTCGCAGAGAAAAATCAGTAGCTTTTGATTATCTGTCTCTGAAGGAGGTTGACCATCATTATGGATCTTCTCACTGAGGAACTGAAATAAATATATGAGGAAATCCAGGATCCTTGGAACCCAGGTTGAGAACCACTGCTTAGGCAAATGCTTTGTCGGGAAGTGATTTGATAACTGTTTAGCTTAGCATTTCTTGTAAAAAACTACCCCTCTGCTAGCCACTTTACTTCTTCAGGTTTCTCATCCCAAAAAGCAAAGCACAATTGATGAGCTGGTGGGGAATATTGTTGTGGGGACTGCTCCAGGAGCTTCATATCTCTCTCTCTCTCTCTCTCTCTCTCTCTCTCTCCCTCTCTCTCTCCCTCCCTCTCTCTCTTTCTCTCTCTCTCACACACAGAAGATTCTTGTAAAGCAGCCTGGGTTATTCTTGTGGGAGTCAGTCTTAAGAGCCTTACCTTCAGGGTGGTGCTGACCCAATTGCTTCTTTGCAAAGTCAAGCCTCTCCTCTTGGAGTTAGTTACAAGGGCTTTGAGGAATAAAATTTATAGGAGCAAATGTTCAGCCTGATGCTGCATGGACAGCTTAACATGGATTGGAAGATCGGGCAGTGGGAGCTTGGCTGCTTAACAGATCGCATAGAAGTTTCCTCAAATCCAGAGGTGGATGCAGGAACGGATGGAATCAGAGAAATGTAAAGTTGCAAGGGGCCACTAGGAACTTCTAGTCCATCCCCTGCAATGCAAGAATATTTTGCCCAATGCGCGGCTTGAGTCTCATGCTCCATCTTCTGATGGGACACTTTTGGTGGTTAGTCATACCCCTGCGATTCATTTTGGCCTTTTCCAAGGACCAATTCAATTGTGTGATTAGCTCTGCCCTGTGGAACTCCTTGCCAGTAGAAGTCCCAGTAGAATTCACCCCTGCCTTTTTTTTTTTTTTTTAAAGTCTTTTAAAAGCAGTCTTGTTCAGACAGGCCTTTGGAATGTTATTTTTTAAAAACAACAACCAAACAACCAGTATTTATTGATGTTTTCATTGATGTTCACATTATATTTTTATGTTGCACATCACCTTGTTATATTTTTATGAAAGTGCAGTAGATATGGTGGAAATTTCCATGTCCACAGTGGGGAGATTTGTTTAAAAAAAAAAAAAAACTGGGCCAAAACAAACAAGATGAATTTTAACAGGGAGAAATGTAAAGTATTGCACTTGGGCAAAAAAAATGAGAGGCACAAATACAAGATGGGGGACACCTGGCTTGAGAGCAGTACATGTGAAAAGGATCTAGGAGTCTTGGTTGACCACAAACTTGACATGAGCCAACAGTGTGACGCGGCAGCTAAAAAGCCAATGCAATTCTGGGCTGCATCAATAGGAGTATAGCATCTAGATCAAGGGAAGTAATAGTGCCACTGTATTCTGCTCTGGTCAGACCTCACCTGGAGTACTGTGTCCAGTTCTGGGCACCACAGTTCAAGAAGGACATTGACAAACTGGAACGTGTCCAGAGGAGGGCAACCAAAATGGTCAAAGGCCTGGAAACGATGCCTTATGAGGAACGGCTAAGAGAGCTGGGCATGTTCAGCCTGGAGAAGAGGAGGTTAAGGGGTGATATGATAGCCATGTTCAAATATATAAAAGGATGTCACATGGAGGAGGGAGAAAGGTTGTTTTCTGCTGCTCCAGAGAAGCGGACACGGAGCAATGGATCCAAACTACAAGAAAGAAGATTCCACCTAAACATTAGGAAGAACTTCCTGACAGTAAGAGCTGTTCGACAGTGGAATTTGCTGCCAAGGAGTGTGGTGGAGTCTCCTTCTTTGGAGGTCTTTAAGCAGAGGCTTGACAACCATATGTCAGGAGTGCTGTGATGGTGTTTCCCGCTTGGCAGGGGGTTGGACTCGATGGCCCTTGTGGTCTCTTCCAACTCTATGATTCTATGATTCTATGATTCTATATCTAAATAAATAAATAATAATCCCTTTTATCGTTGCTCCATTTTAGCAAGGACAGTTCCTAAACTTGTCAAAGAGTTGGCTTGAATCTCACCCCCCAGTAACCTGAGAGCCTCCAGTAGGAACATGGGCAGATTTTTAAAAACTTTAATTAATCATATTTATGACATGTACTGAGCTTAGGGAACAAGGTGACCTAGACAACATGAATTGTGACTAAGACCTTGTTTCCCATGATTGATGTCTTCCTCTAAATAATACTTGTAAAGGCATGTTCTTCCCGATCAGACCCTGATTTTGAAAGTCATAGGTGTCCTTGCACTTCCAGTTCAATGGATGTTCTTCAGACTGCTGTATGATTACAAAAAGTCAGACAGGCTCTTGGAAACTCATATCATATGCCTCTGTCTTAAATATCTATTTTGCTTGTGTAACAGCTATACTAAGACCTTTTCAAAGACCTAGATGGGAGCCTAGTCCTCTCTTCATCTGCTAGTAAACACTGCCAGTCAAACTACTGTGCTATATGTACAAATAGCTATACCAAGTGAGGCAAGATTCCTATAAAATCAAATGGGGGGGGGAGGGAGGGAGAGAAAGAGAGCACAAATTCTGGGCCTGAACTGGCATGTCTGCTTGTGCTGTCGGCTTGTAATCTTTTTATGGTCTCATGATTACTCTCAGTTAATAGCAATAACCTCACTGGGTGTAAAGACGAATGAGAATGACTGTAAAGCACTTAGAGGTATTAAGATCGCTACATAAATGGCAAGAACCACAGAGCACTAACATTTCATAAATGATATCATTTAAATAATAGTGTAGATTTAATGAGAGGCTGTGGCTTATACAAAATCCAGCATTTCATAGACTTCAGCTCCGACAAATTCTCCAGGGACTGCAATGGCAACCTGTTGCATTTGGGGAACAATTCAGATTACCTGTTGGAGGGAAGCCATAGCTCAATTCTGGGTTCAATTCCCAGCATCTCCAGTTAAATTATCTGTGTCTCAGGTCTTCAGAGGTGCTATAATACTGAATGCTGGAAAAGTTGTGCCGATGGTCTCACTCAGTATAAGGTAGCAGCTTCACATAGTCATAATTTTGAAATATAAATTATCTGCATATCCAGGAAACAGATTCTCTCTTCCCCATGATATCACAACCATAATCATTATCATCTGCTTATAGGCAGATAAACAAATTAAGGGGAATGAGACCCAAGGGAGAAGGACTTGCATAGAGGAAAAAACCATACATTGTGCTTGCAAACTTATGACCTCTAGGAGGCCTCTCCTTCTCCAAGGCATTAGACCTCCCTCTCTGAGAATGGAGAAAAAGAGTTCCAACCTCAGAGAGGAAGATCTAATGTTAGCTTTCCCCTTTCCACTGTCCTAGCAGCTTGTACTCCATAGAGCAGAAAACTGGGTGACCTAGGAACACATTGGGGGCATGCCAGGAGAGGACATGGTGAAGGCTTAGATCTGAAGGATCCAGTGACTTTTCAGTCCCCCAACATGCCCCCAAACTGGAGATTGAATTACTCCAGCCCTGGAGCTGGTGTAGCTCACAACTGTTTTATCTCCTCCCCATTGAGGAAAGACAGAACAGGAAGCAGGACAGAGAATTGCAAAGCACCCTCGTTTCTACCCTGCTTTGTGTTTCCTCCAAGGCCAGCTTTAGTATTACATGGTAAATGTCCTTTTCAATTAATATTCTATCACAATATTAAAGAGTGGCCAAGAACATTCTTTTGGTGATCGGTCTAAATTTTCATGATCTCCTAGGCAGGCCAGGAAGACAGAACCTAGCACATTTATTTTCACATGGTAATGAAGAAACAATCATGGACCTCACTTTCTTTTTAATATGGAGAGAGTGGAGATGCCCTGCTCAGAACATCATTTTTTGTCAATGGATTTTCACTAAGTATCCCACAAGGTTCTGTGGGGAAAGGACAGAACTTGCAAGAAGATGTTTGAATTTCTTGAGGCTAGGGAAGAACTTCTTTTTCAAGAAAAGACACTCTTTTCTCCACAGGAGGTTTGCAGGTAAAGGAAATATATTTCAACGTTGTTAAAGCCATGAGAACAGAAGCCAAACGAGAGTTCCGGCCTTCTTCGAGTAGGAGAGGAAAATCAGGTTGTTCCCAGCTGGGGGATACCATTGTTCTTTGGAAAGATGTGTGATGGCCTTTGAATGCTGCCCCCCTCCCAATACCTGGCATGCTAAAAGAAAAAGCTTGGCTCTGAGCTTCCAGGTGCTTGATATATAACACCTCAGAAGTGCTGATGTTTAAAGACTAGATGTTCCAGCGGGCTGCTCATGTCTGCAACGAGGCACAAAATTCAGGCTGGTTTGAGAGGTGGGTAGTAAACCCAGGTGGCACTGCAATTCAGCGGCAGGTGATGTAGCCTGATTTTGTAATCACAAAATCAGCCTGACCATTTTGTGGGGGGGGGGGCAGTTAGAAGAGAAAAAGAAGAGTTTGGATTTGATATCCCGCTTTATCACTACCTGAAGGAGTCTCAAAGCGGCTAACATTCTCCTTTCCCTTCCTCCCCCACAACAAACACTCTGTGAGGTGAGTGGGGCTGAGAGACTTCAGAGAAGTGTGACTAGCCCAAAGTCACCCAGCAGCTGCATGTGGAGAAGCAGAGACACGAACCCGGTTCACCAGATTACGAGTCTACCGCTCTTAACCACTACACCACACTGGCTTAGTAGACATGCCACAACAGGCCCATTCCAGACAATTATATTGCAGTACTTTGGTACGTCCAGAATTTCCTTGGGCAGTGGGGGATGGGATGGGAGATGATTGCAGTTCCTTCCACGAGACTTTGTAGTACCCAGCATCATCTTCCCATGTTTTAAAAGGGCTTGAACTTCTAAGCATCGTAAAGCTTCCAGTAATCTTTTCGAAGGAAAGTACCTGAGCCTTGAGGTCTGAATTACGACCGGCAATGAACATTGCTGCTTTTGATTTTGTGTGCTTTCTGCGTCTCCAGAATTGTGTGTATTTAATGTAATAGCAGAGATAAGTATGTATATTGTTGAACAAAGTAGAACCCAATTCAGTTTCCCTGAGCGACGTTTCAAGTGGCTATAAAGCATTGTGGCCCTTCTCACTGTGGTCTTCTGGCACCAATTCTAGATGATGGACAGAAGCTCCATTGTGAGGCAAGAAGAGCGTTGGGATGGTGTCTTTTATTTTGCTGCTGCTGTTACAGATAATAAATGCTCTTGCCCTTGGAATCCTCTCTCACCTCTGTTTTTCATAACGTAGAACATGTTCACATTTACAAAAGAAAAAGTAGGAGGTAAACTATTGGAGGTGGCAAACCCCTTGTCTATTTGGTGTTATCTATATGTATATATGTATGTATGTAATTTCAAATAATCTGTATTGGAATGGCAGAGAGAAAGATGGACATGCAAGGCGCTTGTAGATATGGCTCATATATGGCTGGGCTGCCTTTACTCATGAAAGGGAGCAGGTGGCGCTGTGGTCTAAACCACTGAGCCTCTTTGGCTTGCTGATTGGAAGGTTGGCGGTTCGAATCCGTGCTATGGGGTGAGCCTCCGTTGCTCTGTCCCAGCTCCTGCCAACCTAGCAGTTCGAAAGCACACCAGTGCAAGTAGATAAATAGGTACTACTTCAGCAGAAAGGTAAACAGTGTTTCTGTGTGCTCTGGCTTCCGTCACGGTGTTCTGTTGCGCTAGAAGCGGATTAGTCATGCTTGTCACGTGACCCGGAAAGCTGTCTGTGAACAAATGCCGGCTCCCTCAGCCTGAAAGTGAGATGAGTGCTACAACCCCATAGTCACCGTTGACTGGACTTAACCATCCAGGGGTCCTTTACCCTTTTTACCTCTACCTTTACCTTTTACTCATGAATATTTTCCTGTCATATTTGTGTTAATATTAGGCATTCCTATCCCAGTCCCACCTTTTAATCCTGTGGCTTCACAAGGGAGGTGCCAGGCTTTGTCCAAGCTCAAAGACAGCCTGCAGATGGGGTCAGATTCTGGCAGATGTAGACAGCACTAATTGCAGCTTCTGAAAAGACTACATAGCCCTACATGGAATGCTTAACAGTTCCCGATCCCTTAATGTTAGCATCTTCTTATGAGTACAGTGGTACCTTGGGTTAAGAACTTAATTTGTTCTGGAGGTCCGTTCTTAACCTGAAACTGTTCTTAACCTGAGGTACCACTTTAGCTAATGAGGCCTCCTACTGCCGCTGTGCCACCGCCGCACAATTTCTGTTCGCATCCTGAAGCAAAGTTCTTAACCCGAGGTACTATTTCTGGGTTAGCAGAGTCTGTAACCTGAAGCGTCTGTAACCCGAGGTACCACTGTAGAAGCATTTTCAACGACTCCTACAAATGGAGCTAATCTGTGATACCCACATAGAACTGGATAATGATTTCAGATAGTTTGGGGAACTTATGCCCAGACATGGCATAAATTTGTCAGGGATTACCAAACAGCCGTTGTGGTTCTCTTCCCACCCCCACACAATTGCTTTCCAAACTTTGCTAAACAAGTCTTCCAATTTCTGGTTCCGAAAATTGGAATCAGAGTTGGTTAAAACCAATTTTCTTCTCTCTATTGTTTTGGCTTTGCTTGGAGAAGTATGGGGTTGGATGGTTAGTCTAGAATATTAAATTACATGATAGATGCAGAGGTGTGGTTGTAGAGTAAGTGTCTTTAGCGCCTGCCTCAAAGCGACTAATAATCTGAATCAGAATCATAACACATTCTTGCAAATGAGCTGGGGAGACAGCAGTTAATTACCTCTCAGAAATGTCCATTTGTAGTGTGCCTACCGTAATATTAAATCCACTTTATTAAACTTGAACAGCATGAAAGATCTGTACGGCTAAAGTGTGTTCAGCAAAAGAGGGGGATGATTGAGCCTTTCTCACTAAGGGTGAAACTAAACGTGATGTTAATTACATGAATGCAATTAACTTGCAAGTTTCTGTTTTGTTTTTTGTTATGCATTCTGCAAGTAGCTGCTGAGTAGCCTCCAGACTGGGCAAGAGGGTAGGGAGTACTGAGAGGAATTTAGCTTTTTCTCTCCTTGCAAAATAACTTCTCGACAGCTCCTATTTGCATGCCTAGGAGAACCAGTGGGAGTTTCCCTTGAAATGCAAATACTTTTTAAAGTAGTTTAAATCATAACAGTGTGTGAAAAGCACCTAGCTTTCTCCTTTCGGTGTCTTCTGTTTCGTCATTTTGGCCAGTGAATGACCTTTCACAATCCTTCAGTGGAACTTCATGATTGTTTGTTCTTTCTAGATAGAGAGAACAAGCAGTTGTGAAGCTCCGCTGAGCAGTGACTCTGAGAATAAATACATACTGCATCCAGTGGAAGACTTCATTTGTTGTTGCATTTCACTGTGGGCTGGAGAGATGCCACAGATGAACAGTCGGCACTGCTAGATAAGATTGAAGTATCAGTGTCATCCAAGGAAAAAGAATGCATAGTTGCTTTTTGAACACCGTAAAATTAAGTTCTGTTTGCATGTTCCTGGCATCTATATAACTAATTTTTTAGTTGACCTAGTCAATATGTAACTATTTACATGTCTTGGTGGCCTTTGAATTTGTGCATTTATGGATTTTCTTGACTGCTTTGCATTGCCGTTTTGTCTTTTCTCATTGGTTGCTGTTGCTGACACTGCTGGACAGCTCCCCTAACCTGGCTTGGGATCCTGCATGTGGTACTGTGGTCTAAACCACTGAGCCTCTTTGGCTTGCCGATCAGAAGGTTGGCGGTTCAAATCCCTGCGACGGGGTGAGCTCCCGTTACTCTGTCCCAGCTCCTGCCAACCTAGCAGTTTGAAAGCATGCCAGTGCAAGTACAGGGGTACCTCGGGTTAAGAACTTAATTCGTTCTGGAGGTCCGTTCTTAACCTGAAACTGTTCTTAACCTGAGGTACCACTTTAGCTAATGGGGCCTCACACTGCCGCCACACGATTTCTATTCTCATCCTGAAGCAAAGTTCTTAACCCGAGGTACTATTTCTGGGTTAGCGGAGTCTGTAACCTGAAGCGTCTATAACCTGAAGCGTCTGTAACCTGAGGTACCACTGTAGAGGAATAGGTACTGCTGCGGTGGGAAGGTAAATGGAGTTTCCGTGTGCTCTGGTACTCGTCACAGTGTCCTGTGCTCCAGAAGCAGTTTAGTCCTGCTGGCCACATGACCCAGAAAGCTGTCTGTGGACAAACGCTGGCTCCCTCAGCCTGAAAGCGAGATGAGTGCCTACAACCCCATAGTCACCTTTGACTGGACGTGACCGTCCAGGGATCCTTTACCTTTACCTTTTACCTTATGCAAGGAGACCATCCTGAAATGTGTGATGTGGTTCGTGTGAGCACCATTTCTGATCACCCCTTTTTTAGTGTTGTTCTTCCAGCAGTAAGTAGTGTGTGGTTATAACAGCAACCGTGTCCTGATTGGCCAGGTGGCAGAAGGGCCAGTTAACTGGGCCAGCTCCATTCTTCCCAGTTGCACAGCAAGATGACAACCCAAGCAATGGAACTGTACTGGAGTGGACTGGGACATGCTTCCATATATGTCTAGTCTATTTCACAGCAACTTTGAGTTCATATTCTATGCACCAAGCACTCCATGTACATACTTTCCTTGCTGCATTGGCCCTGACAAATGACAATAGTGAACGCTAATCTGTTGAATGCTGTTTTAATTTTGTTCAGGGGTGAAGGTGGAACTCTTTGCAGAAGACGAGTTTAGGTACTACTGTTTTTTACTGTACAGTTTTGAATCTCATTACTTAACAAAAGGACATAGAAAAGCAGCCAACTGAAATAAGCACAAACTGATATAAACATATCATTCAATTTAAATAGCAACTAATGTTTTGTTTGTTGTCAACAAAAGGTTTGGTTTTTATCACTGCTTTCCAGCATTTTTTGTGTAATTGGGATGTTGAGAAGGATAAATTGCTGGATTGAAGCAAGTGAGATACATCTGCAATGAAAATAATGCATTTAAAATAGGTGTTTTTTCAGAAGCTGGCAAATTATACCTTGATGCATATTCTTGGTGCAAAGTAAGTATCTGGATTAAAATGAGTTTGAAAAATATAAAAACCAGTGTTTGTAGGCCTTCTATGTATTAAATCGTATGTAGTTTACATATGTGAGTAAACCTATGAAAACACACACAGTTTGACTTGTCCTGGTTTTAGAACCATTCTTGATTGTGAAATTGTTGTCTCTGGAGATTTGAAGAAGCTACAGGATGAGTATCTGTCTGTCTTGGATAAAATTGTCTAAATCCTGCTAACGTAGATAAATCTTAGAAGTCTTTTCCAAGCGAAATGTCTTCTTGTCCATTTTATATTAAGATAAAATAATGCATATAACTATTTTTTTTAATTTTTATTTTATTTATTTATTTATTTATTTATTTATTTATTTATTAATTATTATTTTTTTATTTTATTTTTATTATTATTATTATTACAGGTGTACAGAGAAGCTGGAAGTGGACCCTAGCAAGTATTCATTCCCTGATGTAGCAAACATTGTCCAGGAAAAGGATCGGATTGGACAAGGACCTATAAGGCTTCAGCGGCAGAAAACTGTAGATACTAATAACATGAGCTTTGATGATGACCCAGATGTTCCTCCTTTAATTTGAAAGATTGATATGGAGTTTCTTTTGACTTTAGAACACCATAGACCTGTCTAAAGATAAGTGCCTTGCCTTTTAGCTGATTCCCTTATTCTGTTGTACAAACAAATGGATGTGCTTCTCTATAAACCCATCTACTTCAGCTGTCTCTAGTGGTAATTGAAATCCCTGTCGGAGTGGAGTTCTGCTTTACTAAACAGCACATCAGTTCCAAATTGCACAGGCCTTTTTTCACATACCGTGCTTTGCCAGCATTCTTACATCAACCTTGGAGATGGTGTGAATTGTTTTCGGGGTCTGAAGCAAATCTCTCTCTCTTGCATGTACTGAAATTGCCTCAAGACTCAAGGCCAGGCTTGTTCTAAGCGGCTGAGGTGGGGAGGGGGACAGGAAGCAAAGCAAATCCATGTTGTATCTTTTCCTGCAGTGGTTTAGAAGGGAAAGAGAAAATTTTGACCGTTGTTCCAAAGTTCAGAGTTAAGGAGACAGCGGTGAACAGTTTCTAGATGTGGAGCACTCATCAGAGTCCTAGCCAAAGCACCCAGGTCGATAATTTTTTTGAGCTAGTGGGATTCTGATCAAATACTGGAAATGGGTATGGAAAGAAGGCTGCAAAGATGGGTTGTAAATGGTTGGGGTGGGTGAGTTAGCTTGGGATGGGTGAGTTAGCCTGCCTAGTTAGCTTTGTCACTCCAGCTTTCTCTTCTCTCTCTCCTTTTCTCTCCCCCGCAATGCCCTCCCTCCTGTCTCTGCTTCCACAAATCCTACACTGTGTCTCCGCCGTTCCTCTGGAAAATTTATTTCTACAATTATTTCTACAATTGTTATTTACTTCTACAAAAGTGCACTAATTCCTGAACTGTTAAGTGAGATGAAGGAAGTCTTGTCGCTTTGCATGCTGCAGCAGTTGGCAACTAGATAGGCCAGTGATCCAGTGCAAAACACCTAGTGGGGGGGGGCAGCCTGGCCACAGCACACATTCCTCATCTTTTCTCCATGCATCCCCAATCCTAGGCAGCAACAGCATGGCTGAGACAACTCACAGACAAAAGGAAGTGGTTGGTCATAATCCAATCCTTCCCTTCCCTTCCCTTCCGTTGCCCTCCACCACTTCAGATTCACAGGGAATCGTACAACATGCCCGATGTTTTCATATCAATGGGATGAGTGAAGATTAAGCCCAGGAGGGTGAAATCATCTGTATGGCTGCTTAGCAACCACACAAACATCTTCTATGCTTCCTGCTAACCTAGATACCAAAATGAACACTTGTGTGGTTGCCTAGCAACCATACTTGTGATTTCCACCCCCATTTCACTTTCCCCTACCTTTCTAGATTACCTTTACTAGCCCAGTTGAAATGAGTGGAACTGTAAAGTTGTGCAGCTCCTGCTGCTGGCCTTCAGACGACGATGGCAGCATCCCTGGAAGTGAGAGGTGATGGGGCAGTGAACAGCATCGAACTTCCCCATCCTGTCGGCGCAATAATGGTTGCTTATGCAATGGGGCTTTCTCCCCTCTCCTTCCCCTGCTGCACGTACCCTGCACCCTTCCCAAATCTGCTCCAGAGGGTTGGGGAAAACCCCAGAAGAGTTTAGGGTGTGTGTGGAGAGGAAATGGGGGGAAGTCTAGTTGCACATGCAGAAATCCTTGCACTGGTGGGAGGCTTACTACATTGGATACAAACCATAACCTCACCCCCTTTTTGCTCAGTATCACCCTGTGGCTAAGGTTCTGCTCATAGGAGAACCAGTCCCCTACCTTAGTTGGTTGCAAGGCATGCTAATAGGGCTAAGATGATGGGGAGCATTGGATTAACTTCAGCAGATCTCACAATGTCTCCTAAAGGCAGGGGGAAAGCATTGCCACTTTGCCTTGTGTCCTCTATGCACTCACAGTTTTGGACATAGTACCATTATCAATCTGAACTGAAGTATTGGAATAAATAGGCCAATAAGCTAACTCACTTTGCGGCAGTTATAATTTCCTGCAAGACTTGGCCTGATTCTCTCTGAAGTGGTATACCTGTCTCAGCACTGCAGCATCTGAAGAGGGCAAACATCACTCTTCCATGTCTGGGAGAAGTATTCTAGCCTATCCTTCCTGACACACCAGTTTTTATTGTTCTGTGCAACTCAGAGATGCAAGTGATCAGTTTGTGCAACACATCCACAGAAGAACGGTGGGATAGAAATGTAGTAACACATGGAAATCCATTCTCCCAGGGCAGTGGACTGTTGCCTGTTCATGCCACAATAAATAAAGTATTGCAGTCCTATCATTTATTTGAAGCTTCTTAGTCTTCTGGGATTTAGGAAGTCATCTACTTTTCAGGGTAAATCATCTTTGAAACATCTGTAAGTTTCGTTGGTGTCCAATCAATTTCCTACTCAAAATGTTTTGCATTTTCATTAAAGCCACCTGTGATGTTAAGAGCGATGGTTCCTGCTGTTTGCAAGGGATGAGGATGCACATTCCCAGGAGGAACTCATCAGCTCCTTATTGGTTAATGAATTTTAAGGTGTTGCCTGAAGGTAACCTTGGCATCACTTTCTGTCAGAACACCTGCTGAAGGCCAGCTGTTAGTTGTCAAAGCAAGGCAAGGACCAGAACTGTGATTTCACTTCTGTGCTCAGGTCTACTTTTAACTTTTTTTAATCACTTCAGGGAAGAGTATTTGGCACAAGATGTTCTACATTGGGAAGGACTCTGGAAAACTGGGAGCAGACATCCCCCTGGTGTAATGGCCTGGGATTCGGACTCGGATGCTGAACCTGATGGATCCCAGCCTGCACAGGATTCCCCGCCTCCAGAACCAGCTAAGCCGGGGCTGGGGCATGAGCCTGAAGGGTCCTCACCTGTGCTGGATCCTCAGGTGCAGGCATCAGTTGAGTCTTTTCTGGCTCCTGAGGTGATGGAGGACCCATTGCCTGCAGGTGCTCCACTCTCAGCCCCGTCAGGGGAAGCTGAGGTTGCCTCTGGGTCCGATAACCCTCCAGCCTCTCCTGAGCTGAGCTGCAGAGGCTAAGGGCAGAGAGGCAGAGGGAACTAAGTTCCTGCAGGAGGAGTGCTCGCCTCCAGGCCAGGAGAGGTGAGTCACCAGAGGATCGGGGCCGCCCTATGCCTCGGGGCAGAGAAAAGCCAGGCAGCTCCAGTCCCAAGTTGTGGGAGCAACATTGTTGGTTGCTAGTTCCTGCCTGAACCCTGTCCTGCTTTCCTGCCTGAACTCCTGATCCGCCCTGGCTCCCTGCTTGCAAGCCTGTTCCTGACTTCACCCGACTCCCTGCCCTGCACCCAGCTTCAGCTACTATGGACTGCCTCCATGTTGGACCTTTGACCACGGACTGGACTTGGACCTTGCCTCTTGGGTAACCCACGGGAACAGCACACCTGGAGCCTTACAGTACACATGCAAGGGACCTCACTAGCCTGCTTGCCCTTCATTCTTAAATAACAAGGTCAGGTAATTGCTGAGACCCTGCTGGTTCAAGGGAGCTTGGACTGCATGTTCATTGCAGGTGGGAACAACTCAGAAGCAGGCATGAACTACTGGAGCGGTGTAGAGTGATGCCAAAATGCTCTGCCCCATACTGTCAATAGGTCTATCAGTGGGTATTAGTCATGATGGCCATATGGAATCTCCATGTTTATGCCATTGAACCCCAGCCGCTGGGAAGAAACATAGGAGAAAGGTATTGCCTTCAGACTCTACTTGTTGACTTCCTGGAGGCATCGGCTTAGCCACTGTGAGAAGAAGGAGGGTAACTTAGACCTGTAGTTTTCCCTGAGCACGTGCATTGTGTGCAGAAGGTCTCTGGTTCAATCCCCATCTCCAGGTTGGGCTTGGGGGGGGGATTCCTGTCTGAAACCCTGGAGAGCTGTTGCCAGCTAGCATCAGCAGAACTAATCTAGATGGACTGGTGGTCTGGCTTAGTGTAAAACAGTGAATGGGTTCAGTCTGATCCATGAAGCTTGCGTTTTTAGGGGTCTCTAAAGTCTTTGGGCTTTGCTGAGTAACAGGAGACATTTGATGTTATTCTTCCCAGAGGGCACCTTCCCTTTCCCCCGGAAAAACACAATAGCCTGGGGCTCATCTCTACGGCCCCAAGAAATATAGAGGTTGCTACTGCTCTGGAACACACATCAATCAGTCCATTTCATACATTACTGCAGAAGCTGCTTCTCCATACCTTTTTCTCAAGGCCTCATAGTAGCATGTGGAAACAGGAAATATGTGTCCTGGGCCAATTGTACTTTTCCTTACCAGAATGCAGTTGCCCTCCCTCCTGGCTTGGTCATTATCGAGCGGAAGGACCCATGCACTTGGGTCAAGCTGTGCCGTTCCAGTTTCCAAATGTTACCGTGGCACTAAGGGATGAAATTACAGCGAATCATCTCCCAGGTTGCCACAATAATGTGTGAGGGCTATTTCTTTGAGGGTTCACATCGCCTTGGTTAAACCCTGACATGGAAACATAAGATGCTACAAGTGGTCAGTCTCCAGTACATAAACAGAACAAGACTGAGCATTCGTTCTGTCATATGCCACAAAGGGAAGACTTTTACGTTAAAATAAATTACATCAGCATTGCGGCTTTGCATCTTGCAGAAAAGCGATAAAAATAAGTGTAAACAAATAAAGCATCCTATAAATCTAAACACAGTTCAAATAACGACATATCTCTCTCTCTGTGATGTGTCTTCTCTAGCGCGCATGAATAAAGGTCAATGAGGAATGATTGATTGTGTTTTTTCAATGGTCGCTGGTCTCCCACCAGATTTATTGCCGCCAGTCTGGGAGGTGACTCAAGCCTCCTCAACTTGCCCTTGAAAGGGTAATGCAAAAAGATGGCACGTCGTTTTTAAAAAGTGCTCTTTTACTCAAGGAAACTTGCACGATTTCTATGTGAAAGGATATTGTAATCCCAAGATGACTTCACTTTCTAAAAATAGCTCCTGTGTTGGAGCTGCAAGGTTTGATTAATGAAGATGAGGAGGACAAATTAGCAGTAGATACCCTCTGAAGGCAAGCGCTGGAGGTGGGGGTGGTCTTGAGCGTGACCCGGACTGTCTTTACAATTAGAAAATCAGAGCTGCCTAGAACGATCCTTTCAAGGATATTTGGGGATTATGACTGCTGCAGGGCATGGCTGTCGGGCTCTTACTAGAGATTTTGTCCCTTGGAGCATAGTTGTAAACCACACTTCAATAAAGGAGGACAGCAGAGTGATACGAGACATAATACTACAATTACATTAATCTGTCTGAACAATGCAGTTTTTAAAAGAAAATGGGTACGACACTTGCCTTCTTTTACTGGTCAGAAGTTTCCACAGGGCAGGACCTGATACATTACAGGCTCAGTCCTTAGTGATGACAGACCGAACTACAGGGGCACTGGGGACTACCCAAAGGGTCCCATCAGAAGATCTCAGTGATTGAGCTGGAACATAAGGAATCCCATGGTCCGCATGTAGGACAAAGCTGACTGCCTAATACAGTGGTACCTCTACTTGCGTTCACCTCTGGTTACATATCCTTCGGGATAGGTATGTGGCAAACCACATGCTGTGCACATGCGCAGAAGCACTAAACTGCGCCATGCGCAGAAGCGGCATCTCCGGTTTCGAATTGCTCGGGATGCGACCAGAGCTCCGGAACGGATCCCGTTTGCAACCAGAGGTACCACCATAATATGTCAAGAGATTCGTCCTTTGAAATTTGTACAGCATTTCACTGAATTTTGCAGTGTAGTTCTCCAACCAAAGAGTATGTACAGAGATAGCATTATATTCGAGAGAAATGTGTGTAAAATGCACATATTATGGACTATAGCGCAAACATGAATGATATTATGGAAAATTGCTTGCAAAAATGTGTATTATAGTCATAACAATATATAAACATGTTTATTAGGAGAAAATTGCATTAATGATGGATATTCCTGAGTATATTTTGTAAAAAATGCAAATGGCCGCAGAAATGTGGAGAAGAGAGTTTTTGTACTGGGAAAATCAGAAATGCAGACAACCAAAACATGGTTTCCTCTATCCCTACTCATGAGTAAGTCTGCAAAGGCTTGGGCTGCATGGGTAGTTGCTGAAGCTTTGAGGGGGAAGAAAAAAGAAAGCATTTGCCAAGAGAGCAGAGAATGTTAAAACTGGCCTAATTCTCTGAAAGGCCCATTTTTTGCTCAATTTCGGCGAGCAAAATGGCTTTGTTTAAACTTCCAGTAGAAACCATATCGCCCATTAATCTCCTTATCGAATGCCTTCAGTTTCTGCGATATGAAATATATATATGAAATCTTTGAAATGGATCCTGCTGGATTATGAAGAACACGAGATGCGTCTCTTAAAGCATCGCAGTGGGTTTAGCTATGTGTCTGGTTCCCTCGGCTGTGACGTGCAAGAGATATATTTTTAATAGCTCTGCATGCAGAGTTAGAGCTGGATAAAAGGGAGCTCTTGTGCTGCTCTCAAATACTAATTCGACAGCTCTTGCTCCAAATGCATCTCACTGCCTGGTGACAGCAGTTCAGTCTCGCTAACACCCTCAATGTATTCAGCTCGGGTCCCTGATGCTATTTCTGACTCCTGTCTGTGAGGGAGAAGCGGGTACTGTTGCTTTGTAGTTAATTAAAAAGACCTACGTTCTCAAGTGCAGATCTGCCTGGTCTACAGGCACAACATGATGAGCCTCTCTTGATGCCTCCTGGTCCTTTTCTGGTGGTGACACTTTTGGTAGGGTATAAGATAAGATCGCCAAAGAATTGATGCTTTTGAATTATGGTGCTGGAGGAGACTCTTGAGAGTCCCATGGACTGCAAGAAGATCAAACATGTCCATTCTGAAGGAAATCAGCCCTGAGTGCTCACTGGAAGGACAGATCCTGAAGCTGAGGCTCCAAGACTTTGGCTACCTCATGAGAAGAGAAGACTCCCTGGAAAAGACCCTGATGTTGGGAAAGATGGAGGGCACAAAGAGAAGGGGGCGACAGAGGACGAGATGGTTGGATAATGTTCTCGAAGCTACCAGCATGAGTTTGACTAAACTGCAGGAGGCAGTGGAAGACAGAAGTGCCTGGCGTGCTCTGGTCCATGGGGTCACGAAGAGTCGGACACGACTAAACAAGAAGAAGAAGAAGAAGAAGAAGAAGAAGAAGAAGAAGAAGAAGAAGAAGAAAAGGTCTCACTGCTAAGGAGCAAACCTAAGGAGGAACAGGCAAGAGGTTCAGAGGCTGTTGCAGTGAGTAACAGTTTCTGGAGAACTACT